CTCAGATCATATCACACTGTAAAGTACATTGTTATATCATTTCCAAGAAAGACGATCCAAGATTTGGCTGTCTTGTGCCATTTAATGGTTATCAACCCAACCAAATAATGCTGGGTCTTGTCGACTACTTTTGCGGATGTCACTTCCACACAAACAACAAGCTACGTATAGTCATCTATGTACAAAGACATAGACACCAGCGAAAGGAACTCCAGGAGAATCAGAAAACCAAAAATCTTGTGTGCCAGCCAGCGTGTTATAGTATTTTTATATCCCGTCTGACAATTGCCCTTTTCATCCCTCGCTGTCTCTCTTGTGTTATTTTGCTCCAGTTTCAGTACGATCCGTTTATTTTTATTTTGACAACGTTTTCAGACACTTTCTTTTCCTCGGGGTTTTTCTACTTTTCCTCCTGCTTCTGAAAGGTCTTGGGAATTGTAAATGAGGCTTTTTTCGAATTGTTGCTTTTGCCATGAGAAATAAATAAATAAATTCTCAGAGAATCATACATGTACGCTCATAGATAAGAAAAAGACACGGAGGAACGAAGACCGTGAGATGAGGTGCCAGTCAGAAAGCACCTTTTCCTTCCCTTGCCCATCTCTGGTGGTTGCTCTTATCCCTGTCCCTCAGAAAAAGTGCGACGAATGCTGAGACTGCTTTCTTTAAATCTTTGTCAGTGCAGCGTTTAAACCGACCAGCCAGCAGTTTCTGCACACATGCATAATTCATTAGTCCATTGAGCTAGATTATTGGCGATGGTCATCACGGTATCTGTTGCCCATGCCATTGCATATATTGCATGTGTGCATACCCTATCTATTAGTCCCTTTACTTTTCATTGAAGGTGACATGGAGGTAATTTAATTGAATTGAAGAGACGATGTATCAGTTCAATGCAGTTTATAACCAGTGAACTTAATGTTTTATTTCAAGATAAATAATTGAGCAGGATTACTTAAGGTAAAGAACTCTACTCAACAGATAAAAAACCCACAAAAGACAGATTCTGTGGCCATGTGTGCTACTCAGGACGCACATTTTTCTGAATGCAGTTTTCTTGTCCAGAATCTTGTTCATTTGTCCTTTGAGCTTATTTGGGTAATGTTCAGGGATTCCCAGTATCCACCCGGGTTGAGATTGCACATATGAACATTTTGTTCCAACTCTCATGCTGCCGACATTCACATATTTTATGTTATAACGATGCTGCTCTCCTTCAATTTCCTGACAGGTTCGCATTTATTTTCCCTTCCACACAAAATTTCATCACTTTCTCTCTTCGAGCATATGCACGTATCCCAAACTAACGTTCAATCTCGTGCAACCAAACGAGTGAAAGGAACAAAATACAGTTATTTATTTGTACATGTACATATGTACGGAACACGAAATTTAAGATCTGATATGTATATCTAACAATGCACATATGAGTGTGTATGCATGTAATTTTTCTTGAATCAACTGACTTTATCATCATAAAGGTGCATTGACTCGAAAATACTTTTCATTGAAGCATAAACTATAAATATATCTGACTGTTAAGGAAAGGCGAGACTATGCAGATAAGAATTTTTTGAAGTATTTACAATGGAGAATTATCATTAATTTAAACGTATTAGCATAATGAAGCATAGTTCGTCAATTCTAAAAACACGACATATATTGTCAAGTTGTGCTACGTACTTTAACAAACTTATTATTAGTCAAATCTGTTTAAACAATTCACAAATCTGCGAACATTTTTCACCCCTTTAAGAAAACATAAAACTATAAATTCGAATTTTACTGTGGATAGTACACATTCTACGAAGCTTACAAATAATTAATTACGTTGTTAACTAACACGAATCATTAATGTATAGCAATATCAGAAGGTATAGCTTGTTGCATCTCATGTGTGAAATTTAAAAACAAATCGAGTTAGAATGACATTTAAAATGCACAAGCTTGGAATATCTTTCGGATTGCCACTAGTATAATATTCGTATTAAAATTAGAAAGTTTACTCTACTATTAAAATAAGCAATAGAAGGGGAACAAATGGCAGTCCTAATACGTATTTAGATTGCTTGAATGTAGTCGGTAACTAGAAGTGAAAAGCAGAAACGTGGTAAATTTTCCAACACCACACTAAACTCTTTTACGGTGCAAAAATTGTTTTTGAAATGGGTGAAGTGTAACTACCAAGCTACTCGCCTACAGTTGATGCGGTACAAAAAGTTAAAACTGAAACTATTTAGGAAGTTCGTTAATAGTTTAGCTCTGGCATAAATATTTCCAACGCCCCCTTTCTCCAGAAATTGGTGAAAACATTACAAAAGCTGGAGATGCTGGTTTGGAAAAATGTAAGTGCAGTTGTCGTAATCGTGAGCGTTATCCTTGGGTTAAATTTATTGGAACTTTTAACTACTGGCAGATGATTAATGAGGCAATCAAGGTTTAATGCAGTTGGAAAGTTTTATGGCTTGCTCAGAAACCTGACCTATCTTATGTATCCACATGGATAGCTGACAGGAAGTTATACATAGTAATAAATCCCGTCAGTAAAAGACATGGCAGTTTCAGAAATGAGCCCGAAACGACTTGAAAGGGTAGCCAATAGTTGACCATCAAGTAACTGCAGATTTCACGTTCACATTTCCACCTTCAACTGCTCACATCCCTAACACCGAAAGAAATGGATAAACTTTAAGCATGATTTAACCCAGCAGGAATTTAATAAGACAAAGACGAATGTTTCACTCAGACGCTTCTTCGTACTATAGTAAATTGTAATTGAACACACGGAATGGAACTAATAGGACTAACCCATCACCACAGAATGCAACTTAAACCTGGTCTACTTATGCAGTTATAACCTAAAACCGTGGATTTAAGCAATGCAACGGACGTTTCCACGATAGTTGGTCCGATCTCGTCTTCAGCCTTTCCGTTTCTCTGTTTTAAATACTATTAGCGAACTTATTACCCAAAGTGAGAGATTGCTTACTTGAAAATATTAGAGTGCAAGTTTTCCATAGTTTTTTTTCGGATATCAGTGTGACGCTGCAAGGTACTGCCTACATATTTATGTGCACTATTATTTTTATTATGTTCTGTTCCTAGCATCTACTAGAAGTTCTAGTCTAGAACTATTGCCAGTACATGCATAAATACATTATGTATTTACTCAATGCGTGTAATCTAAAAATATAACGACGAAACTGACGACAGACTTTTATATAAAATTGGCAAATTTTTGTAATAAAGTCTCTTTAATAGCTAAAAAGTTAGTTGCGCTTGTATGAATAGGTGTTCCCTTCTTTAAGAGAAATGCATACGGTATATGAATGAGCGCATATACGGCCAATAATGAATTTAAAGAGTACGAGCTCGGCTGGAGGGAGAGTATTACGGCCATTATGGAATTATGGTATAAGGAAGAATAGGTTGTACTTGAAACCGGTTTGAATATCACCTGGGGATTTGCCCATGAGCTGAACCATCCTCGAAAATTGGGCCATTCTTCCAGTGCGGAAGGGCGAGTGAGTTTCACTAAACTATCGAAAGAAAGTGAGGCAAGACTGGCAAAAATTCAAAGGTTTTTCTCCTTTCCCACCGTTCTTCCCTTCCTATTGAATCTGCATTTTTGAAAGGTTTTAGCATCCATGCTTATTCTAAGTGTGGATACATTTTGCAAATTGGCATTTATCTTTAACCCCTGGGCCTTCGCATTTGCATCCATCACTGCTTTCCTCGGCTCCGTCTTCATCCACGTTGCCTGACTGAGGAGCGCTTTTACTGCCCGATATAGATTTTATGCGCACACTTTCCTTACAGAATAACTGAATACGCAGTACAATTTTCTTTCCTTTGGCTCTCGAGCAGGTGAACTTGATTTTCAAAAAATCCAACCAAGAAATCCGAGTTGGAAAGTATTCCCTCTATAATAATTACTTACCAGGCACGATATGTATTTTAAATTTTTTATGAGTATCATGGGCGTAGTTCTCGCAGAGAAATATAAAATACACAAAATTCGTGTTTAATTTTGTTCGATCATGTCAGGCTGACCTACTGATATTCCAGCCATGCATGTACATACAGTATACGCACACATGTACCACATCATTTCTTGCAACGAATACTATAAAGATTTTGAGAAACAACTAGCACAAAAAATGTAATTTTATTACGTTTTCTTATGATAAGGAAGCGGCAAAGTATGAAGATCAGTATTTATTTACAAGAGGTTTACTAACCATCGTCATTCACTCCGCCGTGGAAACTCGTATCATTACCACAGCCGACCAAACGAGGTGGAACAAGGTGGTGCAACCAAAGTGATTTTCTACCTGGACAAACCCTTTCACTTCCACTTGAGAATCCAATAAGTATCCTCCTAGTTCCTCCCGAGGGACGCAACACTTTTTCACCCTCTGCCTACTTTCCACATAAAACTTTCACTCCCATCCACCAGGAAACCCCAACAACAGATTCTCATCCTTTGCTTGAGAAAAACAGTCTGGAGGAGCAGGACGGCAGAATAAGATGCATGCATACATGGTTCCGTCATTACATTCCACCATTCCGTACCCAGAAAGAAACTCAAGCAAAGATACATTCAATGCTACTTAGCACAAGTCGGAGGAAAAGTTTTGTTACATTTTAAGTTTACACAAAAGTAGTGGCTTCCTCCAAGTAAACCAAAAACCTGAGCAGAATAATGGGAAAACACAAAGAGGAAAAGATCATTTAGCAAACTTTGTGGTCGTTGTGCATTGTTGCCAGTTTTAATGAAAGGGTGGTGAGAATCCATAATAAATACCTAATTTTCTACAGCTCAGAATGCTTAATAAATCCAGCACCGAATTTGGCATAAATGAAATGGCCACTATAAGCATCCGTAGTTAAATAAATATGGATAAATAAATATGCATATGTACATATTTTTGTGCTTTTGCATGGTAATTTGCCAATTAAAATTATCATGGCGTATAGTTTTTACTTTTACTCACCTAAAGGACTGACATTGATGTTTGTGACGGCCAGGAGAAGGAAAAATCCGATTCCCGTGAAAGTGATGATGGTTCTCATCGTATTTTCAGGTTACACGGTTGTGTGCCTTCTGGTTTTCATCAATCATTAGAAAGGTTCGAGTTGGCAAATCTGGGACAAAAAATGGTCATTATATTATGATGACGATACATTATCAACTATTTATAATCGATATTTGTCTCAGTTTCTCAAGCTCTGCAAAGTTGTATGTAACCAATCAATACGAGTACACAATTCCAAATGTAGTTGTTCTGTTGACAATTTTTTTAGTCAATTATTCTTTCAATAAAGGTGTGAACAGGTCTTCATATTACCCAAAAATACTTCTAATTCCCCCCCCCCAAAAAAAAAGTACAGTCATTGTGCAGTCCTCTAAAAGTGAGCTGCTCGTGAGAGGATTATTATTTCTCTATTATTTTGTTGCATATATCTGCACGAAATGATGGTTGATTTTGAATATTACTTTGTGTGTGCGGTAACCCTGTAGTACAAAATAAACTCATCTGTAATTTTACTATACATACTTTATTACCATCATGATCATTGATCGCTGTTTGCAAAATAAATGTGTAATACTAAAAATGCCCACATCGAAATTTGATGACAAAATTGTGTAATCACATAATCATCCCCATTCAGGTAGTACGCAGATACATATTTCGTACAAATTGCATACGTTGATGGACTATTCGTTTGTGACATTCATTTGTGACAAGCCAAACAGCGGATTTGAAAATTGGACGAGGCAGAAAATGACATGAATTGATGGATGATTTGTGTGTCCAATTCAAACATATAAATTACGATATAATCATTGAGGCCAAAAGTGAAGGCTGAACTAAAAATTTGGTTGAGATGATGGCACATTTGTACCTATCAATCATTTAGTGTCATTCAATTTTCTTCGCTTTTTGAGACGGTGTGTCGCAACCTTGCCTTTCTTCGCAGAGATAGTAATCACACGCATAATAAGATACACTAGTATGAAAATTGAGTGGATTAAAATTTAACTTTCTCCAGCACCACTCACTCGTCCAAAGGTGCATCAGGGGGAGAGCACGCACAACAACCATGCCATAATCATGGCGTAAAGTGCAACGGGGGAAAATTTAATCATTCACATGGAAGAGCTATTAATCAATCAACAGTCTGACAGTCTCTTTTCCACCCAATCTCCCAACATTATTAGCCTCACGCGTTCTCATTTCCTCCTCAACTCCACCACTGCTAACTTCGTTAGAGGACTACACAGAAGGAGTTAATACACCTACATAATCGCATGCAAAAATGAAAAATTCTTTGGTGAAAGTGAGAGGGGAACGAGAAAAACCGTGTGTGCGTCCCTCGACCAACTTTTCACTCCCTCCGGCACATGGCTAACTTATTCAAATTCCATTTCCACTTGTTAAACTACAACTTTCCAGCTTATTTCATTCTCCGAGCTAAGAAGTTTAGGTGAACTCCAAGTCAAGTGTTAAAAGTCAGGTCAAAGATCTAATTGTTATTAATTATTTCCGCTCCGTTCTGCTAAAACTAACGGATTTATACAAAAAATTTCTACTCTACTTTCTGACTGATATTTCTGATGGTTTTTTCATTTACTTTCATTTACGCATGATTTAATCTTTGATTTAATTTTCTCCAGACCCAGATTTGGTGAACTCTTGCCATGTTATGACAATCCACGTGCACCAGAACTACCATTATACAAATATCTTGATTTTGTATACAAGAAATTTTGCACACGATATTCGTGAAATCATTTTTTCCTGAGGAACTGAAATTGCAGGCAAGTGAAAAATCAGAAGCGACAGGTATCGAAGACAATGTTTTTATGTTTCTCAAAATTTACAAACTCCAATGAATCACAATCATGAAATGAAAGCACTAACAAATATACAATTGCATAACTTAAATGCAAATGCACTGATAAGTTCGGTTACACCATGTTTCACGTTTCGAAGGATGTCACATGAGACAAAAAGAAAGACGAGGTTCCCGAGTATTCGGAAACACATTATTCACAGCACAAGAGGATATCGAATATTTATGAACTCATTACAACCATCTGATAGAAGTGCAGCATCTCTAAATTGCATGGGCGTCCCTTGTACACGGTCCGATCACGCATGGGGTACACACAGAAGTCGCCTGTGGTACATCCACGTTTGCTCTTGTGCGGTGGTGAAAGTCTGAGGGGAGAAGAATAGTTGTCTCCTGTCATCCATGGCTGGGCACTGGGAAAAAGGGAATGTGCTTTATGTCCTCGTTCCATTGATTTATTTCTACTTTCCGTTTCCGTCCACATAGAAATGGTTGCATACACCGTATTTGTCACATGCACGCGGAGGACGGTAGCAGAGGCATATGCATGAATGGGAGAAATACTTAGTAAGAAGCCGTAAAACTTCGCCAAGTTGTGTGCGGTCTTTCCACTTTGGTTACACAAATATTTCTATATCTGTCACTGACGCACAATAATGTTTCATAATGTTGTTTGTAATTCATTGTCATGATTTGTAATTCTGACGTTTAACAAGAAGGGGTTTCAGAAGATTTTAGAAAGTAGCAAAGACTTGCAGCCATAAACTATGGAAATCCGAGTTTATGATACAGTCGTCCCTCGTGACATATCTCCAAAATCCAATGAAGTTGGAGAAATTATAATTAACAAAGGATAACATCTGGTTGTACTTTATACATCCTTTATTGTTTTGATGCAGTTTTCAGGACTATTTAGCTTCCCATGTAATTTTTCTAGGCAATAGGTTATGCAAGTTGAAATCTCGAAAAATTAGGAAAAAATTAAATTTTAAAGTACGAAAATTTGCATGATTCTCATGAGCAAAATTTAAATAGCATAGACAGACGAGAGTTTGATGATTAGTAATTGTGATTTATAATTATTTTTTCTATTTTCCTATTTTTTCTATGAACTTGCATATATACTCTGTTACAGAAAAATTGCATGCTAAGTAAAATAAGCTCGATAGCTTTACGTTAATTATTTTAATTACAGGTAAAAAGAAAAACAAATCTATTCCGACGGAATTTTGAGAGTTTCGATTTAAAATTACGTCACAAAAGATTGCTGAGATGTTGCATAAAGAGATAAATTTAAATCGTGCAACACTTTAATCCTGTAGACTTACTTCATATATTTATACAGACATTTCTTATAAAGAAATTCCTATGATTTTTAATTATCTAAAAGAATTTGAAGCTAATAATGTTTTTCTTCTTTTAGTTAGATAAAGATCACGAAACCAAAAAATAACATCTTAACAAACCAAAGTTTATTGAGGCTTGTTGCTTATGTAACGTAATCTAAAATAAGTCAACCTCTAGTTGGCTTTTGCAGATAAACTTTTTAGCCTAGAAGTCACCTCAGTAGACATGAAACAGATCGAGGTCAATAGGTGAGTCCAGGACGAGAGTTGCACGGTCAACAGCAGCCGAGGCCAGACCGGATCAAAGAATTGTTTCCACGTCCAACTTTGGTGCCACTAAACTGCTATCCCAGAAAGGAAAGCCGTCGGCCAGGAGCGAAATACGATGATTGGAGGAGAAAGAGGAAGGGACAGGAAACATTTTGGGACGAAGAGTTTGAAAGTGAAAGAAATATTGAAGGCAGGTCCTATTCAGTAACCGCAGAAGAATAACTCGAGACTTGTCCTTTTCTCCTTCTTTCCAGAACAGGCAACTCACCATCGACTTTTCGAACATCGCACTTTCCATCTCTTTCATCACGCGAACAATCAAAACGAAAGAACTAAACTACAAAGAACAGTGATACCGGCGGACTTATCGGTTCATCAAATACTATACTTGCTTATTAAATGTATAAACTGGCTGTCGTGCGTCGTGCCATACTCTGCAACAATTAACTTTGACTAAATTATAGGTGTGTTTGGGTACAAATAAGACAGATCGACAGAACAGTAAATAAATAAAAAGTCCCATTGTTTATAAATATGTAAAAATGATTTGCATTGAGATTTGTCAGTGATAAATTTCTAAATTGTGACAGAATGCCAAGTTGCTAGCACTGCTCTTTCCCACTCGCTCTTAAATAGTATATGAGCATACGTAACTGGATTCAATTTCAAATAAAACGCCTTCGCAAAGATGTTTCCTCCACTTTTACGAGTTCTGTGCCTGTTAAGCAATTTTTGCTTACGTCATTAAACACAATTTTAAGTTAGTCAATGTCTCACACTCTTTGAGCATGAATGTTACTTTCATACTTATTGTTAACTACCTCACACTACTTTCCAGTTGGTGGAGAAAACTGGGTTATTTACAACGATTGTTATGCGTATCTCTAGTACATAATAAAGTGTCTGCCTCTTCCAATCGTAGTTAACGTGACGTCAAATCCAATCCCAGTCCCACATTGAACTGCAAAATCGAAAATGCACATTGCTGAATATAAAGGTATCAGTGATTCGAACGAAAAAAAATCATTCTCTCGATTTTTTTGTAGTAACGGCTGAAAAAACACTATTGTGGTCGGATATACAATGAAACACATTGTTTGTTCGTGGGATGGATATTCAACAAGGTTTTCGAAAGTGGTGGTGGCACAAATATCTTTTTTGAAATTGCAACATTTGAAACGAACTGGAGCTGGATGAATGAATGCATGAAGCTCTTTCTGACGATTACGAGGAGAGGAAATGAGGGAAAGAAAGGGCGGTTGGGAAGGAACTTTGAGGAGTGTGTGTGAGTGAGTGGGTTCCTAGTTTATGAGGAATTCTAGCATATCAGCCATAACACTCTATCTCATAGTCGTTTCACTTTTCACTTTCACGAATAACTTTTCGCACGAAGGGAAGGAGACCATTACACATATCTCTTCGCTAACTGACTCAAACTGTCTGCTCCATTTTCACGGGAGGTCCTCTCCTCAGACCAACTTTCGCTTTCACCTCAAAAACTATGGACAAAATGAGCTCACGCGGAATTGCAAAACGGAGGCCTTCCTCCGCAGTGAAACTAAAGAGCAGGCTGACCAATTTTAGTGAGATTGCCAATTTCCAATGACACTGCACAGTTAATCTCCGTTCAAAAAAAACAATGAGGTTGTGACGCTGAGAACGATTTGCGCCGAAGTGAAACGATATTTTGACAATGAAGCAAATATGATTTGATAATTCAAATTAACTGAGGAGTAAGTAGGTTGGTAGGGAACATTGTCAGACGATCGACAGAGTAAATAGTTGGCATAATTGCTATATTTGTGGTACGTTGGGGCAGGACACTCTGCTAATGACTATAATTAAGAGCAGTGCGAAGTGAACGAGGTGGAAAGTAATGACACTGTGTGTTGTAAAATGTTGGAGGGAATAAAGTGGCGGAGGTCGAGAAAGTTGGCGAGGGAAGGAAGGTGAAGGAAATACGTGGTGATGAGTGGTTTACCTCATCCTCGACTCCTTCTCTGTCATAAATTATGAATCTTCACCAATCTTCACGAGAATAAATATGGGCAATAATATAGTCTACACACTCACTACAATGACTTTGCATACAAGTACGTATTTAAAGAACAGCAAGAACTTATGATTTCAGAAACGACAATAAGAAGCAATTTAGCAGTCGCATACATGGAAAGTGGTTTAAAATGATATATGTACCTATTTATACCCGTAGCTAAAAATCATTCTATAGTAATTTGGAATGAGCTAGAAATTTCATTGTGCAATCCTTCAGTGAAATCTAATTACTACTCGCACACTACAAACACACACTCGCATTCTGCGTCACAGAACATTTTGCGCTTATATAAATATGTACGAGTTGGTTTGACGTGTAATAATTTATTATCTGGCCAATAATGTATCAAAATCCAATTTTGCTTTACATTATTGGAGAACACATGTGATTGATTAATGTGCAATATGCATCATTACATAGCAATATCAAATACCCTTGTCCAACATTCTTATACATTGAAGGCAATTATTCTCAACGTCCTTGCGAACTTTTGCAGTGATTTATGTGATGCTTATTCCAAGCAATTCTCTAAGACAATAGTCGAACGCTTAGATTTGATTCCAGTTCAAATCTTACTTAGGCAAAATGAGATAAATGAGAATTGTATTGCTTTGTTTTTGGCGAGAGGAAGTCGGTTTTGGTGTCAGTTTGGTTGTTTGTTGTTGTGGTGGATCGAAATAAAATATATCAAACGAGGATGAGGTTCAATGGTTCAATCTCTGCCATTAATTACACGAGAACCATCCAATCAAGCCGTAATCAAAGTGACATTTTGTTGCCTTGTCCAAATCTCTGGAAACTCTTTAAATAAGCCAAACGAACCAACAAATGATCACACAACGCAATTACCCATGTACCTATTTACAACTATATTCCTCCGACAAATCAGAAAATTCAGCTAGAAATATTGTTTGTTTGCTTCGCATATTGAGCTGGAAAACATGATTTGAAATGATGAAAATGTATCTATAAGAATGTTTCATAGTTATATTCGTATGTAGTTGTAGTAAGTATTCTCCAAATCTGTGGTAGTTGTGCATTCCACAGCCAAAATTAACAATTTAGGATTTCATTTACTAATACACGGACAAAACGACGTGAATTGTAAACAATTCCAGAAATAGAAAAGTAATCAATTATAACTAAAGAGCGCAAGTCGTTGCAGACCAGAAATGAGAAATCAGACTGGAAATAAGGAGCTCCTTTTCCCTCTCACATCACACCGAAAGCATCTTGTGTTTCCAATTCAGTAGAAAATGTAACTTTAAGCAATTCAAAATCAACAATACGCAGCAAAAGGGATACCACGACGTCAATTCCTCAAGAGTCAGTTACTTACTGTAGATAAAATATCCCAGAAATCAAAACCAAAGCCACCAAATCACTTTCTCCTCACTAGTTTCTCTTCCTTGAACTTTCTATTTAGTTCAGTCATCGGACCAGAGATAAAATGGGAGTTTGGTGGCACACAGAGACACCACAAGAGAAAGAACAAGATGGATCGCTCTCTGAACGTCTCACCAAGTATTTTATACAACAACATAAAATCCAACTCACAACAATTCGAACTTGAGGAGATCCGGAAGACAATATATTTCTCAACAGAGAATAAACCAACTTCAAGGAAAACGACAATTTTTGAATGTACTTTTATCGATTTTGCACACAAATCTATACACAGTTCTGGTCGTTTTTGAATTTAAAATCCGATGGAGAGTGGACACTGTAGCAGTTTTGTCAAGGACGGTGTTTCTATGCACTGGGACACATATTTTAGCTCAGGAAGGAAGCATGATGCGAGCATAAAAAGAGCACAAGACTTAAAGCATTAAGTGTAATCCTGTTGGACAACTGGGACAGGAGCACATTTGACATTGGATTTGGACAAAAACTTCGAAATCGGACAAAATAAATGGGATTCCTTAAGCCCAAAGTCGATAGGAGATTTATTTTGATTTAGGTTGGCCACTGGACCCTCATACTAGAGAGTCTTACCCGGCTTTGGGGGAGCCAAAAATAACAAGGGAATTTTATACATAGTTTATTCACAAGATGATAATTGGTCCAATAAAATAATTTACTTTAGTTGGTAGGAGTGGACTTGGCCTACTTTTCTTAATAAATTATGCACCATGCATCCATAAGCCAATTACTGTTGAGAACGTGCGTGGGTCGCAGCCAAATTGGAAAAATTATATTGACAAAGGACCGTTCATTATATAACTTTCTACTAGTTTTACATGGCTATTAGTGAATTTTTCAACTGACTGGACCAATTTACTTTACTTTTGAACTTATTTAGAAATGCCGTTAATACCAACTAAATTCTTCAATCCTAATTTTGAGTGGGTCATGTCTAGTTACATATTTAGATTATGCATTGATGATAAATATGCATATGTACATTTCAAAAATATAAACCGTGTAGACAAAAAAGGTTACGGTCACAACTTAAGTTAAGCATTTAAATATGCTTTCTTTCCTTGCACACTGATATTGTAATTTATCGGGCACTTCAAAGTTCACTAAAAAGGATGTTTATGAGATTCTATACGTAGTGATTCTGATAATTCTAATAATTTTTGCGTGTCAAATTAAGTGTACTACATAAACAGCACATTTTGGTGCTTCTGTCAGCAATCTAAGTAAATTTTGGGGGCAAAGTAACGTGTATGAAGTAGATAACCTTTATATCCCTTCTTTCTGGGTAACTAAATCTATCATTTTCGCACTTCTTCACAACTATGCGGAGCGTGAGATAAAAGAGCAAAAACTGACTGGTTCAGCACATTCTCACAGACAGGCTTTAATGTAAAGTCCAGGTCAATTTTCATTTTGGATGGTTTGTGGGTGGATAAAAATGATTTCCATTATTTCATTTCATTCCTTCTTTCGTGGCAGCGAGTAAAGTAATATTCGCTTTGATCTTTTTCCTCCAGAATTGCATAAGATATGGAAAACTACGGATTTCGGTGCTTGGCAAATTCCTTGCCAATATTATATTCCAAGCATGTTTTTTTGTTTACTTTTGCCTGATTTTACATACCTTAAAAGTTTGTGCGTGGGGCTGATTTGAAGTCTTCTTCTTGTTGAGTTGAGTGTCGGAGGTAATTATTTCCTTCACAATTCTTCCTCCTTCCTTCCCTTCCTTCCTCTCGTACAAAGTGTAGATTCTATTATTATGATTATTATATTCCGTCGCCCTTTCACTTCCTCAAAGTTTTTCGAGTCCAAAGTGCCAAAAACTTGCCAAAACCAAGTTCCACTTTCCTACGCTCGGTTTCACTCCAACAATTAAATCACTTACTTGGATATTATACATCTGAATACGTCCTTCCTCCCAGTTCTTTGTTAACTTCCTCTCCACGTCGTCGTCGTCGGCATCTTTATGAAGAAGGAGTTTCTGTGGTGTGCAATAAGTCGTAGGCAGAGTTGCATAAGTTAAACCAAAGTCTTGACTGGAGCAATTTCCCTCGTGTCTGTATCTATATTGTCTAACCAACCACGGAAGAAAGTAAATGTTTGAGTTTGGGAAGAGTTTTTGAGAAAGACAGAGCAAATCCGGCCTGATTAAAATTTCACATAAATTCAGTTACACACCAGACTGATCCACCAGTTTCTGGTGGGCACTCTCTGAATTTTTGGGAGACAAGATAACATCAAGACTAATGATTTAAGCTGACACTTGTCAGTAACAATTCCCTCACATTAAGGTTGATGTCCAATTTATCATCCTCAACAAATGTATTTACAGGTTGCTCACATTGAAATTAAAAGATGATGCCTATTTTCACTTGCTGGTGACTTTGACGATCCAGCCAGAAATCGGAATTGGGTCAATAAATATTTATAACAAGAACTACAATCTTTCAATCTCTTCCACCATTGGTTATTCCACTGCAAAGAATAAGGACCAGAAGAATTGCTTAGTACCAGATTACCAATGCTACTTCACTTTCTCTGCCAATCCGCTTTTCTCTACAAAACTAGACCACTTTTTATCCCCCTCCCCGCACTGGATGTACTCTTCATGTGAGAAATGTGGAGTGAATTCTTCCGTATTCAAATCTGCAGTGAAGGAGAGAGACAAGAAAATTATTGGGCCGAATGAGAAGAATTCGTACCCAAAAATGTTTTTTTTTGTTCCGCACAAGGAACGACAAGTAGCGGGATGTGTGAGGAAAGGAAGCTTATGGGAGAATGAGACGACTTTCGCCCAACGGAGAAGAGTTGGAGAGTTGGAAGCTGCTGCCTGGTCGTCGCATCTGAAACGGGTATTGGTGGTAGTTGTCAGTGGTGTGTGTGGTATGTTGGTAGGAGAAAGCCGGGTTCGGTTAGTTCTCGGATTTGCTGGGCTTTTGTAGGAATCTGTATTCAGGGAGTTTCCTCGCATTGCTCTGCTCTATTTTAGCAGACATTTTCCTCGTCTCCCTCCTGTTTCACAGAAATCTCTCCTTCCCGTTTGCCAGAATTGCAATTCCAATGACGTTTTCTATACTGCTGGCAAGGGATGATTCTCAGCATCTTGTCCCAGTTGGGTTGGGGCAGAGAGAGAACGAAAGCAAGAACGATGAAGGGTTATTGGTGAAAATGCAACTAAACTCCGTCCAAACCAAAAAACCAATTTTGCATTTAGAAAGTGTAGATTCTAAATAATTAGTTAAAGCTTATGTCTAGGATAAACGTGATATCAAAACCTTCAATGTGCATAAATGTAGATATGCATGAAATGAATGTGTCAGTTATAAGAGTCAAATCCAGGCTTTGCTTAACGCCGAAAGGAACAGCACCTTTTGCAAGACTGTTCATTCTTCATGTTTTTCTTTAATAATTTCAATTTTGAGTTTCTCAGAGTTCGACAGATTCAATAGAATCTGTTGGATTTGCAAATTTTGCTGTACGAGTGCTATGCAAATATTAAAATGAAGCTAGGCTGTCCTGATAAAGTTGGAGATGATTTCGAATAACTTTGCTTGTTGGCTGGAGATTTTCTGGACTTGTGTTTCTCTTTTAGCATGATTGGAACTAAACCAAAAACCTCAAACATGTCCAAATATCTGACGATCCGTCGATATCTGGTTTGGCATGGATTGAATATTCAACTAATTTGATGTTTGCTTTTCAAATAAGTATGTATCTTGCAAAATTGAATTTAGAACTGAAAGTTTCTGGGCACAGGTAGTTGAAACTCGTCTTCTGAATCAATAAGCAACAACCAAAATAGATAGATACGAATATATATAGAAAGGAGGAAACAATTTGGATTTTCATGTCACTTCACTGATACGAATACAGATGAACATAAATCATAAAAATTGAAAAGCAATAGTGAACCAACTTTTTGCTTGTACGTAAATAAGGTACGAGAGGAGTATGTAGAATGATTATAACAAATCCTGGCATATGTATGTATGTTGGGAATTGTCTTTTCACAAGTTCCTATTGAAATGTCTCAACTATTCCCATAATTCGAAATCAGTTCTCTACATATGTAATTTTCAATCAGGGTGAAGGATGATCTTCAAAATTTGCGTCGGTTACATCAAAATTCAACTAGAATAGTTCATTGGTTCGTAAGTAATAACTGTGGAGAATGCGTATATAAAATATGTATATAATTCTAAATGGCAGTTATAAATAATTCAAACTTTTATATTTAGATTTATATTCCGAATTATTACTACCATGAAAATATGCTTATCTTATTTTCCACATATGTAGTAAGTAATAGCATTCTTAGATTGCCAATTCAAAGTCTAGAATGGATCTAAAGGACTCAATTATTTTGGACCAGGACCTTTTTTATCACAGAAAAAATAAACAATTATCAAAATTCGCCTTAACAAATATTTATCAGGTGACTTATAAACGGTCAAGTAAAGAACGTCCGGGAATGAATGGGAATGCGCGCTCTAGCGAGTATATTGACAAATCAATAAACCCGCGAACTATAATAATTTAAATTTCTGAAAGCCCACTTCATTAGGGTCAATTTGGTATATCACTCTTAAATTTCAAAAATGGATAAGGGTAGAAGAAGCTTGTTTGAAAGGGAGCTGTTAGCAAAACGAGTGATGGAGTTCTACAACACGACAGCCAACCGAGACTCCAAGGTGACCTGGAACTTTTTTAAGCAGGAAGGAATTCCAAGTTCAAATGTGTATTCCTACATAAAAAAGTTCAAGGATTCCGAAAATGTGCAATTCAAGAAGCCAGCTGGTCGTCCGGCGAAGCTAGCGACCACTCGAGTGAAAAATAGAATTGAAAAAATTTTCAAAACCAAGCCATCAACGTCAGTAGCTGTAGCTGCCAGGAAAGTCAAAATTTCCAAAAGCTACCTGGGGGAAATTAAGGTCCATAAATTAGGAATCAAAGCAAGGACCAAAAAACCTGCACCAAATTACAAGCCCGTACAAGAAAGTCGGATCAAGGATTGCTGTCAAAAATTGTTGAAGAAAATGCGTGGAAAAGTAGTGATCCTGGATGACGAAACGTATGTTCCGGTTGACCCTTCAAATCTTCCAGGGCGTCATTTTTTTCATAGCTCGGATCCCTCTGAAGTGGCTTATGAAGAAAAAGTACGAAAAAAAGACAAATTTCCAAAGAAATATTGCATTTGGCAATGCATCTCCAGTCACGGACATGTATCAGACCCGGTAGTTCTCGAAGGGAATATCAATCAAGATATTTATCTGAAAAATTGCGTCAAGGCTGGATTGGAAGCATTTATTAATAGGTTTCACAAAAATGATAAAGTTTTGTTTTGGCCTGACCTCGCCACTTGTCACTATGCAAAGAAAGTGACCGAGTACCTCAGAAAGAAAAATATTGATTTCGTACCAAAAGATATCAACCCACCTAATGTACCCCAACTCCGCCCAATCGAAAAATTCTGGGCACGTTCTAAGTCAGTATACTCCCGGCTTCAAGATGTGCCTGACACCTTTCGAAAATTCAAAGGACGATGGAAGAAAATCACCTCGGAAGTGGCAAAAACTTCGGGAAAAAATTTAATGAAAAATCTTCGCAAGAAAATCGAACTAGTCGCCAACGGGGGTGTGGCGGCCTTAGCTATTAATTAAATTATGTAGGTACGTATTTGGTATTATACATATGCAAAAAGTTTAAAATTCCGATAACTCATTGTGATTTTATGACCACATTTTCAGACCATTCCCATTCATTCCCGGACGTTCTTTAGTACGTATACCAATATACGCATACGTATAAGACAGCTCTGTGTTTTGAACAAAACATAGAATGAAGCAACTAATCAGCATTGCTCATTCAGCAATGGGAATTACCTGTGTATTGTATGTGCATTGTCAATAATGCAACATGATATGAACGACAATCGCTTTTCATAAAATCAACATGTGCTGTTATCAACATTTGACTGTTTATTTTTTGGTCATACGATCAGCTAAGCTTGGAGTTATTATTTTTATTACTTAATTTTGCTAGATTTCGCATAAATCAACATTTAATCAGACTGACGCAAAAGAGTGCAAAATGTGCATCGCAATAAGAAGAGGATACATGAAATATTTGGTGAGCGACTACTAACGAGAACGTTCCAAATGGGATTTGTCCAACCAGACCAAGTAGATAGTAAAATTCGTTGAAATTCTTCTCTGGCCATTTTTTTCAACGAAACCAAGAACTAATGAAGATATGAATTATCAGCAATGTATGCTCAGGCGTCACATTCATTACTGAGTAATAACTTGATGATGGATTTCAATGTCATTCGAACTCCAATTCAGTCCACAAAGTCAGGGTGTATGTATTTATATAAATGTTCATTATGGACATATGTATAGTTTGAAAAAGTTCAGTATTAATACAACGAGTACGTATCATATGTATCATCATTAGGACAACTTTTTTGCGTTAGTTTTGCAATAACTTTTGTTATAAGTGATAATCCAAAGGACAGTGAAGGATTTGATAAAAGACCAGACTCATCATGCAGATCATGCAGCATACTAAATAACAATAAATGCCATAACTAACCAAATATACCCGGATATAAGAAAGATAAGTTTTAAAATGATAAGCTGTTTGTTACTACATATATCTTGACCTGGCGCAATAGTCCTGCGTTTAACATTGCAAATATACAAACATACATATACAAATACATATTTGTATATTGCAAATAAAATATTGTTCAAATAATGACATCCAAAAATTATTCTACAAACTAACACTGCATTTCGGATCGGCTGCTGCCTACACTCCTTGGTTGGTCCTCAAAGGCTTCACATCAATCTGATTAAGTTAGTGAAAACCCCCAACATGACCCAATGGGAGAAAATTGTTCAGTATCAGTTGGTGGAAAAGGCTTGGGTTTGTTATCAAGAACAAGATTTTCCCATCCAAGTTCGAATGTTGCAAACCAAGAGATTTTACCCAAAGTGGCTAGAAATTTCTATAAAGTGAGACAATACATTTTGCCTCAATTACTGCCGCATTTAATTGCAAGTGCTATTTTTCTATAATTTATTGCATTACAGTAATGTCTATGACACCGCTGCAAACATCGATTGCTCTTTTGAACCGCAAGTTGAGCAGTTCAAGACAAATTTCTTTCGGGAATTGAATGCTGCTATTGAGCAAAAGATTTCGAAAGCAAGGGCAACGCAAAATGCTCTTAGCATAGTACAAACTCTTGACCTCCAAACAAGAATTAAAGACCTTGAAGTATGTATACACACGCAATTTACTTACAAACATTTTCTAAATTCACGTCTTGTAAGAAATTTTACGTTTTGCAGCGGCGTTTTAGTAATAATGCCTCTGGATTTTTTATGGTGGTAAAAACGTGTTTGGAAGCCGAGAAAAATTTGATCAGTGGGATGGATAGAGAAATGTCGCTTGCAGTCCAGCCACAATTAATACCTGTTCAACCCCCAGTATTACCCTCGTTATTGCAACAAAGCAAATTCAGCGTGGAGGCGGAATTTTCCAGCCTAAGCACACTTCACCAGGAAATAGTCCATGATACGAACTATTTGCAATCCTTGGAATACTTCACATCATCGCAGAATCAAGATCCTCTGTCTTGTAAGATTCATGCATAACTATCGCATTTCTCCATTACGTGCATATGTATGGACCTACAGATAAATGCAAACTGGATTTATTGAATTTTTTTTGTTTCATGTACTTTCAAGCAATGGAGTCAATTATCAGACGGGATCAAGTGGTACTTTGTCTTGTTCAGTTATCTATTATAAAAAAACCTATATTTAATGAAATTTGAAATTTATCTCAAATTTATCTTTTATTCAACAATTTAGAACTCTAGGCTTAATCAAAATCTGCAAAATTTTGCAGCCCAGTCACAAATTATTTTCCAAAGGTTGTCGGTGCAGGTGAATGAAATTTCAAAATGGTTGAAATCATGGATGGTAGATCAGCGAAGAGTACTAAATGGTGACACTCCGAGAGTTGATTTGGAAGAACTCAGTCTGCTAGCTAATACTGTGACGAAAGGTCTTTTGAACTTGTACCAGATTATAAAATTATACAGCGCCAATGGAGCAATGAACGACAGATTGGCCGAGATACAAGTTTGGGTAAATCCATTCTACTAAAAAATTAGGAGGCATTAATCATTTTTAACAATTTCTTTTGTACTTACTTTTGCTGTAAGATTGGTCACTGCGTCCGTACTTTAATAACAGAAACATTTATTATACATGAACAACCCAAACAAATCCTTCTCATGAAGAGCATCCTTAACAAAAATAGCTCAAAGAAATCGGTGAAAGTGAGGTTGTTGGTCGGACCTGCCTTGCAAAATTTCGGAGTAACCCCGGTGGAAGCTTCACTCATTGAGAGACCCGAAGCCATCAATGCGTCGAAGGACTTAAATTATGTTCCCAAAATTGCCATGAAACTTCAAAATAATATCAGAGATATAGATCCTCACAAGTATATTGCAGATTTCAAGGAAATTAAAATGCCCAAAAAACGCGAAGATTCTTCAACGACTGCAGAAAAAGGGAGCAAGCAGAAAAATCCCACCGGAAACAAAGCGAAACAAGTCCCAACGCCGCAGAGAAAGTATTATTTTCATTTTCGGATAAAACTTTCCTGTTCTGATCTTGATATTCCTGACCTGAGCGTAAGTTGGATATTTAAATGAATATGAAATTTATTTTATTCTCAGTATTTGAATTACTCACCAATTTTCAGTGTTCCACAACATCTGTTCCTGTAATTGTTGATACGCACACAGAGAAGAAAAACGACAGTTGGGCCACCATACTTTGGGACAACATTTCTGCCGAGCTAGACCAAAACCCTTTCCCAGAAGACTTGAAAATTGATGGCAGTAAATTAATTGATGTTTTTAGCAAGATATTTCAAAAGGATACAGGCAGAGAATTATCTGTCAGAAATAAGGAATTTTTGCTGAAAAAGATTATGAGGTAAATTTATAGTCGTACATATATGCATTATTTCGGTCGGGATGACACATCAAAAGCGACCATGTTTTTTTCAAATTCAAATAGCTGTTCCGATGTTCCCACTGAAAAAGTGAGTTGGGAAATGTTTTTTCATCACCCGTTACAAAACTGCTTAAGACCAGAAAAATTGGTTGGGACGCAAAACGAGTCTCCAGACAATGACGACGAGTCTGACTTGGAATCAATCACGTCAAAGTCATCCAAACCTGTCAAGGTGAAACACGTAACGTTTCATTCTTGGATATATGAAATCAAGCAAATGTGCACGCCATGCACCCAAAATAAAACGGGGATTCCCAAATTTTGGAAGGATGGCATGATTGAAGGATTCATTGATAGAAATACCCTTCATGAGGAGCTACAGAAGAAAAAAGGTCGATTTGCTTTGTATTTTTCCGACGCGTTACTTGGAGGCCTGACAGTTGCTTGGTATAACTTGGAAATGAAAAGTAAGGAATTGGTTTTTATTCACTACTTTGTACTTTTAGCTATTATAACATTAAATTATGGAATTATGCCAACTATAAGTGTTTGAATGAATTGTATTGAAAAACCAGAATTGCAACGACTTTCTCCGTTCACGCCCAACACGTTCGTCGAAAATAACGAACTCGAACGTCGACTTCATGATCAGACGCAGCTACAAAACTTGTACCCTGGTGATCAACCGAAAAACATTGCATTTCCGTTTGATGCAGATCGTAAGCTTGATTTTAAAACAAATCATAATAGATGGACATAAAATACTCCTTAATTGTGTAGGAATGACTGTAATGCAAAGAAAATTGGCGAATGGTGGATATACTCCTCACTGTTCTAAACTGCAACAGATGAATCCATTGAGTTAATAAATTACAAATTTCCCTTGGTCGTCGTTACTTGCTATTATCAAAGGCTTCGTTTCGACTTGCTAAATGCTAACTATTCTATAATACCTGGTAATTCGATAATCTATTTCTACGTTACTACGAAAAAATAGGAGACCTGAGATTTATCTCCTGATGAAGAGAGAAGACTAGAACCGAAAGCTCCAGCAAAATATTGTTTGCACAATTGCTGCTTTGCTGTACTCCACTAAATTATTGCTAATTGTGTTATCTTTACTGAAGCATTTACATTGATTTAAGTTAAAAAGGTCATATAAACATCACTATACTTGCAATATGTAAAACCTACAGTGCAGACTTGATATAGCCCGAGTCAGGCTAAGTTGTGCTTATCCCCTAATCCGACTTTTATGCATAAAATTTTGTAAATATATATCAATAAATTTATAAATTTAAATGGATTTTTTTCAATTTAAATTCATGTTCTTCCATTAGTAACAATTACCATCCTCTGTAACAAACAGCTTGATCCGACGATTACAAAAAATTACTATGGGTTGCCCAGTAGGATCCCTCTATATAAAAATTGTTCCTATTTTAATTAATATTCTTCCATTATTAGGAGCCATTATCAACTTTTCTACCAAATTTCAGCTCGATTTGATGAATTTGAAAAATTAGTATGGGTCTGCCCAAGTAAATATGTGTCTAATTTCACTTCATACTCTTCCATTAGTAGTCATTAGCAATCCACCAAATTTCAGCTTGCTTGGATGAGTTTTAAAAATCGGTATGGGTCACCCCCTAGGGTCCCTCCAGATGAAAATTTTTGAAATTTTACTTTATATTCTTTCATTAGAGACCATTATCAACCTCTGTACCAAATTTCAGCTTTCCACGACGATTTCGAAATTTTGGTGCATAATACCCCACCCACCTATATGACCCCCACCGGTCAACGACTAGACCGATTTCGCTTATCTTCGAACTTAACTCCTCATTTGACCCATACTACATATGTGCAAAATTTCTAGTCGATCGGATTAGTTTTACGGCAGTTATCGTGAGACAGACAGACAGACAGACAGACGGACAGACGGACGTGACGGGTACATAAGCCCTGACTCGGGCTAAAACCCATGAATTACATCTTATGATTATTTTTTCATAGTTTGAAAGTAGGAAACTGTAATTGTAACAGGAAACATTTGTCGGTGAAAATTGCGTCTCAGAATCAATCTCCTTTTATGTGTTTTCATGTGTACCACACAATCGAATTTGCATGTACATATTGGTGTGTGCAGTCATTTTAGAAAATGTCACAAGGATGAATAAGAAAACTTGAATTCAAATATTTCCTGTTTTTCGAACAAATAAACTAATCTAAACCCAAGTTCGTTATTCTCATTAAATCCAGAATTTAATCGAAAGTTGGAAACGTAATTTAGTAAAGCTTGCAGTCGTCTCGTGTCTCCCTTACTATCTCCTTTTCGTGATTTCCTTCCTTTTGACAGAAACCAAATCAACTTAATCAGTCAAAGCCAATCTGCTCCAACTAATCTAAAGACGTCAAGAGGCTGAACTTTTCATTTTGCAAGTTTACTCCGTCTTTGTTTCATTGTCATTGCAATCGAAAACTTTGGACAGTCTTCTTGGACACGAATTCCGTAAATTCTACTTGCGTCAGAGGACAGAATGAAATGCCACCACACGACAACAATTCACCTGTTCATTCACCGCAACAAAGACTTACTTGCCCATCACGTAGCTTAATTTGTTCCCTTTCCATAACAATTCTGGATTCATCCAATTCAAAGCGGACGTACAAGTATGGAAATATGTTGATCTGCATGTTAGCGTTGAACCTTAACCAACTCTGAAACTGGTCGGTGTTGGCCTTGAGTCAAGTTTTTACATGTCGCTCCTGCATTCGAGGTGTGACTACTTGGAAAATTTGTCGATGACCGACGTATGTAAGTAAATAAATAGCATTTCTGCGAAAATATAATCAATTATACTTGTCAATTGACGGTGGGGAGAAGTATGTTCTGAAGAAGGGACAGAGACGACAAGTTGAGATGATCCCAAGTTCTAATTCAAAATACAATACACGACGGATTCGACACAGAAACTTACAAATTCTAGGGACACACTCTCGTAGTAAGTTGTAAAAGCTTAACAACACTTCTAAACCGCAACTCTGCAAACATCACGTAACCGAATTCTGTAGTCAACAAACAACTATAGCAAACTATGAGACAGCTATGAGGAACCCGTATCCTTCAGCCAAATCTAGTTTCATGGTGGAAGAACAGAGTCCCAGTTTATGTTAATCATTTCTTCATATCTTCTTGACCTAAGTTAATAACAGTAACTCGGCCGGGTATGGAATAAGATGAAATGCAAACTTGTTCGGTGTTGGGATAAAGTTGGCAAATCTTAATCTTGGTCACAATGAAACCCGTCCAAAGTTGGTGCGTAACTTGAGACAGTCCTAAGGATAAGTTTTGGGTGTGCATGAAACTATGTATATCTTGTTTGGGAATGAACTTTTGACATCAACGTCTAATCTTGAACTGATTATAACTGCGTTACTGATTATTTAATTGAACTTTTATTATTATGAACTAAATCTTTATATGAAACTAGAATTAAAATTTCGTATACATGTATGGACCAACTTAATGTACAAGGTCAGTATATGTATCATGATCGGTGAGATCATTCCTCCACAAATTCCATAATCGGCATTGGATTCTCTGGATGCTTCTCTAGCCTGTGAAAAACAAGCATTTATACCAATTTTGTATTGCATGGATTATTTAAGGATTCGTATGGATTTCGTACCCTTGAAATATTTTGAGGTAGTCAAATGAGCGTCCCTTTTCGCCCCGGTCTAAGGAATTCAGTTGAGCATGGTCTTCTGCTGTCATCTCAAAGTCAAATAACTATGGGAAAAGTGAGACTCTTAGGAAATTCAGGGTTATAAAGAACAATTTCTGGTATTAAGGTGAATAATATCTATGTACCTCTATATTTTCGTGTAATCTTACTGGAGATACGCTTTTTGGGAGCACAACAACCTTTTCATCTACCAGAAACCTCAACAGTATTTGGGCTGGAGATTTGCTGTAGCGTTGAGCAATGGCAGTTACTATTGGGTCAGCAAGGACTTGAGGGACTCCGTTTGGCCTAGAAATTTGAATAAGTCTTTGAGTACGCTTTCTTTAATTGATAAAAATCCTAGGTGTCAAATTACTTAAATGCTTCTCGCCTCCCAGGACTTCCAAGTGGGGCGTATGCCTCTACGACGATTCCGTTATTCTTACAAAAGTCTCGCAGTTCTTTTTGTTGGAAATAGGCATGCACCTCAATCTATCACAAGACTGGATTACTGTATTTCTTATTACTAGTTTTGTGTTATTATATTTAGTAGTTAATTACTTGTAAATTTGCTGGGGGTATTCTGCACTTTAAAATTTGTGAGATTTGTTTCACGTTGAAATTGGAAATACCGATTGCCTTCGTGCGGCCGGCAATGACCTGCTGCTCCATCGCCTTCCACAGGCTGACAAGGTCGGTATGAGAAAAGTCAAGTTGAATTATCCCATCCTTTTTTGGAAAGTAGTTGTCTTCGTTCTCATATTGAAATCCTACCGGAAAATGAATGAGGTACAAGTCGACGAAGGAAGTCTTCAAGTTTTCCAAGGATTTCTTGAGAAAATATTCAACTCGATCGGGGTGATTTCCAATCATTGGAAGCTGTTGATTTTTTAAATGTTAACCAATTGTCTTATTCATAATGAGTATGCATACAGATGTACACAAAGATATGCGCATACATATATCGTAGTTACAAACCTTTGTCGTTATAAACACATCTTCTCTGGAATATTCACCTTCGCTAAAGATTTTTTCAAAAGCTGTTCCGATCCAGGCTTCGTTCTATAATTTATCATTTCATGCAGTAAATATCAGTAATTTCTGGGCTCAAAAATCTCAAAAATCTACAAGCTACAAAGCAAACGTGTAAGATATTATGTATGCTCGATGTATGTATGTACTTACCCCGTAAAGCAAGGCACAATCAAAAAGCCGATATCCGGATTTAAGGGCGGTCCTAAGTGTATCTTCGATTTCATCTTCTTTAATCTTGACAATGTACAACGCATGCTTATGAATTTGTTTAATTCACAATTGGGATATTTTTAAAATCTTCATACCGCACCGCATCCAAGCCCAACACAAGGAATTTGAGCACCGTTGGACAAATTAAAGGTTTTCTCCATTGTACCGGATCCTTAGACAAGGCAAAACTAATGGGAAACGCAAGGAATTAAGGAAACAAATCCCAACACGACAATGTCCAAGTCGCACACCCCTTGATCTCTGCTGATGTATGCAAACTGGCTTCGAATGGTTCACTGTAATCGACCAGCCCAATATTAAAGTTGCATGCAGATTATGCAATGTGTTATCTCAATCTACTGCTCAGTCCTCAAGTGATCAAAATGAATAACAAGAATTATCAGTACGCATATATATTCAAGTTTTATCCACCTGTATTCAAGTATGTGTACTATATGAATGCATGTATATATGACTAATATTTTATTTATTGTTCAAGTTTGAATGGTAATTGAGCAGCTGAAGGTCACAGATAAATGCGAATACAACAGAGCTGTATTGAAGACCTTTAACAAGAATTAGTTTTTTTTATGAAAATAAAGTAAAAACTTGTATTTGATTAAATAATATCTCTGTAAGATCTTCTCATTGACATCGTCCAAACTCGAGTTGTATTGCAATGTGTGCATAAAAATAAACCGTCACATTGGGCTGGACGGTTCATGGTTAATAAGTATGTAAAATATGTGTTTAAGTACTTTGCATACATACATCAATTATTAGAAGATTAATCAGAGTCAAAAATAACGCGGAGCAAACTATTTTTTAAAATAAAATTTACGTATTTGAATTATTTGTGCAATACATATTGCTGATTTTATGATTATCAGTATTAAATTGTATTAATTATTGAAATTCTTGCCCTGTCACTCGTCATCGAAATGTTTTGCGTCGTGTGTGCATATTTGGTAATGAAACTGTCAATCAAATTTTGTGTCCTACATATATTTTTACGTCAACATTCACCTTTCCTATCAAATGAGATTTGTTACACTACAAACGAGTGAACTTTGCATTAATACTTCCTCGTCTTATAAATAATTTTGTCGTGAAGCAAAAAAATGGAGAAGTCAACATTACCTTGTTCCAAATGCATTTTAAAATTTCCTATCTGTACAAATGAGTAATTATGCAAACAATGTGGGACCTGCACTACTGTGCACTAAGCAGAAATTAAATACCTGTAATCTCTAAATATGTGTTTATGAACCATTCCTCTTGAATACTTGAGAGGACTTCTCCTCTTTTTATGGAATAATGTCCATTTAAAAAATGATGATGTACTTGCGAAATGATCCAACTGAATGGCATATAATTGATACAATTGACTTACATATAGTTTTTAGTATGGAGACTAATACAGGAGTAAAAATCTGTAATTTTGATTTCTAATGATTCTTGGAAAGCAATTTAATATGTCACATATTTTCAGTGATTACTCAATTACAGAACTTTTATATATAAGTTGTAAGCTTCCTTCCGTAACCTGAATCCCGTACAAATTCGGTTGACGTTAGCGAATGTAACGACAGAGAACGACATATGTAAGATTGTTATCTCTTTCTTTACAGCATGTCGTAAATAAATAAGGTACACTCCGGAAACAGTGGCACAAAGCTCGCGAACAGAAATTCTGGGTAAACGATAACAACTAAAACGAAAATATTATGTTTTTGAAACATTATATCAGTCTATTTTGGTATACTACTTTTAATCGTAGAAAAATTGTTCTGAACGGCAGAACTTTGAAACGTTTGTACAGGTATTTGACAAAAACTTGGAAGTCACTAATTTTAATTAGCCAAAAGATGTTCAAAACTGAGGCCTGCATATTTACGTCGAAAAGTTCAAGGATTTTAAAAATGATCATTTTAACAATCCATGTCGTCCTCCTGACAAGCTATGGAACGCCAAAGTCATTAAATTTCTTGAACCTTAATCTACTTGCTAAATACTGTATCTTTTTATAAAGTTAAAATTTCACAAAGGTGGATATGCCAAAATCGGAGTTCAATTGATGATCAAAAATTAAAATAAAGAATACATTCTCTCAAGAAATTATTTTCAAAAATTCGTGAAAATGTTGGCATTATGGAAATTGAGCTTAAATGGTGTAACACGTCGTGATATTTAAAATTTTGTCATTTTACAAGTTAGAATATGCGCGGCATCAAGATAAATCTAATATCTTTGGAAAATTTGATTGAAAATAAGATAAAATCAGGCTGTAAGGTGGTAAAACGGCAGGAAAAATTTGGGTGCAAAATCCCAGCAACAAAGTTGAATTGCCTTCTAAAGGGAATGCGAATCTTGGGCTATTAATTATGTTAAATATAGATGGGTTTTATAATATGCATGTGCAAAATGTTTCAATATTCATGAAATATTGGTTGTTATACTAGCATTTCGCCTTTTGGTGACACTGTGCCATTATTTCCTGGATGATCTTTAGCAAGTCTTCAAAGGCTGGGTCAACAAAATGCAGAGTGATTTTAGTAAGCTGCTGCTCCTCTCTTAATTAGTTTTGGATTTGAAATCATAAAATATGAAATTAGATTTTGGATGAGAAAAGGAGGTCCTAAATCTCAGACATTTTAACGGCTTCGCTGTTTCGAAGGCATACACGCGTATATTATATTGAATAATGTGTAGCTTATGTAAGGGTTTAATAAGTGTATTGAATGGATGCACCTTAAAGGCATCCTTCTGAAATACTGATCTCTTTATATCACACATGAAAAGATTTTCTTGTGAGGAGACGATGAGTACATCATATGCTCCTAGCATCGTATGTAACACCAAGGAATAAATATTTCCCAGATAAGATATCCAAGAAAAGTGAAGTTGACTGGACAAAGAAATAAAGTAATTGAGACAGGGATGAAGAAAATAAGAAGGAAAAAAGAGATTTCCGAATTGATTAGAAAAATGAAGGGCCACTGCATGACAAGAAGTGAAAAGTAACTCGGCATTAATATCCCTGTGCCATTTTATGTCAAACTTAACGAGCTCCTGGAATCTGATATCTTAGTTTCGGAGAAAACTTAGTTGGACTCATATTTATTTCTGTGTCTTCCCCCGGTCCAAAGTTTAAGTAACTTCTTTAAGTTGCGACTTGAGTTTCAGGCTGTCTGACCGTGTTTCCAGTTAGCATTGATGTGGTTGCGTGCTACGATCAAATTCTGCAAATATGTACGACATACATACATACATATGTACACACATACGAGTCAACTGAAATTGTGTGCTGAAAACAATGTGAAGAATCTGGCTATTCTATATCCAATTACAAGTTTCATTCGATTAGATCGAGTCGAAAGTGTATGTATTTAGGAAAGAAGTGAACCAATAGTTATGATTATTATGGGAATTATCGAAAACTACCAAACCTGACTTTTTTCTTTTCTTTTACTTTGGTCAAGCATAACGTTTATCCCCCATTTGTACAAGATAGTCAGGGGAAGGATAGATAAGGGAAATGTGAAGTCATTCGATAGATAAGTGCTGTCTGGAGATGCCGTTATACAGACGTTCGGCTATATGCATTCTTCTGATACCATATCAATACTATATTATATAGTATTGATATAGTCTATATAAATATTACATAGAAAAATGTTGCACCCATTTACTGAGCATATATACAGTTAATTAATCATCATCATCATTATTATTATTCTTAGAGTTGCGTCTTTCTCGTACGATTCATTAAACATTGGCAATTACATCTTTGGGAGATTTAGATAAAAAGAAGTAGCGGTTACACGCGCAAAATTTTCACAAAACGCACAATGCGTTGTGCGCATTTATCAATCAAGGGTGTGGGATTAAATTCTTCTTTGACCAAAGCTCTCAAACTGCGACTGATAAAATAGTGGTCACTTAATCAAAATATTAAATAAGTTTCAGTTAAATTCCAGAAATTTAAATTATTATTATTACAAATATTATAAGTACCCTTTTGCCTTGACAAGCAATGAATGATACATTTTCTCACTTGCAGTTGCTCTTTCCTTTGCGAAAGTTTCACTTTAGCTACAAGAAGCAAGACAGCAGAGATAAAGCAACACCAAGCTGCCAAGTTGTAAATTCAATATTTACGAGTATATACGCGTGGTATATGTATGAAGTAGGAATGTGTCTGGAAAACCGGAAGAGGCGAATAAGGTTAAGGCAGGAGCTGGGAGACATATAGCAAAGTTTTGCAAATTGTTTGTTTCGATTTGGACTTTGTCGTCGAGTTGGACGCAATATCATTTGTGAACATCTAGCAAATGACCCCATGGGTATCCAAGTGATGCTGTGTTTGAGCACTCGTTAGTGCGGAGACCTTTGGAAGAAACAAATGAGTCCCAGGAGATGTTCTGGCCATAGTTACCCATTGGTCCGTAAAACCCATCCAAAACCATTTAGTAGACATCCGGCCACTGCCAGCCAACAGCAGAGCCAAGTCGTGTATACTTTTACTTTCCCCCATCTCAATCTATCCTAATGTTCTCATTACTTGTTTATTTCGTATCTTGACGAGAATTTTGAATTTCCAAGTCCTGAATCACGTCACAAGGAAGAATGTTGTTGCAGGTTGAACCTGATCGGTTAGGGTTATACTTTTGCCACAGATTCGTTGGGTGTCTCATTTAATTCAATCTCGGGGAACTCTAATCTGCATTCGAATGAGTTGGCTTTGTCAGTGGATGGGACTCAGCTGATTCACATCTTTGTCGGAGATTTTACTACCTAATTCTGCTTTCCTTACTTAATCGCCGCTCTGGCAAATGACAATAATAATAGTAACTCGCACTGGTGGGAGGTTTAGTCGTAATAATAATGAAGGGATCCACGACGTGCACCAAGGCAGCTGCGTCCTGATTTGTAAGATTTAGATTTGGGTTCTTGCAAACACTGCGGCGTATACTTATATCCAACAACGGCTCCATATTACATGTAGATATGCATATATATTTCACTAACTTGGGAGCCAGTCTGAAATAATAGGAGAAAAGAAAAAACCTGTGAACTATCCTGTTATTGATTACGCCACGAAAACCAAAATCTTGAAATGGATGATTTTAATGTTAATGATGATGACTCGGATTTCTACTAAAACAAGCCAAATGCAAAATGTGTACATAATCCAGCCAAATTCTCAACATTTGTTAGGCTAAATATTGCAGAAGGAGATTCAAGGAGGGAGCGATTACCAATCAAAATGAAAATTAGGAAAGTGAGGAATTAGGCTGGATCGAGGACCGTCGAGAAATGGAACCAAACTATGTTGATTCGACAAAGTATGTGATAGTGGCCATTATGCGGAGAAATTAATATGGGAAATTAGCCTGAGTCGATGTAACGTTGATTATGCTTCCCCATTATTGGAACCGGTGTGGATTACTTTGTGGAAATCGGGAAATGAGCCTTGAGCAAAATCTTGTAACACATTTTCTACATCTCGCCTTCCACCACAACTGACAACGGTTCTCACTAGTGTCTTGTCTCAATTTCCCTGCACATCGAAAGTGCTATTGTAAATGCAGACTCTCACAAGGCTTATTTAGTTATCGAGACGTATTGAAACCTGTTATCGTACATTGTATAAAAAATCTACTTAAGCCCATTTTAACTATTGAAAAGCCCATACAGATAGACTAACCCTAATTTCTGTAATGATGTATTCTGTTTTATTTACTAACTATTACTAACTAAATACATCTCAAAAAGAATCTGCCTTACGAATATTACATAAACTTTTATCATAAAAGTTTTTTATGTATGTATACCATGCTGATTTATAATTAAATTTTTGCATTCCCGAGTGTGGGATGATTTCTTGTGTCAAAAATTAACAAACAAAAGAAATATAGACATTAGTATCAAATAGCATCCTCCTTCGTCTTAAACTTATCTATATGTGGTATCCCAATTCTACAAACTTGTAAGAACATCTGCAAATATGTACTACCAACTAATTGCTTCGTACGGGTTGTGCCAAATTATTCTTTTGGTTAGCTAGGTAAATGTTTCGTTCTAAAATTGAATTTATTAAAAATAAAATTTTATGTAATATACATCAGGATAAAATAATTTTCAAGTTCAAGGAACAATGCTTTCATTCACATTTGTCACACAGCAGCAATAAATTTATTTCCAGAGTCCAAAGTGTAAATGCGAACCATTTGTCTGACTTGCTCGGTTGTTATTGTGTGCGCCTTTTGTAGATTCCTCCGCCCTGTAGTTTGCAGAAAAATAGAAGTTGCATAGGAGAAGACATAATTTCTAAGCCTTTTTGATTTATCGCACGCATTTTGTTTTCTGTTGCGTTAATGTCTTTCACTACAGCGACCCAGAGTTTAGCATAAGTGTTGATATTAATGCTCTGAATACGACACCACCCTAGACTTTCACCACCCTAAAGTATCACCACCCTAAAAACAACTACCCGTTCCAGCCCTATAGTGCATTGAATTGATTAAAATTCCCAGTTGTTGTTGTCACCCGCAGACGAGGAGGAAATGCAAGTCGGTAATAAGAATTTTGTCATTTCCCGATGAGCACATCAAGATGTCTGGAAATTAATTATTGTTGCCCATGCGTTCCTTTGAAATTGAGAGCAGGATTAATTGTTGCTGAGGCTGGAGCCAAATTATCGCTCTCCACTCTTCTCAGTCAAGAAAAGGTAGGGTGCGGATGTTGGCGATAAATATTTTGTACATAGTTGTGTAAATTGACCCCATCTACTCCATTTCCATTTCCTAAATTCAGTTTCCTTCGCTGCTGCCATTCTATGTATGCTAGCTCTCCAGATCCCATCATTTAAGTCAGCGAGTGAATTTCTTGGCATGAAACTGGCCCGTGTAAAAGGACAAGTCACCTTTACGACCTTCCATAAAATTTCCTTTGCGCCAAATCGCACTCGAATAGCTAAAATTATGGCCTAAATTCGCATTTTATTCCTTCATAAGGGAGCCAACAACCAAAAGCAGAGCCCATCTGTCTTGAACATTTCATCTTGAAGGAGACAGATCCACAATTCCACCGCTCTTAATTCCTTCCCCACTTCCTGGCAAAAAGATAAACCAACAAATAAATAGTGTTGCCAGAAGTATGTATGTAGCAGCCCAGTGCAACCGCCAGCAGTACATACTTGCAGGACTCTCAGGTTTACACGTAGACTTTCCCTTTGTACCATTTTGCAGCATTTACTGCATATGTGACATGTCGATTAATTAATGTATGCACGACGGCGAAGTAAGTATTCCCGAAAAAACCGTCCAGAATTCTCTGACCACTATCTGCCTACGTACATCGACCACCGCAACAATCACCGCAATGATTGTAATATTCAAATAACCGTGGAATCCTGTGGGGTTTGAAACATTTCTTCTTTAGATAACCCCGTTTTAGCTTTGTTTTGCTAATATATCTACGTTATCAAGAAGAGACGTAGTTCATGCTGCCGATAATTCAGTTACATTTGTTGGGGTAAACTTGGAGAATTTTTGATGATATATTGCAGCGTTTTTACTTTCTCTTTCCCTCCATGTGGTGCTGGCTTCCTGCTTTTACTCTATCCAAAAAACAACATTGGTTCTCTTAGAGTTGCCGTTGCCTGTTGTGTCCAATTCCAGTTGGAGAAAGTAGGTAAAAGTTACTTTTTCCAACATTTTTTCAGGTTTCCTTTCTCTTTTTGCTTCTTTGGAAATCGCGACGGGAAGGATTCTACCAGGGTAAGAAACTATTTCTACACAATCAATTAGTTCAAACACCAGTGAGAACTGCACACATCATACATCACGATGCAATAAGTCATCAGTATGGAATGGACCAGAAGGCAAGAAATGTACATGTACGTACATACATATAGCTGTATATCTAATCCTAAGTATGTGTGTAAGTATTATATGTATTTAGTTGTTTGTTTTGGACTTTTGGTCTATCTACAAATAAGTATATCTGGAAGTACACATATATCTCTCTTCCTCGTGTCGAAAGCTTTCAACAATGCAATGTCTGCGCCAGAGAAGTCTGGCCTTTGCCCTTAATAAATTAAATCGTGAGTTTTCTGCAGATCGGGCACTGTATTGCACAGTCTCTTTTCCTTTTCCTTTGAGTCATTTTTTCAGTAGAAAATATCGCAATTTCAATTTTAATACGACTGAATTTGAAGTGAGTTTATTGTAAACATGCACCCGTGATTAATTTAAGCAAGCATTTTGCGGTATTCTATATAGGCAACACGTCTGTTGTACATATACATAAATGCATTGCGAAAGAAGAAGGAAATATAAATATTTATCATAAGGTTAACAAACGTCCATTTCAATTTATTAGACATTTGTACATATTTGGACACATTCTTGGCAAGACGACCCTTTCTTTGCTTTACTGCATTTGAGTGAGTACGACGAATAAGAATGAAATCGTTGAAGGATGAAACATTGCGTGCATAATTTGATTCATTATGACACATTAATCTTAATCAATCCGACTTCTGAGTTTGGTTAAGGCTCCGACTACAAGACTGAGATGTTCAACTCGACTCTGCTATTTTGCTCGGAATCTTTCATTTTCTGAAACTATATTCCATCCACCATCAAATGTGTCGGTTTGAGTTAGGCGTGCTTCACTAACCAAGTGTGTGTGGAGTGGAGTGTTGCCTTACAAATTGGATTACACGGATGGAGAGTCAACAAAATCATGGGAAACAATAACGAATGAATTTATGCTGGAGAGACGTGGAATTAATTGTTTCTTTCTTTATTCGCTTACTTTACTATTATAAACTTGGTCATCTCAATTTCCACGAAATGACAGTGTTGTTTCAACGACTGGTTTATTCAATACAAATTAAAAAAACCTACAGTGCAGACTCCATATAGCCCGAGTCAGGGACATAGTCCCTGACTCAATAAGTCAGAGCCCGCTTCTAAATTCTTTTCCGAACTGACCAACATAATATCACCAACTTCCGTGTTGTGGATGGTTAAAAGTCTGTTAGATAGTTTCTATTATTTGGTACCAAATTTTTGAATTTGTTACAAATCATGTGCCTTGACCACCATGACCAGTGGCTTCTTTAACATCCTGAAGTTCTAAGCTGTATGTATGTGCTATTCAGCCTCCAAATCAAATTTCAGCTCGATATAACGATTTTTAAAAATCAGTATGGGTCACCCCATACTGATTGCACTCTGTTCACTTTGGTCTGGTTGCACTTTGTTCACTTTTAACTTCATATTCTTTAATTAGCAGTCATTAAGTATCATTGTGCCGGATTTCATCTTTTTAAAGCAATTTCTAAAAATCGGTATGGGTCACCCCATAGGGGCGTTCCAGATAAAAATTTTACCAATATCATATCATATTCTTTCATTAAGACCCATAAGCAACCTCTCCACCAAATTTCAGTTCGATATGATGGTTTTGAAAAATCGCTATGGGTCACCCCATAGGGTCACTCATGATGAAAATTTTTCCAACCTGAAGTTATTTTTTTCTATTAGGAGCCATTAGCAACCTCTGTACCAAATTTCAGCTCTCTACAACAATTTTGAAATTTTAGTGCATAAGACCCCACCCACTCCGATGACCCCCACCGGTCAACCACTTGACCGATTTCGCCCATCTTCGAACTCGTTTCCTAACTTTGTCCAATATGCATATGGTAAAAATTTCAAGTCAATCGGTTCAGCCGTTTTGGCTCTATCGTGCCGGACAGACAGACGGACAGACAGACGGACGGACATGACGGTTCCATAAGCCCTGACTCGGGCTAAAAACATTAGTTACTAGTAATAATTAGCTGTACTTTTATTATTAAATAAAATTATCGTATGAAAGAAATGTTGACCATTTTCTAAAGAACTATCGGTAATTAAGCATAGAACATAAGTTAACTAGCAAGTTAACTAGTTAGGAAGATGTAAGTAACTGGCAAATTAAATTAACTTTTTAACATGGCATGGCGTGCTTATATATAATTGCTTTTTCTTCTATAACAATGTAAGAGGAGTGGAGATCAACACAACGCGATCAAGTTATCATGCATACGGCAACGGAGCTTTGGCGACACACGACAGAGTCAGTTTTGATAAGGCATCATCCTTACCTGGAGGGTTTGCTCGTCTTCTTCCATCCCACAACTGCCATACTTTCGTTTACTCAACAAATTGTGCTCCACTTTCTCCGCCACAAGGTGCTGTTCGGATGCAGGGTTTCCAGCTGAGAAGTTGGGTTATCTTCCTCATTAATTTTAAAGACGTCCACGAAATCAGAGGGAGTAATAAGAAAGGATTGGATCTGGGTAATATGCAACGTGTGACGGACTTGTAAGCCTATGCAGTTCAGTTGTCAAAAGTGTTATCTTACCATCGGAGTAGAATACCAATTAAAACTAAGTTTGTCCTTTTTAACTTTTAAGATTGAGTTGTTCAAAGAGTTAAAGAGAGGCGGTGGTGGTGATCATTTAGTACTAATCTAAAGTAAATAATTGTACGTGTGCCTATATTTATACTAGACGATAAATAGTCCTCGGTTCTTGATTATATGCTTGAGTGAAAGTAGAATTCAACCACATGGAACCAAGCAGATTTCATGAGATTAGAAGCGATTAGCCTTTTTGTTAGAAGGAAATGCTCTCAAATCTGAAAATTGTTGAGCTGATCTTGAGAATTTGGTTGGTTATATGGGAGAAGTTGGAGGGACGCGAACGTAGGACAGGATTATAGGTTTGTGCCAGATTGCTCAACAAACTTCTGAGAAAGTGGGATCTCCGGCATGTGTTCTTAATTATAAGTCTCTCAGTATAATGGCATAAAATATAAGTCTTTCTACATCCAGTCGTACGCAAATAGAGGTAAGTGCTCCTTTCAATTTCCATCCTCTGACAGCTTTCCCCGTGTGTACATATAGTTCAAATAAGCAAGAAAACCAGCAACCACAACGCAGGAAGGGACGACTCGTCATGACGCCATGCATATTTCACTCTTATGGATGTTTGACGAACGCATTAGTTGCGCAACATGTGTAACCTAACCTTCTAGGATGTTGGATATCTTGAAAGAAAATGGGAAATTTAAGTATTAGAATACTTACTTGATTCTCACATTTTCCATTTTCATCAAATGCTAGTCTTGGATTGGAACAGTCAGTATCATAACACCCGACAACAGGCAGACTGGATAATGTAAATTGTAAATACTATAAAATTTAAACTAAATTCGTACTCTGTCAAGATAGATTAGTAAATTTGTATACTTTCACTTGAATACATGTACATCTCACATTTAGAGTTTCTTCATTGCATACATAGTATTTCATACTGGGGAAAATTGAGATTTTATGTGTACTCCAACGTTTTGCTGTACATCAATTAAAGCTATCAAAACTTTGTTGATCTTTTCAGGTGGCTACTATAAGAGTCACCAAATTGTTTATATTAGCAAATACGAGTCATGTATTTATATATACACACTGTTTCTTGTCATAAGAATATTTTCACAAATCCAAGCTAGGAAAGTACAGGTAACTTGTAAAAGTAGCTAATGAAAGGTGAAAGCGCTGTGAAGGTGAAAAGAAGTGAAATCTTGCACACGAACGAATGAATATGCCACAAGTTTTCGGCCTTGTCTCCTTCCTCAGGAGGGGAGCTTGCGAGGTTGATAATAACAGATCTTGGTGCCCTTTGGATATGTGGTAGGGACCCATGAGTGTACTAAAACCCTGAAGTAGTTTGACTCCATGGCCACATTTGCGCCCGCCACACCCACTCAAAAATGCCCAAAAAACGCTTTCACTCGAGTTTTCACTCACTCAAATCCACGTCAAAAATCCAATTTTACTCGGATTTTGAAATTTCTTTCACCATTATACTCCCAGATAGTTGTTTTCTTCAATCCAATATCAAACTCAATTTTATTGATGATTATTTCGCAAACATAATTTGTTTTGTTGATGACTACAACAATGCTCATTCAGAATTTTAAATTTTAAAAATACTAAAAATTTCGAAAAAATTGAGTTTGATATTGGATTGAAGAAAGCAACTATCTGGGAGTATAATGGTGAAAGAAATTTCAAAATCCGAGTAAAATTGGATTTTTGACATGGATTTGAGTGAGTGAAAACTGGGGTGAAAGCGTTTTTTGGACATTTTTGAGTGGGTGTGGCGGGCGCAAATATGGCCATGGAGTCAAACTACTTCAGGGTTTTAGTACACTCATGGGTCCCTACCACATATCCAAAGGGCACCAATATCTGTTATTATCAACCTCGCAAGCTCCCCTCCTCAGTTAAACATGCATACGTTCTGCTCCCGTATTTAACACGATTCACACCCATTTATAAAAACCGCACAAAAATTTCCTTTCAAGTTGGGAAATGAATCATATGTCACCAGGTTTTCCCCCTGCTGTTGATGACATGCGGTGAAGGAACAAGCTATCAAATAAATTAGAGTGATAGAGAACGCCTGCTGATTCTGTCACTTAGATCAGACTTGCAAAAATTCTAATGCTGGGTTTCAAAGTATATACGAAAAATATGATGTCCAATCTACCCAAAAATGGTTTTTCATGTCTGAATTGTCAAATGGCATTGCCCGTGTTAATCTGCAAAAAACTATGCAAATTTTTATTTGCGTATTTGCGTATTTGGGCCTAATTTCATTTGCATCAAACGATGCGCATTGTAAATTTTATCATCTCTATATGATGTTAAACACTGGTCACATTTTCCCAATAAGGGCGCACAGTGTTCTCGACAGTTTTGACCTCGGTTCCACCCAGCAGATCTCCGAGAGTCCTTTGAATTTCAAAAACTTTTTTCTTTCTCTTCAACTCAACACAGGCAAAAGCCAACCACAACAACCGCGATAATATGCATTATAGCTGGTCCTAATGTGACCCAATCTGCTACATTACTCGTCATACGTCATAATTAAAACAGCCACATTATTTTGATTTTACAAAAACTTCAACTAAAATCAACTTTTGAGCTGTACGCGAAGGCAGAAGGTCATACATACCTTATTATCTCAACGATCTATATTTTTTTGAACTAGTTCAACCTGTACGGAACAGCAACCCTTCCACCCTCCAATTCATGCTTCATTTCACAAACCTACCACAACAGTGTGAAACTGGAAGGTTTCATGCTTTGTGGTAGGTGCATAACAATCGGGTGTGTGGGCGCATCTTCTCCTCAGAAGAGTTGAAAACAGGCCAAGTGACAAGACGGATGCGATGTTTGTCATCCGATTCACAGCAGGAGAAAGGGGAGGCAGACGGAGAAAGTGAAGAAGTACGAATAAGAATGGCTTAAGAATACGAAGACTGTCATCTCATCTTTGTGGTGACACTTGACTTCCTGCATTCGAAAGTGGGCTGGTCTGTTGGCGTCTCATATTTTATTCAAACACTCAACTCATCATCATTTGACTCGACTTCTTGACACTTGTCTCATCTTTTTGTCAAAGTTAAATCCAAAATTAGTATTCTGATGTGAGCAAATGGCCCCTCCAAGGGATTTGCTTCGTATTTATTTTGCATAATGCCATAAACGCCATTGCTTCTTAGCCTGAGAGGGAAAGAGTACCTATCGCATACATCAATTCTAAGTGCAAAAGTATGGTTCTACCAAGTTTTTTCGTGTCATCATCCTGAATTACTTTATAATACTTCAAAAATGCATTGTAATACTAGAAGAAATTGCTGTTATTTATCATAGTCATTAGCACTACCGTTGGGTTTCAAATTCAAATTTGAATGAAACTTTTTTTAAAATCATCAGAATTGCACAGAGTTTCCTACATATATAAGACATGTAAGTAAACGCATATTTAGTTTAATGAATTACATTAAAGTACTATTTAATAGCTAATTACATGACTCTTTTACTAATCCTAACGGCCGTATTCTGAATCATATTTTTGAGTGTGAGTGGGAGTGGCCACTCACATTTCGTATTCCCAATGAAAATTATCTCCACTCTCATGAGTTGAGATTTCGGAAAAGTGTGAGTGGCTCTTTGGGTGAAAAAGTGAGTGCCACTTTCGTGAGATTTCTGTTTGGTATTATGAATACAATTTGTTTTTCTCCACTCTCACAAAATTATGAACTTTCACTCACTTTCTCTAGTCACTCACGGAGTTACCTTTGGTTGGTCACTTTGCACTTTTGACGTCAAAATTTGCTAAATTTGTATTTATCTCAACATATTATTACTAGTTGAAGTAAAAATTAAGGGAAATTATTTTTTGGACGCTATAATTAATTGGAAAATCAGGTAATAATTACTTGAAATTGATTTGAATCAATTAGCATGTACTTTGCAGTTGTACAAATCGATAAGTACATATATCTAGTAGGTATTTGAAATGCAAGTTTACAGATAAATTGGTACACTTTTGAGGAAGAAATTGATGAAGACCATGAACAGGATACTGTCACCCCTCTAGAACTAGAATAGTTTTGTCCCATTTTTCGTAGAAGTTATACGACCTGGTCAAACATGGTTCCGTTATAAAAATCGCTTTATTTCTTTTGACTTTGCTCACATAACTTTCACAAATCTATCACATAACAGTTAAGGAAATGATTGCCAATTTTTTATTCAATTAAAAATATAATTGAATCATTATTAATTGAATTATTATTCATCCAGTAGGCGCGTGTGCCTATTATTTCAACATGCTGGACCATTTGATAATTTTGTTTTGCTAAAAAATTCATTCTGGCCACGTAATACTCCTTGTCCATTTTAATACGAGCTTCCTCCCGTAAAATCTGTAAATCCAATAATTTCATTTTTTTCTCGTGTGCCTGCTCCTCCATTTCAATAATCAGTTCTTGTCCGGCCAGAAGTCGTCGTTTGTGTAAACGTGGTGCAACTACTTTCTTCAAGCCGCCCGTGCAGAGTTCCTCTGGACCTTAAATTGACACAATTTAAATTAGGGAAAATGCCATAAAACCCGAAGAATTTATCAATGCATGCACTCACTAATCCGACCCGAGATGTTTGACACCTGCCCGATATCTGACCTATTGCCAGCCAGGATGGAGCTGATAACTTCACGCTCCAATGTCTTGCTCGACTCTAGTTTAACAAATTTTATTAAAATTAAACAACCTTTGCATTACGTATTAATTTACGAACCTTGAATGGACTTTCGTCCAGCTTCTTCTTCAGATGTGACAGCGTCGTTATCGTACGGGTTGCTTATAGAGGCAAGTTGGGCTGGTACTATTGACACTACTTTTGCCGAAACGGGTGAAATTTCGTATTTGTTTTTCCCACCGCCTGTTTTACCCCGACTTCTTTTAGTTTTCGAAACCTGAACAGAATACAAAAAGTTTGATGTTAAGAAAAACACAAATAAAAAGGTTATCATTTGGTTACCTGTTTTTTTGCTCGACTTTTCAAGTTTTCCCACGATTTCTTCAGTTTTGGGCCAGACCTTTTTGTCACATTCAATTGGGAGCAAAACTCCAAGCTGATCTTGGCCCAGGCTTCGTCCTTTTGGGCCGTCCAAATCGAATTAGTTGATTTATTTTCAACTATACACTTAAATTTAGGAATCGCTACTATTCCCAGTAGAATTTCCTTCTCGAGAGAGGTCATTACCGGAAGTTTGGCACGTACCGGCGTTCCCAACTCTTTTACGGTGGTGGTGGATTCGTCAGAAGAGGACATTTTTAATTATTAAATTAATTATTTACACAATGAAAAAGTGTAACTAAAGACAACAGTGGTCTTCACAGGAAAACTCCACTCTCAGCTGACACACTCACAAATTCTCTACTTTCGTGAGTGGAGACTCAATTTCATTGGGAATACTAACCGGGTTGAGTGGAGAATCGACACTCACACTCACACTCAGCAAAGTGTGAGTGTAAGTGGAGATTTTTTTGTGATTCGGAATGCGGCCGTAAGATTCCTATTGGTGTAGTAAAAATCTTGTTTTACCTGCATTAATTTGATTTATTCGTTTCATTGCACATTTTATACATATGCATGTACATACACAACTCTTATTCAAATAGGGTTGAATGTAACAGTTTATTCAAATATGAATTTATTATGATTATCTGATTTACACTGTGCAACTGTGTAAATTACATAGCAAGACAGCATACATACAGTGTAGTGTAAATCCTTTGTTAGAAGGTTGTTGTGTCTCATGCAATATTACATAGATTCAAAGTCAGTGCTCTACATGAAAATTATGGGATTTCGAGGATAGTGGCAAAAAATACTGAGATTTAATATGCACCTGCTTTCTTATGGGTTCTTATATACAGTATGTACAACTTTGCAGATGCAGATACTCAGACAACTCTCGGTCTACTCGGTCAGAGTTAGTTCAGTCGTTCTCGAAGCACTGTCGAATCTGTTGGTCGAATAAAACGCAAATAAATTTCGGGAACATGATGTATGGCTTTTGTAATGCGGGGTTGCTGGATTGGAAAAGTATTGGAGAAGGAGAGAAAGAAAGAAAGTGGAAACACTGGCAGCTGTCAAGTGCACATTTTCAATGCGAAATTCAATAATATGCACCAAACCAACTGAGAATGAATACACCGCACGAAGTCGGCGACTTTCAACTTGTGAAACGTTAGGATGTTGGTGAACGAACTTTGACTTATGTCTTGGATTTTGGTTGAATTGCACCGTCGAATATGTAGGAATCACTACAGGAAGTTGAATATGGAGTAGGGGCAAAATAAAACACTTTATGTATGTCTATATATTAGCTAATCTATGTATCCACGGTCTGAAATCTGTTAGCAATTGAAAATCCAGACACTTTTCATCCAGCCATTTTTGCCCATAGCGAACATAGATATGTATACATATGTTAAGGAGGTCATATTTACAAATTCCAAGTTTTAAGAATATTCACAGGTTCATTCGCTTTACGAATTACATTAAAGTTATCATAACTGTCTACTAAGCTTTCTAACCAATAAGAATGTTTATATATTTCTTTAAAAACCTTTTTCAGAAGCCAAGTCACTAGAGAAAACCAAAATTCGAGTTAATTCGAGAGTTTGAGACAATCATAGCAGAAATACGACGAGACATTCTAAGATTTGTGTCACGATGCCCGTCCACAAAATCGTTCTGGCTCATCCAACCACATCCCATTTCTTTTACTTATCTCCACTTTGTGTGTAATTTATCATTCGAGTACCATTAAATATCAAGTTGGATCAAAGATATACATACACATGAAAACGATGGAAGGTGCTATACGGGGCATTAAGGCTATTCAAGCTAAACAAGACAGAATACCACAGCCCCAACCCCGTCTCTCTGTTGTCGAAAATGATGTTGCTACTTTGGTCACGGTCATCATAATGTATTTTTGTTTTATTCGTCTTATCCAAGCCAATTTCTCGTGATGATAATGGTCACAGGGTTTTAATGTATCACACATTTTGTATCACACAAATGTGCACATCAGTGCACATTTTTGTTGGAGAAAGCATAAGGTAGTAGGGAAACGCACTCATTTCTAAATGAAGTGTCGCACTCGTATATTTGGTTGGGTTATTATTACACTTGGGTTGGATGGGGAGATAGAGAAGGGGCTATTATTCTTCCGTGTGACAATAAAATGAGATTTCGCAGGACTTTCTCTCCGTTCCTTTATATTGGAGATTCAATTTTTTGTCTCGACGTTCAGGTGGTTAGGTGCTGGCTGGCCAGAAATCACGAGGAGGAGGAGGTTATTGCTTAGGTTCTTCTTCCTTCTCCTAAAAATGTCTATGATTCAAGAGTCAGTCCTCGCAGAAGCGGAATTGAAAAGGCATTAAGCTTTCTTCTGATGGAGAAACAGGACGAAGGACCCCATGTAAACCACCTTTTCCTCTCTCTGCTCTAAAACTCGTCGTTTCACTCTTTTTGGAGAAATCGTTCAATGGAAAATATTGGGTTATAAATTAACTCACAATTGACTGCATTGACAAGTAAATGCCGATATAATGGGTCCCCCTCCAACAGAACAGAACTAACAAAAGCTTCAGACTGGAGGAGAAAGTATGTTGCTTATGACCACCCACCAAGACTTGTATGTATGCAGATCTATAGTATGAGCTATGGTTTGGTTATCCAATTTAAAGGACGTTCAAGGAGTTGGGCGTTAATAAGGTGCATAATGCCGACTTCATATTTGGGAACGTTTAACGTTTCTTCAGACAACGTATAAAAGGTAAGAAGAGAATTCTTGCAGCGGAGAGAGAGCGGCAAGTACTGAACTTCGCCGCTCAAGCCCCGTGCAGGTGGACGACTCCTCGTGTTTTCAACATTTTTTAATTCCCTGACCATTAGTGACCATTATCATTTTGGTTTGACTTATCAAAAAAAAAGTTTGTGTTAGCTACACAGGTTTCATCATCACTTTTAGAAACACCATCGACATGGCTCAATTTTGGGGTAGGTGGTTCATAAAAATTGTTACACCAAACAAAAAACTTTGCTAATTAAATTATTAATTATTTCTAAACAGGGCTCGTGTTGGGAAGTGGGAAGCGGTATGCCCAGAAAGTTGAAAATGGGTTCTGCATATCGATGGCAGTTCTTGAATCGGGTCCAAATGAATCTCAAGGTGGTGGGTATAATTAATAATTATGTATAAATTATATATAATCTTACGTGAACAACTTACTTGCAACTTAGTTTACATGTTTTCCATTCTTAATTAAGGTTCATCGGTGAAACTTGTCTTGGATCATGACAATAAACAGTTTATTCTTGCTATGTTGAGTCCCAAAACTCCACAATTGCCTTTGAATGTCAAATTCGCCAAGGGGGAAACAGTAGTCCTTTACTTTCAAGGAGGGACATCCTCTCAAAAGCTACATCTTACAGGATACATGCAAAGTTCCGGCGCTGCTGCAGTTCCATTCAAGGGTCAGAATCAGTCTATTCTCATAACAGAACAGAAATCTGCAGATAAAACTAATGGAAAGGAAAAAAAACGAGTTTCTATTAAGGAAAATGTTAAAGAAGCTTCATCCAGCGACGAAGATAGCGATATGGACTTGAACGATGATGATGTAGCCTTGATTAATAAATCCTCGAAACTCGATAGCAGCGACGATGATGATGATGATGACGACGACGACGACGACGAAAATGATAGTGATGAGAATGATGAAATCCAGCTTATTAGCAACTCGCGTGGTAAGAATAAAATATATAACAATAAACTTAGCATAATCAAATACACAATTGACGTTTTTGTAGCTGCGGAAGTCAAGAATAGTTTAAAACAATTGGCTGCCCAGGATGACTCCGATTCTGAGGAAGATGATGACGACGACGACGATGATGATGATGATGACGATGAAGAACTTGAAGATGGCGACGACCCAAATCTATCAAAGTTGTCGGGTAAAGGCAATAATGGTTTAAAGGCTGGAACGCAACTAAATGAGAAACAAAGGAAGAGTGAACCTGTTAACGTGATGAAAACACCAGAGAACCAGAACTTGAAATTAAAACAGCCCTCCAGTGCTGGACATACACCAATGAAAATGTTCACAAAGGGAGGAGTAATGTGCCAAGAATTGCGTATTGGAAGTGGACAACCTGCTAAACATGGACGAATGGTACTGTTTATCACATTTAATAATGATAAGTAAATGGTGGATAATAAATACATATATTGACTGTTGTAGGTGCACGTATATTATGTGGGAAGACTCAAATCTAATAACAAGAAGTTTGATTCGAACGAGAGTGGACAAGGGTTTAAATTTAAACTAGGCAAAGGTGAAGTCATTAAGGGGTGGGACTTGGGAGTTGAAGGCATGAAAGTTGGAGGCAAGTCCTAATTTACGAGTAGTTTTTATTAAAAAAAGGTCACCGGATTTTCTTATTCAATCGAACCATGTAAAAGACTTTTCTTACTAACTTCCAGGTAAACGACGACTTATTATTCCAGCCAATTTAGCGTAAGTTTATTTGCTTACAGAATAATATGCTAATTAACTACAGTGAATCCATCTAATTTAATTGGCTAATTACAGATACGGTAAACGAGGTGCACCGCCAGATATTCCCCCTCACTCTGTGTTAACGTTCGACGTTGAATTAAAAAATGTTAACTAATAAGTTTAGTTTAAATTTATCAACAATCTACTGACTGAGATTCATGTATATCAAACGTATTGTTTTTATAAATGTTTGATACTTATCTAAATTCTTTACAAGAGATTTTTTTGTACTTCTCACACTTTATTCTACGAAAGTCCGTTAAGGCTGTTAAATACCAACTAGTTTGAAAACAACTTGAAAGAGTAATAGCTCCGTGCTAAAAAAACAATACTATTTAAAATATTGCTAGTTTTGCAATTTTTTCATGTTATCGATGTCAATCTATATACAATTTAATATATGTATTTTATAAATATTTAATAATGACTGTTATTTAATTTAAAATTTTGTAAACGACGAGGTGAAATGTAAAATAAATTCAAGCGAACCTTACAAATAGTTATGTTTCTATTTAGCTTCGCATCATATGTTTTATGTTGTAAAGTTTCAGTTTATTGAACATTTGTAATTTTAAGACCGAAACTATTACAAGAGTATGATGAAATATTACATATTGTGTTGTAGGGGGGAGATTTTTAAATATGGCATTCCACATTGCCATGCATTATTGAAATATATATAATACAAGGTTGCACACGAATGATGAAATAGCACCTGCTAGCCTTAAAACTGTCACGCACTTCGGAGCTTAAAGACGCTCCAAAGTTTGTGAGCGGATGCGGAATGTAATATTTACATGTAGAATAGTGACATTTAAAAACTGTTAGTGTTATTCCATACTAAAATAGAGACTAGTAGCTACAAATTACTCCACTTTTGTGTGTTTTTGCTCGTTTTTGAGTTCATGGACATGTTCTTTCTTCGAGGTTTTTGAAGAGTCTGATGTTGCTTCTGATTCATCTTCGTCATCGTCGTCACTTTCTTCTGGTGCAGGATTTACTGCTCCCCAAGGGTTCCATATTCGAAGAAAAATTGGTTGCAAAAACTTGTGCCAAATGATAAGCAAAAGGGGAATCACGATACAAGGGATGCAAACCATTGCGACAAATCTTTAAACTTCTTTGTAACTGAAATAAATAAAAAAACATTAAGTGAAACAAATTCCAAAGTTTGTGTATCCGAGTCAGATAATCTGATTAATGCAAAAATTCAATCAGCTAAATCAACTTACACCACGTAATGTACACAAGTCGATACAAGTGTTGACTTGAATTGAAAATGCCAAAGGGTTCCAATGCTTAGTTAGTAGCTGGGATTAGAACATGTAGACTGGATGGAGGTTAACAATTAAAAGTAATTAATTATTATAGTGATGAATAAGGAAGGAAGAAGAGAATGAAATGCAAAAAACACTGTAAAACAATTCCATAGACTTTCCCGCAACTCGTTCTCATTTTGCGACAATGACTCCAGCCAATAAATAGTAAGACTAATAATTTTTTGTTGTATACATTTTTCGTAATTTTTAAACTTCATGGTTGTTAGTGAATTGGAATTTTTCCACAATCAGTAATTTATCAGAGGCTTTATTCAGTAATGATTCGTAAAATTGAACAAAGTGGATGACTGTATGTATGTATATTATATGAACTTCATTGCATAGATTTCACATATTTTGGACTAATTTATAATTTTACAGGCTACTTGTGTTATTATTGTGAATATATTCGACACTTTGTATCACTGCTGTTGTTACAAATGTACAGAATGAATACTCATGATATAAGAGTATCATACGATAATATATACCCTACAAATTTATTAGGCAAGTGAAAACATTCAGCAAACAAGACAAGGTACAAAATATAAAGCACGCAAAAAATAATGATAAAAAATGTATGTAAAAATCTAAATGCAACTTTGTGAACTGTTAAAATCATTGGTTGAGAGTTGCCAATTGAACTTTGAAAACTGAGCATTAGTCCACGCCACGTATTTCCTGCAATGGTTGCAATTGAGTGTGGTGCGCTCCTTTGAATTTTCTGCAACATTATCATCAGAAATGATCAAGCTGACGAATTTTTGTTCGTTGTACACCAAATCCTTAATTATGACGGAGTGACTGTTATTGCATTCGTCGGAACCATTGTCAGCAAGGTATTCCAGTAGCATTTTCATAACCGCTCGACGATGGCACCAGAGCGACTCGTGACCTTCGTATAATTCAATCTGCTTTGCATTTTGATCCAATTCTTTCTTCATCCTCGCGATAAACTTTTCATGATGAGTAGTAGAACTATTTTCGGGCACAGTCAATTGTAGCAAATGTAACAATTTATGTCTGTAGTGGTGTCCACAATAGTCTGATACTTGAGTATTCATCCAAGCGTCGGTACAGTTGACCTCACTTTCCAAGACTAGTAATTTCTGTTCTAATGGGATCCCTTGATCATATAGAATTTTCTGAAGAAGCCACATTCTGTAGCTCCAGGCGTGATAGTTGCTAAAATATTTGAGAATTGGAATTTCAATAGATTTGACCTCAATCGGGAACCATTCTCCGATGGTTTCTGGAAGCAGCAAATGATTTTTGAATGCTTGATTTATCAGCCACCTGCATATGCGAAATTACAAAAAAAAATTACAAAGTGTAAACCAAAGTGGAGTTGACTAGTTCTTAACTATATTGACCTCGTTACCTTCTGTAAACAAACCCTTCTGGGCATTTAGGCTTCCTTGTAGAAACGAGACTTACTAGCCTCAGCTCAGCTTCCAAAATTGCTGGCGAAACAATAGGAACAAAATCTCTTCGAAAATTCCAAGCCATCGTAATGTCCGGGTTGAGCAACACAAGCGTCCGGCTGAGCACCAAACCTCTATTGATTCGATCAGACTCTGAGAAATTTGAAGCTTTGAAACTGCCATACTTTGATGGGTTCGTTGACGAAATTAAGGATGATAAAGAACACTTTTGCTTCCTCCGCACAGCGAGGAAAGATTTATAGGAATGGGTAAACAGGTATGGAACACACCATGCTTCCAGGGCTAGCTTGTGCTCCGAAGCCACATGTAAAACGGGGGAGTGGTTAGCCTTGCTTTCCACAGGAACAATATCAAATTCGTCTCTGAAGTGGCAAAACCAAAACTGAATCAGTCAAATTAAAGTATCATGCAATCAATTTATAATTAGCTAGCAATTACATTAATTCATCCCGCTCGAATGCAGCATTGACGTCCTGAAAAACTTTTTCCGCCAGGTCTGCATATTCCGAGTTTTCAGAGAAATCCGTACATATTTTTGACTTCTTCTTTGAGCAGCGTCGTTCTTCAGCGTCCCCTTGGTTTAGGCCTTCAGTTAGACGGGGACTTCGGTTGGAAGCTTTTGCCAAAGCCATTTTGGATCAAGGCATTTTTTCTTACATTCTGTAATTCAACACAGTAAAATTAGGAGGATGGTCCGCAAAGTTGCTAATGTCAGTTCTTTATGCCTTTTGGATATGTGGTAGTACGACATGATAAAATCAAAAGTGTTACACCACTTTGAAGAGGTCCTAATGCTCAACTTGCCTGACTAAACCCATCATCAAAATTCCAATTTTACTCGGCTTTTTATAATTTTTGTATAATTGTGATCCCAGAAGTTAAATTTGTAAAATCAAGATTTCGGAAATTTGCAATATTTTCAGGTATTCCTGAGCAAGGCCTGGCTTGAAGAAATGCAAAATCTCAAAAAAGTTAAGATTGGTGCTGGATATGCACTCTGATGAAGCAAATATCTGGATCATAAATATGTAAAATTATGAAACTAAGGATAAGAGCAAAATTGGATTTTTGGTGATGGTCAAGCAAGTTTAGCATTGGGTGCCCTTTGCCATTTCAAAGGCCTGTGTCGGCGCAAGTGGGAGGGAACAGCTTGAGACTTTTGATTTTCTAACAGGGTGCCACATATCCAAAGACGTCAAGAATCTTGCTTGATTTAAGATATCTGGCATTATCAACTTGGCCGACCCTCCTTCTTGGTTTTCGTGCCCCTTACTAAACATGCTGAGGTAAGTGTGAAAAATTGTATTTACCCAATAAACTATAGGTTACAACTATACGACTATACTAATCCTACGATGCACCGTGCATCATGCACGACAGAGACTACCGTGACATGTAAGATTTTGCTTAATTGCAAATTGCAATTTGCAACTATGAACTAGTGTAACAAATCTACTACCACACCACTATTATGTGTTGTCTACGACACAAAGGGCCCTTAAATTAAAAGTGAGACCCAATTGCTCTGCTATGTTAAAGTTAAACGCTAGTTATAAAGGTCACTTTAATTATTGCAATAACTTCAACACCACTCGTCGTTGATTGACGTCCGAATTTGAATCCGCCCGACCTGGGGCAAAGTGGTGTGTTCCGCGTAAACAGCTCAATCAAATCATCGCAAGATTTCTGTTTTCATGTCAATCTCACAGCGCAAAACCAATTAAAAATTATCTTTGTAATTAAAAATGAAGGAGGAAAACTCTGACCAAATGTTGAGCGGTTTGGAGGCAAGGATAACCGCGTTAGAAAATCGGATTTTTGGGGATGAAATACGTTCTAAAACTCAGCAACAACGGAAGGTAAAATTAAATTTATGTGCATGTTCTTGTGTATTTATTTTCAATTTATGTTAGTCATTTAATTATTGAATTACATATGTAATTGTGAGATTATTGACGGGTTGCTTATTGCCTTATTGTTTTTTATTGTCGTAAGGTGGTAGAAGAACTTGTGCAAATTAATGGTCAACTGCAACGTGGAATTAGCAATCGTGAAACTGTCATATCTTTGATGAAAAAAAGTGAGTGTTTAACAATAATTTATTATTTTTATGGGGTTTTGTAGTCGTATTTTATAATTGATTGTCATAATTGTTTTTGTTTCAATTGCACAGTTGAAGAGATGATGGAGTATTTGGACTTGGAGGAAAGCAGTCAAATTTTAGGTGGAGAGGCCAAAGGAAATGCTGTACTTGTTGCAGAACCCATCATTCGTCAAATGCATAGTATTGTCAAAGGGATCAGTTTAGATCATGTTCATCAAGCAATAAATAGTGAACCTATTCGAAGTGAGTAGCCAATCATTCGAATTCCTAGTTCAAATGCATGCACTAACTTGATTCGGTCATTAAATAAAATTTGTCTCTTTGTTTTGTAGATGTAACTGCCTTGTCTGGCCAGCTTGCTCAGCTAAAAATTGTACAATTGGAACAAGAAGAAAGGTATCGGGACCTATGTACTAAAATTGATGAAGTAGAAGAAGTATTAAATATATTGGTAAGGGACAGTCATATTCATATTAATTTATGTAAGATTGTGGCCAGGAGGTTTTCATGATTTTGTTCTAATCTATAGGGACTAGCCATGGGAAGATGAGAAGAGTACCTATTGGACATATAGATTATTTAAGCATATTATGGTGTCAAAATTCTATGTACTTTTCTATAACGTTATTTTAAAGTTAAAGTTATAATTACTTGGGATTTTCCTAATTGTATCAAAACTATATTTACAGATTAAATCATGAAACTAGGCGGCTTTGTAATGACGCACTTGTTATCGGAAATTGTGCATCACATAGTGCACTCAACTTTAGTGGTTGCAATAAGTTTGAATATTATTATATCATCGTTAGCTGCAATGTGAGCGTGTGATGCTTTAGAAATTGAATCTGTCGTGGGTTTCCAACGTTAGTGAGAAAGGTTATGTACCTCCTGACTGGTATTGGCAATATTCCATATCATTTTCATATCGAAAGAATTCTTGACTTCTAGGAACCGACCGCATGAAGAGCCTAATAGCAGTTGTGAGTCGCAGTTATTTCAAATTGAGCCAGAACAACAACACACACTCCTCTATGATTTCAATATGCTAAAAATCAGAAACAAAAAAACACGGACCAAAGAGTGTTCATATTAGATTATTTTTTTAGACAAGCCGTTAGTTTATCTTTGCAGATGATTGATCCATGAATGATTGTTACAGGGGATACTATTTTAAGTACTTCAGATGAAAAAATGCAAGAACGTCTAGACGAACAAAAAATCTTGTACACCTCCAATAACTTCCGCTATGTTGTTCCTATATACCTTATCATGCATATCTTGGTTTAAGTAAAGGGTAAACGTGCTGCAGATGTTGTACTCGAGATTGTGAGTTTTTTGTGCATCAACTAGCAGATCAGTCTTAAAACGATGTTAAGAACTTTAAGTTTATTCCTTGGGATGAACTATTTTATCTCGTATGAGACGACGCATTGTCTGACGAGCACTCTGACTGAGAAAGTTCAGAAAACTCATTTATATCTTGGGTTTGTCACAGTCACTACCATGTTGCGGTGATTTTCTTAATTAGTGACTCCTCTTTAGTTTTTCTTCGGTTCCTAAAAAAATACAAACCATAAAAATGTCTTTCCATGAAAATTCGGATTGAAATACACAGACGTCAGTAAGCTTATCAAAATTCATGCCGAATGATGCATGACATTACGTCAACTTTGTAAATTAAGCAATGGTTATGTTCATGCCACGTTGATCATCAAAGCAATCATATTAGGAGTTCATGAGTCAGGAGCCGTTTACTGGATACGGTTTCGTCTGCCCGTTCGGATTACTCATGGTGAATGCATGCATATGAATCACTATATTTTTGGGCATTCGGCTCGACTTTGTGCATGTCTGTGAAATTGGATATTGATTTCTTCAACCATTTACGGTCTTGCAATTGCGACACATGAAATTAGTGCAAGTCAGGTTGCATCATCACAATACTACATACTATCGAGTGTTTATATGTATGACTTGGTTTCGTGCTAATGTTCTCATAAAGCAAACCAATTGGTCTTTCTATGAATGGTTCTACCAGAGTCGGGTTGCACGAGGAGAACCAAATTATATGGTCCTGTGACCCTGAACTTTAATATTCAGCAAGAAACGCCAAAGGCAGAACATTTCAGGACCCGGAAATCCACAAGAAAAACAAGTTCAATAAGGTTAATTGCGTTATGCATAATGTATGAATTTGGATCTAAGGAATTCGAACGTTGAACGATTAATCAAGTAATTTCATTTTATTCGATGAAATGGTTGAATAGAATGGTATTCCTAGCACCATGCAAAGTTAAGTGTGTCTGAAAATCTAAATTGATTGGTTCGGAGTCCGCTGCATGTTCTCAGAATACAACAAAGATAAGCGCTCGAGTGTTTTCATCGGAATAATATATGACAAGCTTGTTTTACTATCGCATTTCCTGTTGTCTTTGCAATTTGCGTAAGTATATATTGTGCACATGTATACATTTGAACTGACTTCTGACTGACTGGCTAGCCGTCGGCTAGTACATATTTAATTTTTTAATTGATTAATTCGAATACTAATGACGCCATATGTAAAATAAAATGAAATCCCACGGAACTTTTCTGCTCGGATAACTTCAGTGATGCGAAATAGTACTTTACAAGGTCAACTTACAATTAGTTAAACTATGGAATTTAACGTTAAATTATTTAGGATAACTGGCGATTGGGCACAGGACTATTTTGTCTGCAGTTACTTATTTGTAAGGTGTTATACAAGTTGCTTATTACATGTCACATTTCATATCTATGTCCCTGTCTGTAATGTCTGTGAACGATAACGATAAGGAAGTTTAATTTAGAAAATGAATGACATAGGATGATACACACAAGAATCTATGGTGCATGGACCGATCCATCCTAAGAAGATTATCAACTAGTTATATATATACCACAATGTACCAAGATGAAACAAATATGTTCTATAATAACATTTGCATAATAATGCATGATAACCCAGATTATACAGTTTCAGAATATAATTATACACGCGTACATATTTATGAGCAAAGATATGTTCATACGTACACAGATATGTACATATGCAAGTTAACCAAGTAAAAGTTTCGCAATACAGTAAAAAAAATTGCACAGTGCCCAGACCCATCGCCAGCAAATGTCTGGATCCTTGTTTTTAAATTCTGATAATAAACTTTAACTATTTTATGCGTTGTTAGATTTAAAGCTTTGATAAGTTTCATCCCCATTTTTTGCATAAAAAGTAAATCAATCAAACCAGAAGAAAAAATATATGAAATGTTGCTCTGGATGAGTACGAAGAAAGCATAGTAATGAATCAATGACCTTCTTAACTTAAATTGCGATATAATTATGATGCAAATGTTTACATTGATTTCTCAGAAGAGGAAAGTCTCCAGTTGTGCAGATTATCAATTTCAAGAGGGCACCAGACTTCTTACAGATACTTCCATACATATTGCATCTTGTCACATTTGTGTCCACTTGGTTTTGAGAGACGACAAAAATCTTGAGACTGACCTCAGTGACTTTATATTCATAATTCTTCGAAATTGAGTCGCAATTTACTTGGCTCGCATTTATTTATTTATACAAACAAAACCTTTTGGCCTAATTCAGCAATGATTAAAAAAATAAAATGTACACAAGATGCTCATATATTGATGTAGCTCATACTCAATTTCTGTAACTTTTCCATAATGTCCATAACCGAAGAAAATGCATAATATGCATAAGCATACGTGTGTATGATAACACAAATATTTATGTAATGACAATTAATAATTACAGCAGAATGTGGTATGATCTACGTGTGTAATATAGGTACAAACGACTGTCAACTGTGGATCGAAATTCTAATAAATACATATAAACCTATTTAGAATATTAGATCAGTTCAATCAGAATTGCATGTTCATGTTCGTCTACTAAAATAAAAAAAGTTATATTTCACCAGTATGATGCAGCATATCGGAAGGTCGGAAACATGCAATTCTATGAGCCAACATATTATTAATAAACATGATTGCCTGACTTTCTGCCTCTGGTTGAATGGTTGATAGATTACTAATCGGATTACATGAAAACATGACGACGTTTCTTATGCTTTTCCTTTCCATATAATCCGGCTAAGGACCTTGTACTATCACGTATAAATAAACTTCCTTTGTATGTAACCATTCGAAAATAATAACCAGTGGTTTGCTGGATAAAAAATATTAAGGATAAATTGTGTGTCTACTCTACACCAGTTTATCCAAGAACCTGGCAAGGTGAGATTCTTACTTGAAGGTAACTCTCCTTGTAATATTTGCTAAGTAAGACAATTCAATGGATGATATGGAACAGAACAATATCCAACCACACAACTTAAAATATTAACAATTCATCACGGAGAGAAAACCCAAAGCTGGTAAAAACGACTGAAGGAATGCATTGTAATACTTACTTACCTACACACGGGCACAAGACTTAAGAACGACAAAAACTAGGAACTCCAGTAAAATTGTAAAATTGTCTTCATTGTTAGCATTAGATTTTGGTTGATGTAAAATGAGGATATACAAGTTTCGTTAAAAGCGACGGTTAAGGAGAAGAAGGTCATTTATTTCATTTCTGCAGTTTTATTTTGGTGCATGTCAAGAAATATTGCCTACTACCACCACCTACTCTTGACTAAATAGCTTGATTTGCTTCAGTCCAACCTCTCTTCTTTCCTGCAACAATGACAATTGGCAAAAAGGAAGTGTTTGAGAACAAGAATGCTTCGACCTTCTAGTTCATTTTGCAATGGATGCCATATAATTTTGCATATGTTGTTTTTCCCGTCATTTTCTTTCCTTCGAGCAGTTCAAATGAGTTTCCTTCAAGCATTGTTGAGTTATTGCGCAAAATTGTGGTCTCATAATCACCACCTTTGTTGTTGTAAAATAAGGCAACACCTGGAATTCATTTACAGCGTTGTTGTCCCCTAATCTTGAAGATGAACAAGGAAGGAAGGAAGTAGAACAGTTTTTTTTTGTGGCATTCTGGACGTGTTTCATTACCAACTGGTCTGAAGACATATGCATTTATAATACATACATTAGTTGTGGTTCTTAATTCTTATGCAATATTAAATTTGTAACATATTATTGGTATATGCACATACGTGGATGATTCATGTTCTCTAAAAGTCCTCAGTCAAACCTCTTCTGTTCAATTAGCTATTAAAGGTGAACAATGTCAATCAAGTTTGGTTGGTCAAGTTCCTATTGTTTTTGGTTGATTATTCACTTGCAAAATCATTATCATCCCTCTCTGTCCGTTGTTGAATGAGCATAATAAAATGACGATTGATTATTTAGGTGAAGAGGAAGGAGGAAAGTAAAAAAAGAGTTTGACCCTCCAAGGTCAGACATTCAGCTTTGTTATTTGTTTTGTATTTGGATGCGAATCCTATGCAACGCAGGCTTATGTTTGTCATGTCAATAATGATTTATTCTATAGATGATTGCATAATTAGCAGTTTTATATGTTAAAAATTTGCAAAAACTAAATTACGCTGTCTGGAGAATATATTAAGGAAAACTTCCGTTTGAGAATCTCATTGCCATCGGAACTTCCTATGCATGCATACCTTCCATATTCTCCTAGCTTAATTGGACTAATAATATTTTTATGGAGGGTGCTGAGCTGAATTGAGAAACACATCTTCGAGGCCAGTCAACACACTTGTTCTCTTCTCGTAAAGGTTGATTAGCAGAGGAAGGGCTGCACTTGTGTGGCGAAGCTCCATGCATGCCAATCTTAATCTTTGATGGATAAGTCATTCATCATCTAATCAGAATCGATTCTCCAATCATGTATGAACGCAAGAAGTAGTGGAAGGAAGTTTAGATCACTTCTTGCACATGAAGTGGACGGATGGATGGATTTACTGGATGAATATCATAAGATACATATTAAGGTGTATGCGTGCAGCAGTGATGTGCCATTATTCTCACATCTCCACTCCTGAAGGTCAGTGAATGTTCTTGCCGAAGGCTTTTGCCAAAGAGAGTTGCCGTTGTTGTATGCCAAACGAATAAGACAGAGTCCTCATAATGCAAAATCCTACAACCACTGTAATGCATGTAAAGGGCGGAATAAGGCTTCATTGTGAGTGAAGTTCAATATCTTATGGGCAAAAGTAAGAGAGAGATGGTAGTGACACAACAAAGACAATAAAAGGTATTATCTAACATTGTGTAGTTCTTTGGAGTCGGCATGTCTCTCAAGCTTTTGCTGCATTATCTTGTGTTGGACTTTTCATGAGAATCGCTCCTTCGCGTTGGACGTGCATCCATATGGGTAGCAGTGCAAAAAAGTGTGTACATAACTTAATAGTCAATCAGGAACTTCCTACAGGGAAGCGAATGCGGAAGGACATGGAATGTGTATGGTAGAGCCTCAACTCAATTATTCCCTGTACATACCCATGAGTATCTATGTATCTATGTGCAGGTATTAAATGCTAAACTTGCTCAACTATTAATAAGTTCCTTCCTGTGTATGTATGTATCCACATAAACACTTGCTATGTATATGCATTGAAGATTATGGTTTAGTTTTACAATAAAATCTGGGATGACAGTTCAAAATTATTCACTGGTGATTAAGCAGAATCTATAATGGATGACATGAATTTTGATTGTGTTCACTTACGAATATCAAGTAGAAGGTTGTCCTGGTTCTATTAATAAACTTGATACCAAGATTTCAACTAATCATGCATATTATGTTCTTCTCGGCTCGGTTGGACATTCTTATTATTCTATGGGAAATGTTCAATAAAAGTTAATTGAACAGTTTTCGCAGCAACGAGATTATGTAGGTGCATTGGAAGCTTATTTACCTGTGGGTTTAAAACTTTGTACCTTATGCGTATCATTTACATAAGAACTGACTGGAACAACTTGTATGTACATATCTGCAAAACACTTAAAATGTGGACTTCATCCTCTGGAGAAATAATGCATATGTATTTATATACACACACGCAGTTGGTTTACTCATCTCAAGTGTCTGGTGGTGTTTGTTATGTATATTGATACTGTTGATATCAACTTAAATTCAGGAAATGGGGATCACAATGAAGTTATCTTTTATTTACATAATTTAATGGGTTTGAATTGATAATATAAATTTATTCGCAGTTATTGGGATTTACCAGTAAATTTTGTATTAATTTAATATTGACTTTTTCTTACCTTTCTGGAATTTTACATATGCACATACATGCATGCGTGATACAACTTTGCCAACCATCATCAGTATTTTTTAATAGTCGAAAAGGTCGAAAAGGTGCACGAAATTGTGCAACTGTGTACATATATTGGCAAAGAATGGAAAACTTATAATTTAGTTTATTGCGGATTATAACACTTGAAATAAGTTCGAGGTCAGAAATTTCAAGTACAGAGAGAAAATCTCACTTAGGGTAACCAATTTAGTGATAAGCGAAAAGTGGTATTTCAACTGCGTATTTCCCGGTAGATGATAGTATTATTATCTTTTACTTGCTAATGCGAAAGGAAACTAGTGAATAATCATTCGCAAACTCTTCGACACACAATTAAACAAGTTTGGTAGTAGAACCTATATGCAGTAGCTCTACATATGCACATTATATAATTATCTGGAGAAAAATGGTTCAACAACAATTTTTAAAACTAGCCCGTCATGAAAATCCGGCATATGGTTAAGAAGTGTATGTATACATGTTACATAAATGTTTACATTATTCGAGAGTATTAAATCATTATCAGATGCAAAAGTCTACATCAACATGATAAAAAAGACAATGCATTACCAACAGAACAGTAAAAAATAACAACAAAGCAGCACACATTCAGCAGTTTGTGAATGTAAATGTGGCACCACTACTTTGAGATTTCCTATGCATATTCTTTCGTCCCGTGATTATGATTGTCAACAAGATTTAGCCGAATCAACAGAGCTGATGGACATTTGATATTTTTAAAATGATGTTACAATCCAGAATATCCTAGAATTTTGGTCCATATTACATATGTATAAAATATGCATTCACCAAGGTGTGAAAATTGTGACTCTTTTTTCAAATAGCTTATTTCTCGTCATGTCTTGTGCGGATACAGATGCGCTTTCCTTCAAAAAAATGAAAACATTAGTATGCGATCCGTAAACTTTTCCGGCCTGATTACCAGGTAAATGAATAAATAGTGCTTTTATTATTTGAAGGAATAAATACGAATAGAAATCAAGGAACTCTAGCAGAGTAGCAAGAAACGAGACATGTTCCATTCCCAGTAATCAGTAATGTTCCGACGCCGGGTGATTAGCACTTTATAGTCGCGCTCAATGTTGATTTGAATAACAAAGGAAAAATGGAAATACCACGAATTGCCGATTAGCAAGTGTATGTATGTAGTAGAACATAACTCAATAATGCGAATATGCAGCTTTGTCTGCGAGAATTAAGCATACATATGTGTTAACTATTTTCGGAAGGTAGAATAATAAGAGTATAATTTCTGCATATTGCATGCACGAGCAGAGTGACTTTGTTAATGCAATCCAGTTTTTCCTTGATATCCAGCAGGATTAAGTATATTTTTAGACTTGCATGTTGTATATATCTGGATAAACTGCGCATTGGATCGTGAAATGGCAAAATATTTGTGATTGATCGTTCATCACTTGAACCATTGTAAACAACAGGTAAACCGGTCCCACGCGTCTAATAAAACCCTGACTCACCTTCTCTCCCTCATGACCGGCAATTAGTATTCGAGCCAACCTTATTAATCTACTAAATCAATTTGACGTGTAATATATTTAGCGTTGTTATTTATTATTTATTTACTGTCTGTTTATAACAATTTTTTGTCGGTTGTTTGCATAGTTCGGCATGGGTTTTGTGGCGGCATCATGCTTACGATTAGTAACTGGGCATGAGTCATTTAGAATTTAGAGGTGTGTTGCGCAATACGTAATTTGGAGTGTTTTTAACGAGTGGAGATTATATTATATTGCAATAATAGTAATAAAATGAGACTCATGTTGAAAGTTATTTTGCTTCACTTGGCAGCCATGGTCCAGGAGAGAGGTGCAAACTCAAGTGCAATGACCGTCAACCTCAATTTGCTTGATTTATCTTATTTATTGATTCAAATGCTAGATGTATGACTGCTGTTGAAATAGAGTGAAAAGTATTAGTTGCTGGAAACAAGAAGGCGAATGTGCCTGGGCTGAGGAGGACAACCCTTCACCGACAAAATCACAGATCTTGATGCCCTTTGAATATGTTGTAGCCCTAGGTGAGTCTAGCAAAAGTGAAGAAGGATTTCATTCCATGGCCCCATTTGCGCCCGCCACACCCACTCAAAGGTGCGAAAAACACGAAAAATTCCCTGTTTTCGTTCATTCAAAAAATCACCAAAAATCCAATTTTGATCGGATTTTCATAATTTAAGCGTTTTTGTGATCTTAGATAGTTGCTTTATCATATCCAATAGCAAACTCAATTTTTTTAAATTTTTTTAGTATTTTCGAAAATTTCCTGACCAGGGGTATGCCTTCGAAAAAATCAAAATTTCAGAAAAATTGAGTTAGCTATTGGATATGATAAAGCAACTATCTAAGATCACAAAAACGCTTAAATTATGAAAATCCGATCAAAATTGGATTTTTGGTGATTTTTTGAATGAACGAAAACAGGGTATTTTTCGTGTTTTTCGCACCTTTGAGTGGGTGTGGCGGGCGCAAATGGGGCCATTGAATGAAATCCTCCTTCACTTTTGCTAGACTCACCTAGGACTACAACATATCCAAAGGGCATCAAGATCTGTGATTCTGTCGGTGAAGGGTTGTCCTCCTGAGTCCTTTCATTTGCATACGGATGAAAATAAATTGAGACAGCAGCATTATGGGTTTGGCAAATCAATGATCTGTGTTTTCAATGGGTCCACTCACCAAAAATATAAACTAAAATCTTGACGTTATTATAATTTGAAACATATTTTGTAATTTAAAGTTAAAATATTATATAGTTAGCAGTTTTACTTTGGATTAAATTTATTTTAAATGTAACATCCAAGGATCATTTTCACCACCTGGCAAGACTTGATATTAATGGATACATAAATACAGATATTGCGACCCGAGAATGAGCGTGTCAAAAAGAACAGATATCTGTACCTGACGTTATTTGGATGACCTCAATTGCATTAAACCCCTCCATCCATACTTTCATAAAAACCCTTCCCATTGTATTTTTTTACACGAAGTTGCCTTCTGCTGGATGAAAAGCATACCCTCGTTTTGAAAATATCCTTGTCAGCATCTGCGTGTGCAGTTGATCAGGAAAAAAATGACGGTACTTTACTTAAATGTACTTTTATGTTTTTTTGCTGGTGTGGTCTGTTTCTGGTATTCCACTATTTCGTACCTATACATACGTACATACGAGTAGAAAACAGACAGAAACCAACTTGTGTAGCTTTTGTTCTGGAAAGAGTTACTTTGAATTAATTGAGTCTGGCATTCACGTCAAAGATATTCGAATTTCAGACAAAGAAATCGGGACATTGTCAAGAGGAAAGCAACTGCGTATGAGAAGCGGACCTTGTTGTTGGGTCAGTTTGATGAGACGTATTATTCTGTTGCTCAACAAATGTTGCTCAGAGCTTTCTCGGGGCTTATCAAACTTTATGTATTTATAACCTGGGATGACCCTGAACTGCAACTTATTCATTTATATTCTGTTCAACTTCAATGTTTCTTGAATACGTGTTTGTATGTGATACATGCATCTAAATATGCAGATACACGTACACACGTATACATTATTGTCGTAGTCCCAAATTTGAACCAGTTCCAAAAAACGAGAGATATCATAGTTATTTTCCTTCCTGATTTCATTCTCAATTCGAAAAACTCAGAATGAGTTCACGTCAAAGGAATCGTATCGAAGAACCTCTTCATTTCAGTGCCAAAATTAATTCAATAGAATTAATTGTGATCTAATGGATTCAACAGAAATATCACGAGTGCATTTCCTCACCAATATGACGTTCAATCTAATTCAAGCAGAGTCACATGTACAAATTTCTCTGAAAACAAGAATATATTAATGTTTAAGAAATACGTATCTACCCCTGTAAAACATGTCACATGAACTTATTTGCACTGCACTCTATAATCTCCACGGATCACATTTCCTTACACAATAAGCATTATTTTGATAGCTCAAACTTGTAGAGACTAGGGTAGGTTCTAGGTTACCGACATATGTAATCCAAATAAATCTTATGATGAAAGGATGAATTTGACCAAGTCAAATAGTTAAAACTTGGGGTTGCATTTGCATTTTACATAATACGTCGTCGTTCTTCACCAAGGAGTAGCCAAGTCCAAGGTGAGCTAACGCGTTAATAATAGTTAAAAAATACAGTTAAGATAATTGTCTTGCTTCTCCTCCTACTACAAAAGCTAACTGAGAATGGCCAACCTTACCTGCATATATGTATGCATGTATATTATCAATGTAAAAAGCAAGACTGACCAGAAATGTGCCACATGTACATGTAAAATGTCATTGATTCTCTAGTTTCGTGCATGATCTTTCCTTCAGCAGTAAGATATGTTGCTAAAATGGGTGATAATTTCAGACCGATTGTCACTAAATGATAATATTGAAAGGAAGTGGATGTGCAAAAAAGTGCTATGTGAATTTATGACAGAAGGTATTGAAAGTGTGCAATAATAAATACATAAGAAATGAATGGAGATTACTTATATACATGTGTTGCAGGATGATGCACAAAAGTTGGTTTGATCATCTTCTAGTATGTAGTGCACATTGATGGTAGATTGCTCGAAATGCGATCTAAAAATTTTATATTGCGATAAATATTATTAATTGAGATAAATATAGATTAGTTTGCGAATTACATAATTGCCATATATTCAGGTTACATTAGCTGAATCTTTGAGGTTTTCCGAAAAAATATGCACCATTACAGAAAGCATGATTGCATGTATGTACATATGGAAGAAGATAATAGATAATGCATGTTGCGTTGCAAGATTTTCGCCAAATTCTCAAAAATAAACTAATGTCAAACTACGACGCAAATCCTCATGCAAATGATGTCTATTTTTATCTCGGGTTTTCTGAACCATCGTAGAGCAAGTACAAAAGTTGCAACTTATAGCCTTACTTACTACGTATTGCTAACTTAACTTGGGATTAATACAATAAGCAGCAGGCGAATATCCGACGTGTGTATAATTTTGTACATATTCACTTCACTATACTTCTTACGTATGTATCTTACTTGTCTTGTGCTAACCAGGACTATGCATGAAGAAAGGTATTAAAGGAAGAGAGCAATGCTAAAGAACGAGTTGGGCAAAGTCCTAATAAAGTTTTACAGTGCATACACATACGAAAATTTTAAATTCTACAAAGTAAAAAATACGTTCATTCACGTATAGTATGCATACATATACGTTGGACAAGGCAGATTTGTTTCTCGACTTTTCACCATCTATATTTTTCCTCGTCTCCAGCAACTCGGTTGTGCACATTCCATTTATTTAGTACAGTGCAGTTTTTGTCCTTTTCGGTTAAAGAATAATGTGATTGCACTCCAAAAGTTGAAGACATACGTACGTATGCACATACACGAGTGAGAGCTGAAGAAGGGAGCACATTTTACTTACCAGGACATACTTATGTACACACCCAGGCTGAACATTGGATGGGCATTATATTTGGCGTCCACGAAAGAGTTTTGACTTTCATATTGAACAATGACAACTTTCTTCAGATTTAACGATTATTTAACGACTCATTCGTTCGCTATTATGAACCTTAAAAAATAACTTGACAGAGTAATAACCTCAAATTATTAATAGACTGAGTTTCTCATTTCTAAATTTTCTTTAATTTTTGGTTTCTTTTGTGGTTTACCATATCCAATTTTTGCCTTTGATTAGAAAATAGATAAACGAACGCGCAATATGGATTGAGTGGTTAAAATCTACATAGCTAATGCGATAAGATGACATGTTACGTATTATTACTAAGTTCACAAAAGTCATAGCACTCAAAAAAGGCGATATCGATGATATCCCCATCTTCCACTATCCAACCCATACTTGCTTCCACTGCGATAAACATATTACGCTTACAACTTCAAAAATAATATAATGCCATCATGTAAGGAGAGAGTTGGTTATAATCGGCGGTTATAGAGTTGTTTGACACTTGTTGCAGTTTACTTGCACATTCTTAGTTGCCAGTCACCGGTTGCCTCTTGGACTGGTTTTCATTAGTTTGGACTACAAAGTTATAAAAATGCTTTCTAATCCAAAACCACATTATATAATGAAGAATGCAGTTATGAGTAACCAAAGCGAATGCAACGATATATGTGCATATGAATTCTAATCTGCAACGCAATGTTTTCCTTCCCTTGCCATTGACCGTCACACAAACTTTTAGCCACTCGTCTTCTAGTCATTTTTGTTTCATTCCTCTTTTTTATAAAAAGCGACAGATCAACATTCTCTTTTCAGTGATTCATTGTTGTAAAGCAATTTTGAGTACATATATCGTAATTTTGGGTGAGATTATAAAAATTCAGTGCCCTAGACGATACATCACATTGATAGTTTCATTTCACATTCGGATGATGAGGAGAGAAGAGAAATTCTGTAACACAAGATGCACAGTTTTCTTTACTCTTTGGTCTAGTCAAAGGGAAGTCAAAATCAAATGCATATCGGAAAGTGTGATAACCTAGTTGCACTTGTTGCAACATCGAGACAGATTTTGTGAGACATGACATGATGATGTTATTATCAAGGGCAAGGCCCTTCCAACTAGTTCCAACACCCATTTACGTTTGTGTATGTATGTAGGTACGTACGCATACATGTAATATGACAGCTAAGTAAGAGGCAATTAGGGAAGAGAAGAAACGACAAACTGTCAACTGTAACGATTTTCAATGAAATAGCCAGACAGACCCAGTTGTAGTCGTTGAGATTGATTTCTTTCGTCTACATCAAGTCGTTTTTTAAGAAAAAACTGGAGAAAAGTAAAAAATTTGGTTTCTATAAACAAAGCTGAATAGCATTCTGGGTATTTTGAAAGGACCGAAAAGAACAACACAAACGATTTCCTAGAAATTAATTCAGCTGTAAATGTCACCTTTCTTAATTGCAAACATGAATTAAATATTAATGCATCCGCGTACAAAATATGCACAAGAATGGAGAGGAGAGTCGTTGTGTTAGTTGAACAAACACGGAATTTCACACCTTGTTATGGCAAACAAACTTCTGATTTGATCTATTATTTGAATATTATTTCATGAAGGTTATTTTATTTCATGGTATTTCCAGCCAGAGTCAATTGAAATTTATGTATGCATCTTGTGTACATTTCATAAACATCATTGGTGACTATTAAGGTCCCAGATTTAACCTCAGTTAGACCAGGATGTTCGTATTGTTGCAAAATTCAATATTTATGCTTGTGCAAAGGTTGTACACAATTTTTATTATGTGCAAATTTTTCTGTGATTGGCAACTCCAAATACAGATAGGCATTCTGCAACAAGTCGTGATGGACTGATGCGTGCATAATGCCGTGGAAATTCCAGGCTGGAATAAAACTATTCTTGATCAGGGAAACCGACACACTCAACAGATCCACCTATCATAATAAACTATTTGAAATTATAATTTAAATAAAAATTATATAAGAGTGGAAATATTTTCTGGGGATTTGTGTTTCAAATGTTAATCGATTAGTGCTAAAAGTGCTAAAAGGATTGTCAAGTAGGCGATTAATTATACAAAATTTCCTTTGAGAAAAAGAGGTTCCATCCAGATCATGAAAAACAAAAAAGGATAAGTAGCCAGCATAATGCCCGTTTGGCTGAGCTTAAGTGTTAAATTATGCTAAAAATATGGTATTTATTATTAGCCTCATGATGATGTGTTAAAACCATTTGCAGATCTTTTCAGCTCATGTGGTTTCAATGAAATAATATTACTTATTTATTTAAGTACAAAGAAATTGGGAGACTCCAGATCTTACTATTAGTCATGGGGAAAATCACATATGAGTAGAAAATAGGTTTTGTGATTAAATTCATCCAAACACAATTTACCGCAAAATTGTAAAGAGAACAATTAAACCATATGGCAAGATTGTGATAATCCTCTCTAAAATTTTCCATGAGTCATCGCGAAGCATCACCATCTAATTTAATCAGTTTGATCCAGCAGAATTTGTGGTTAGTTGATTGTCCGCATAAATTCTCTTTGTCACATTAACAACACCTCTCCCAGTAATTTCCTGGAATATGGCAGTATGTACAGTGTATCTGCATGCATTTGTGCCAGATTCGAATTTTCTGAAAATATAATTTAGCAATAAACGTTTATGGCGTTTCACTGAACAAGCCGAACGTGAAGAATTTACATGACAGGTCGTCTACGGGATTATTCAGTCTAAAGCATACAATAATCAGTATGCGAACTATGCATGCACGGAAACGATCGATTCAATAGAACTTGATATTGAATTAGCTGGTTATCAGACTATGTTTCCCTTATTGTACAATTTGAGTGCACACATTTCGTCTTTAACTTATTATGGTTATAAGTATATGATGCAGACATAAATAACCGGACTGACGACGTTTCATACATGCATGGTAACAACAGGAGCACAAAGTACGTTTTACCGGCTTTACATACATATATGCAATTCGAGGACTGGGAGGTTAACTAAAGGACCCTTAAAAATGTTAAAGGTAATAAATAGGTTTATGCACCATTCATCCATCCCTTGGGTGAAGCACTTCTGAAGAGCTGGAAAGGATGTTGGGTAAAAAAGAATAAGGATCATTTTTATCCTGATTGTTCGTGTGTTTGCAAGTTCTATTAAGTTACTAAGTTTAAGTGAGTGCACCCAATTCACTACTTTCTGAGAAGCAAAGGTCGATAATGTTATTCATTCCAACTCCAAAACGTTGGAGTGAACATTTTAAAGATACCTCTCAAGATAATGGATAATGGATGGATAGATATCCATAAAATGGATTTAAATTTTATAAAATCCCACAATTACTGTTATATATTCTAGTATGCAAACTAATAATGTTTCTCAAATCCATGCTTTCCATTCATTTCATGCGACAATCCGTCTTGAAGAATGAGTACAAATACGTTGTAATATAAATAATAATCTGCTTCGTCCACCTTAGTTTGTGATTAAATCATGTTATCTGTCTTTGAGTATCCGCCTCCCAAAAAGGTGAGCTCGATTTACATTGTTTTCATACAAACACGCTACGTGTTACACAGCCTGTGATGATATGATGTGGGGAAAAAATTGACATGAAAAAGCAATGCCTACTCTCTGTCCACCTGGAGGAATAACTTATTGAATTTGTTTACTCATTTTATTATGTTCGGAGGCGGATAAGGTTATCGTGATCGCGCTCACATGCATGTTGCTCTTCAACGACCATTTATAATTTTGCGTATTTAGAGAACAGACGAAATCCAGATTCATCCATCCTCCATGCTTTATGTGTGTTTAATAATGATTTGTATGACTAGAACCTGGCTGAATAATGTATCTATGTAGAATTCAATGGATGGACAAATATATTATGAGTCTGCTTTCCAACAACCCACCGAAAACCACATCTACGTTTTATCTCTATCCTGTCTACCTGGCTGAAATTTGTTTAATTTTATCAGCAGCTTATTTGCAAGTTGTGGGAAGAACAACGTACATTTCTTTCTGAGGAATATAACCATCCATCACGTCTCATTTCTCTACCAGCTCCAGGTGAATCAACAACAGGACTATCATCACTCCGATAACTTGCTCGTTTCTTCTCAAAATAAACCAAAAATCATTGATCTCAAGGAAGAAAAATTGGATTTATCAAAATAAACGACAGTTTGGGATTCTAGTCAACAGTTCATTTGGGTTACTTACTTGCATTTCCTGCCAAGAGGAAGACACGAGGCGCAATTACAAGGTAAATGTTTTTGATTAAGTATTAGTGCAGCTATAATTCGAACGGAAATTTATTTCTGGCCCGTCGCATATCATATCTCTGGCGATTGGCTTTATATAAGTAGATGACAACAAAAGGGATATAAATCCTCCTTCCAGTCATGACTCACTTTGAATGTTGCATATGAAATTGCATGAATGCATACGTGATGATTCGTTCGTTGGATTCGAAAAATATCTGATGGAGAGTTTTGTTATTGGAAGAGAGGAAGATGATCATCAACGAATGACGCAACTGAGACTCGATTTACGTACCAGTTTTTGCACGGGGATGATGATGATAGGAGGAGATGAACCGAAGTGGATTGTTGTGAATGGGACGACAAAGTTTTTTAGCGTCATTTAGCATGCATAGGAATGAGATGAGTTGACACTACTCCGTTTGAGTGTTTTTTACCACGTAGTCACACCAGATATACTTACTTATTTATGCATGTGCAGCCTTTTACGAAGTAAATAGTACGTACTTGGCTGCTCTGATTCGACATGTGAGTGAGTACAATTGATCTTATGTATAATGTGTGTTTCACAGGCAGGCGAAAGGATAATGGTGGTGGTGGATAACATGGGGATGGAGCAGGAGAATAAAACTTGGGCGATAGTCTACGCCAAGAGTCAGTCGCTCTGGTGCAGTCTGTTAGTGAACTTAGTGAACCTGCTTAGGCTTTGGCACTCATTTTGTCACCTTTGTTACCTACGCTGGGTCAGTGGTGGGGAAAAAGGAAATTGGAGTTTGATTGGCGAAACCGATATCAACGCCAGCACTTACACGAGTGATTGTTGTGCTCAACAACAACAAGAAGAGCAAGCAGACGACGTTACCACGTATTCTAAAAAGAAAATGACGATCCAAGTTTCCGCCATGGCTGATGCCATGGTCAGTCCTGACCAGGACCAGCACGTTCATGAACAAGTCCACAAGTTTTCGCTTCCCATTACCCTAAGACTGAATTCCGAGGAGTTGTTGGAGGGGTCATCAGATGGGGATGAAGATTTGCTCATTGACGAGTTCAACCGAAGAGGTTCTACACAAAAGACGGAGGATAGAGACAGTTGCAGTGGGTACTCTTCAGGAAGTGGGAGCTCTCTGCCAGGCTCACCTATCCCGAGCTCAAATTTAAAAGAGCTTGCCCACTTGTCCTCAGATGAACATGAAAACGACTGCTTGAATGGCGGAGAAGCTGTAGCCCTTGCTCCAAGACGAGACAGTGATTCCAGTACTGCGAGTGATGATGTAGATGTTGAAGTATCTCCGGAAGTCGCGGCACGAATCGTCTCCCAAGTCGAGTCTATGTTTTCAGATGATCATTTGGCTAAAGATGGATTTTTGCTCAAGCACGTTCGAAGGCGATCTGATGGCTTCGTGTCACTCAAATTGGTGGCCGGTCTGCGTAAAGTGAAGCAAATTTCGAGGGAGTTTCCCGTGGTACTGAATGCTCTCAAGTCTTCGGATAGCTTAGAGGTGAACACTGATGGAACCAAGATCCGAAGGAAAGAACCCCTAACCTCCGAACTCAAAGCGATGCCCATCAAACAAGCAAAGAAGGAAAAGACGGCACCGGGTGGCGATAAGGAGAAAAACCAGGCTGAGAAGGAGAATCAAAACTTGTCTGATGACCAGCAATTGGCTCGGTAAGCATTCAATTCGAAATATCATTTTTTCTTAGACTCGTGAGAAAATAACGAGACATGCATAAAAGTTGGTTGCATACTATTTTAGGCGATGATAGGAGAGTTAGTTTAGTTTCACATTTTTGCGTGAGTATGTTAAAAGAAACTCTCTCTCGCTCGCTCTTCCAATTAATTTGCATGCAGATGGTTGCAATGCAGTTGGTTCAAGTTATGCTTGTACATTATTATGTATGATGATGATGATATGATGGGACCAAAGCGGACTGTCTCACTCAGGAGGGGAGCTTGCGAGGTTGATAATAACAAATCCTGATGCCCTTTGGATATGTGGTAGGGTCCTATGAGTGTACTAAAACCCTGAAGTAGTTTGACTCCATGGCCACATTTGCGCCCGCCACACCCACTCAAAAATGCCCAAAAAACGCTTTCACTCCAGGTTTCACTCATTCAAATCCACGCCAAAAATCCAATTTTACTCGGATTTTGAAATTTCTTTCACCATTACACTCCCAGATAGTTTCTTTCTTCAATCCAATGTCAAACTCAATTTTGATGATGATTATTTCGCAGGCATAATTTGCGTTGTGGATTACTACAACAATGCTCATTCAGAATTTTAAATTTTAAAAATACTAATAATTTCGAAAATATTGAGTTTGATATCGAATTGAAGAAAGCAACTATCTGGGAGTGTAATGGTGAAAGAAATTTCAAAATCCGAGCAAAATTGGATTTTTGGCGTGGATTTGAGTGAGTGAAAACCGGAGTGAAAGCGGTTTTTGAGCATTTTTGAGTGGGTGTGGCGGGCGCAAATGTGGCCATGGAGTCAAACCACTTCAGGGTTTTAGTACACTCATAGGACCCTACCACATATCCAAAGGGCATCAGGATCTGTTATTATCAACCTCGCAAGCTCCCCTCCTCAGTCAGATCGTTTTTTTGTTACCTAAACTTTTCAATTTCATTTTTTTTCCTGTGGTGCATAATGCATACTAATTAATGGCGAGTTAAATAAGTTCAATGTTCAGTTTCAGCCCAAAGGCGATAGTATTTAAATTTGCACTCACTTGTTACACACGCCTAGAGAGAGATTATTGCGATGACTGCATTATCAACGCCCACATGCTCAAACCTCATGACTGACTCAACATGCTAACTTACAGTTTCCTCTCTCTCCTTACAGAAAACGACGCCAAAAGGGTGACAGGCTGAATGAACTTCACTATGATCGTGGGAACCAGCAGCAGAACCAATACTACAAGAACACTAATTCCGGACGATCTTCATTCTCTTCCACAACTGATGAATCGCCTCTTCGACGACGAGGAGGGTCCCTGCCAATTGCCGCACTCGCGCAACACCGTGGATCCACCGCTGGAAACTACCTGTATCCAAATGCCTCCCCACCGAACGCCGCCTCCGGGTTTCTGCGCCCAAAGTCAAACAGTTACTCTGAAGGGACGGACCCCTCGGCGGCCACCATGAGCTCATGGCTACAGAAAAGGAAGGCCTCCGCCGCTTCCACCCGACTCTCCAGCGGTGAAATTTCTCCCGCAGGTGTGATCCGCCAACCTCGAGGACCAGACGGGTCCAAAGGCTTTCACCCGGGTTATCGTACCCTCATCCTCGAGGAGCGACTTCAACGGGAAATGATGCAACAGTTGAGCGCTTTTTCTGCCTAAGTGCATCTTGTAGCAAATAGAATAAAAATGTGAAATACAAATTTATATTTATATGTAGAAAAAAAGTCAGATCATTATATTATGCTCTTTGTTACAAATGTTATAGTTTATGTTATGCCGTTACAGTTTTAGTTGTTAATTTATACACGAGTATTATATTGTGGAATAACTAGTAGGAATATTGGTACTGAATCTGCCATAGTATGTAGTATAAATATGTCCAATTCAATTTCAAGCGCATCAAGTGGTCTGCGTGCCATTTGCTACCAGATTTTGAGAGTTGAGACGATAATCATCTTGAAACATGTCTTAATTTACCAACATATTATTATTTATTTTATTGACTGTATATTATTATCGCAACATACATATCCTGTACGTATATTTGTTAGGGTTGTCAGTTGTCATTTTAATGGTACATTTAGTATCATAGTCTATTTCATGAAGCTCACATAACAAACTTCTTCTGAAGTTCTTTAGTTCTCTTCCCCCCATCTTTACAACAAAGTTACTTGGTGAATTCACCTGGTATTCATATTTATAGTAATTATGATGTCAAACAAATTTCTTAGTCATTTTGATGTCAAGAAGCAATAACATTTAATATACATTTTTGTTACAAACTCAACAAAACAATTTAAAATGTAAACCTGTGATAAAATTATTACATGCAGTTTATGCAGTCTCCTCGAAATAACTCGACTTTTCTGCTATTGGGTGACTTTATTAATCATATCGATATCATTATTAATCACACGTGTTTCATTAAATCTCATTCATATCATAATTAATATTTACTGAGTTTAGGTTAGGCCAATTGCGTACCATTTGCTCATTATGTGACATGCGGCATATGTACATATCTATCTGCGTCATCCGCATACTTTGCTGGTCTGTCAACCAATCGTACTTAAGTATTCGTCATGGGATTATTTCAATAATATTTTTATCGTTACATAATTTCCATTAAATATTAGTCAATCTATAACTTTTGATTTGTAAATTTTTCCACATCAAGCTAGCAGAGAAATACACAACAACAATTTAAATAATGCATATGGTCCAACTTTCTCTGCGATATGTCCTCCAGAGCACTTTCGCTATCGTCAATCGTATTTTATTTAAATTTTGCGAATTACGATTGCCCAATTCGAGTTTGTTTATAAGCTTTAGAAAGTAAGAAAAGTTTTGCATGTGTCATTTTTTATTTACGGTCGATCGTACGTATAACAAATGTTGCATCATCACTACGCATTGACTCAACTAAATTTCTATTTTCTAAACCGTCAGACTTTTCGGGGCCCTAAATCTTGATTGTTATACTGAAATACAGTTGCATATTATGTGTATGTACCTATAACTTTAAATTTAGTTATCAAATATAAACATGTTTTGATAGGAAAACGGCATTCCTAGTAAAATTAGGTCAGACTGATTTTTTTTGTTGAAAAGAGGACAAGTTTACGGTTTGGCGTCGCCAATGATGCACTACAATCTCCGAAAGCATAATACCAAACAGATGCAATTATGTGTATAATGCATTCAAACTGAATCAAACTGGCATTAAAACTATTACTCCTCTTTTATTACAGGTTATACAAGATTTTCACATGAATTAACTTTAATATTATGTGGGTAAATACTACTTCTAAAATTAATTGTTATCAAAATTAAAAAATTTGGTTAAATGAATTGTGCTCAGATCCAATATATTTTGTTTTAGAATTCCAAATATGTCGGCTAAATGCAACTGGTTAATCCCTGATTAGCGTTGCAAATCAACGGCACCTAGTAAAGCAACTGAATTAATTAAAAATCTTAATTTTATTACACTATGAATTTGATATGAATTGCCAAATTGATTCATTGCAAGTTGTTTAACTGATAAATACAACACCGACGGAATCATAATTTTTTTGTTGCAAATTCCCAGTGCCACTGACAAAGCAACGTCTCGAGTCTCACCGCATCACCAACCAGCCAGTTGGTAAAGGAGAAGGAATGTCGCATTTTCGCTGTAAAAAGGGCAAAGTAGGTCAGTCAAGCCCAACTATAAGCCGGAGACAAGCCCATGGGCAACGACGGCTGCTGTTTTTTTTACTGTTGTATTTTTTTGCGATCTGCCATTCTGCTCAGTTCATTCCGTCGATGTTACGACGTATTGCTTACATAAATGTTTGGGATGCTAACAACAAGACTTTTTGTATCATGAACAGAGTGGATTATCTGCGTCTTATACGTACGCATATGCAAGTAATACCGTGAATGTATGAAGTTGTGCCCACTGCCCATCAAATGTTCAATTCTCATTCCAGGAAAATTTATAATCGTCTTTCTTGTAGTTCTTTATGTCAAGAGAAAATTTGTACCAATTTGATGAAAATTATGTGAGGATAGTCGTATTACAAATAATGATTGACAAAACTATGTTGACTGTGGATTGAGACGATTGCAGATTCGCTTGTCAAGTCAACTTTTTATCTGGCTCGCGAAAAATACTTAGCAATATGCACCACCTATGTTTGTACATAGAGCAATAAAGTTCACTTGCAAAAAGAGGTTCAGCCAGTAGGCGAAAGATTGCAATTGTGATGCGAATTAAAATAATAACCTAAAACAACGTGCGTAATAATGTGCAAGTGGAGTTGTATGCAGCTTCAAAAAAAAGAGATTTGATTTATTAGCAATTTCATTGTAAGTCCGAGTCCGGGAGTCAATGCAATGCAGCTCATAAAATGTAAAATGTATAGACGAATCTCTCCCCCCCCCCCCCTCCCAAAAAATATATGCATGTGTTTACAACGATTTCTACTGCAAAAAAACTATATTTATAAGTATGCAAAAGTCTACATAAGAATGTACATTTATATTTGCGTACATATGTACAACAAATGAGAATAGTGAATTGATCTAATGGTGTCTCGGTATCGGTCGGTCGAATTAGCCTAATGAAATAATACACTTATTCTGTGGTAAATAATTCACTCAGTTATAAAACTGGTTTATCTGTTATGATTGCTATTTATTTCTTCGTTCAGCAAATCGACACAGCTTGAATTTAAATTATTGCATCACAAAAATCATGCCCTGTACTATAAGCAAGAAATGTTGATTGATGACACTTCACTGTGCATTCAGCCACCTATATGAGCAAAATAAATTAATGACAAAAATAAGTTGAATAAATTAAACAAGTAGCAAAGGTTCGACACCACTCCGAGTTAATATTTCGCAAAAACATGCTATTAATAAATAAAAGATATCCTATCACAAATGTACAATGTACTTGCATACATAAATCTTTATAAGATTAGGTTCTTAAATCTGTGAGATTTAACAAAGGTTAATTGTACAGCAATAAAAAAAATTACGCAAAACGATGGGACAGTCAAAAAGTACATACTCAATGTAACCTTTCTATTAGCAACTTAAATACTCTGATTATCAGAATGGAAGCAGGATATCTGTACTGTGCGTACGAGTGCATGCATATTAGGGCTTTCTCTTGAAGCTTTTTTTACCTGGTTTCAAGAGAATAACGAACGTGCAATAGGTTGCAATAAGTCATCTGCTGTCCATTTATTTTTTGAAATGCTTGCAATAAATTTACTGACTCATATCGTTGCCTGAACCGCAATAAGTAACCCGTCTCTAGATTCTTCTTGTGCATATTCTTTTGGGCCGTATCATACTACTGCATACTATCATACACGATCATCTTCATACGATTCCCGTCACGTCACCTTCACCTACAAACAAACTTGACTTGTTAATATTACGTTGAAAAACCTGTAGATTGGATTGAATTCCTTAAACCTTGGAGTTGAACTCTAACACGGATCATCCAAGTAGCAGTCATTTCCTTATCCCAGGCCGAATTCGCAGTACCACTTCGACATCTTGGGCGTCAAGACTTCTTCTCATTGGAGTTTGGGGGAAAGAGAAGCAATTTACCGTTCCATAAAACATTCGTGAGTGCAGAGTATTTAGGTGACAAAGAAAGTGATAGTGGTCAATAGAATTTTTTCATGGTGATATTTTCAGTACAAAAATACAAGTGAAAAAGAGTGAAAAGTGAGCAAAGCAGCAAATCTTGCTGGGATAAAAGAAGAAAAACATATAATGGATTAAGCTGAAGTTATAATTTATGAGAGGATTGCATAAATTTTAATGGTCATTATGGCACCTTCCAAGCAAAGGAGGGTAAGCGTCACTTTTTTCGCAAACATAATCAGATTAGTATTATTTATCTACGAAAAGAAAGTTTACAATTAGACTGGCGATGAATTTGGTGGTGAAAGGAAAAGGAAAAATGCATCTTTAATACTAATACTAGCATAATAAATACTTGAATTTTCAACCTTAGTTTAAGTTTCAAATTGCATGTTCTTAGAAACTGGCCATTTTAAATCAATAGTAAATCGTGGAATTACAAATCTCGAAGGCTTCCAAATATTATATAACTTAATATCATTATGCAAACGCTAGGGTGAATTAAGTGCAGTGCAATTTACAGAGATGAATTGACTACATGCGATCTTGCGCCTTTTGATACGTGTGATTCAGTGTATTTAAATCAATGATCAATGACCAAAAAAGGCAATGAGTTCGATTGTGGAGCAATGCCAATATCCAATTCGAACTTGGGCTGGATAATTATCAAATTTGAATAAAAAGCGTAATTTTGCAGACAACGTAATGTTTTGAATAGCAAAGTCACCCACTTTTGAAATGTTCCACTTGTTCCAACCGCAACTATTTCATCAGTTAAACAATACTATGACATAAATACGTAGCACCGAATTTGCAAAAAAGTGAACTCGTTAGAAATCAAAATGACCACTGAAAAAATAAAGTAACACACATCCGCCAAAGTAACGCAACAATTAGAGGTTTTCGTAATGAGGGATCACAGCGGATCAACAAGTCTTCAAGAATGAGAGCAGATTAAGTCATGAGGATGGAGTGCCGTGGTGGATGGGTTGCAATGCTTATTAAGTTACTCTAATGTTCATTCACAAATTCCAAAGGCAATCTTTTATCAAAGTCAATGACACAATCAAGCAAAACTACAAATCTGAGCTTTTTCAATCATCGACGTTTTAATCCATTTAATTGATGGGAAAGTAAAAATCACTAGTTTACGACGGTGTGCATTTTGTTGTTCATCTAAAAAATCTAATAGAATATGTATTTGGGTAAAATTAGACAAACATGTTAACTTAAAATTAATAGTTTTTCTCAATTAATATAAGATGAATTAAAGCACACATAAATGAACAGAAAATTAAATACCTCTTTTTAGGCAGTTTAATTTGCATATTTTTCATTTCTATTTGTGATTTTCCCTCAATGCATATCAATAGTTTGTTTATAGGATTGATGTATGTATTTAGTCCTGCAGGAGATGTTAGTGACATGATGAGTACAAGTGTGTTGCGTTGGTCTACTATACAATGCATACGTTGGGATTGGTAATTGAGAATTCAGAACGTCGAAAAACCAGTCTTGGAAATCTTGATTGTTGGCTTGACTTGAATCTGAGTGGGACTTGTAACGGGACTCCAATTTTCGCTTGTCCTGCCGTCTCGACTGTTCCCTTTTCCCAACCACCACCTTAGCACAAGGGAAGTTTTGTCAGATTTTTTGGCAGAATTCGACTCACTTACTACTCTTCTGGTAATAGTTGCCATCCACTTGACCTCTCTCGTCCTTACACAAAATTTCCAAAAAAACACCCCAGTCCAATTTGATGCGGTAATGGTGAAATGGAACGCATTTGGTTGGGCTGATCTATAAAACATGTTGCACGAATACCTTAACCTACTCCACTCTTGCAAATGATGCTGAAATAGGGTTTTACTTTCGTAGGAAAATACTAGTTCAAAACCATTGAAAGCTACGAAAATAAATCTGCCATTGACTAATCTCGATAAATGCGTAATCATACGTGGTTATTGTAGGTGACCTCACGTGAATGTTTGACTTAACATCTTGCGTTATCGACAGAAATACATATTAACATGAACGGGGAATAAGATTGAGATCAGTATTGTGGATGAGTTTTTATAACAGAACCAAGCTAAATTGGACTAGTTTTTTCATCTTGTTCTTGATTTAATTTGCTAAAGTGCATTTGCATGCTAATGTATCTTATTTTTGAAGCAGCCCAGTATCAATTAGGTATCGAAGCTTCGCAGGGATTTTGTCGCAACAATCTTCTTTTAAAACTGGATTGATAAAATAGGTGAAGAGCATCGTTGAATATAAATTTTTGTCCGAGTCAGGGCTTATGGAACCGTCGAACTACGCAACTTTGCAACTTGATTTCACTACATGTTGGAATCCAAGCAAAAGATTAATATCGTATTTTTAATGCAGCTTACGTTGTTTGCAAGACTATGAAATATGGATGTGCATATATATAGTGTATGACATGGTTGAAATCTTGTGATCTGGACGACAAATATCGTTCAAGTAATTAATAAAATAGTAAGCAAGTTATGTTAGCTAAGTCCAGTCTTGATGTCTATAAAAATTGCCCTTCAAGCATCATCAAAGACGCTTTCAGTATCCAGAGCTATGAAAATGTCCAAAGAAAGCAAAATGTGGTTTTAAATTTGTCCACTTTCCAGTTAAAAAAAATTACATTATTTATCAACGTATAGTCAACGTATCAACGTTAGTCCTTTATGGCGTAACTTTATTATGTGCATAAGACTGGCCAGCAAAAACACTTACCCTGCATACATAGATAAGCTTGCGTACAACTTTAATAAAGCCATGGTCCTACCTGTAACAAATGCTAATTAACGTTCATAACATGCATACATGTAATACCAAAGTTTTGACATCCATATGTACATGGTCGCATTTCATTTTGCGTGGTCAATTATTTATAAAGTGTAGATTCCTCACTTCTAATAACAATCTCATCCTCATCCCGTCTTTTTATATGTATTCAGTTATGCGTTTAGTTGGACGCCATAATTAATTTTATGCATAGTCGTAATTTAATTTTAAAAATATATATGTACAACTGCTTGAATTCCCCCTTTATGTAAGGGTTAGAAAGTTAAGGTTCCATTTCATAAGGTTGAAAGATCTCAAAAATTCTCCTCTTAAGTGTAAAAAAGACAGGTTAGGTTTACGATCAGAAGTCATCTTATTGGATTATAGTTTTTTCGACTGTACACTTCATGTACTTAGCACGTTCACATAAATATATTTCACAAAAAATACATTTAGCAATTACCATTAATTCATATGAACTTATTACGTCGATTCCATGTGGTCAGATAATCCAAAATTGGTAAAAGTGATACACATTTAGTAAAACCAAGGATTATGGAGGTCGGATAAAAGGAAACATCATAATTACAAATATTTATGTACATTCTTCGCATTACGCATTACATTTCATACATACATTGAATCTCCGGACATTTTAGCTTAACTAGGTCATTTTGTTAATGAACCGGTTTTTTATATTTTTTGTTTTATGTGATTTTGGTTTAAATCTCAGTTTTCATGTTAAACCAAGATCTCATTTCTTACAAAATCATTGTAAACTGCTCAATAACTATTAAAAGTAACCCAAAAATTACTATGCTGAAAAAAGGCCAACGTAATTACCTACATTGTATAATATATTAAGAATTGCAAGTGTGGAAATTGTGTATACGGTGACATAATTAATTATACAGATACATTTTGCCGATGTATGCATGCAAGGCCCGAATAAACCAAAATTCTTAGACCGATAGTGTAAAACCAGTTTTCGAAACAACCAGGGAATACTAATGTTGAACCTACCTTTGAAACCATTGACGTGTCGATCCACTTGACTTTATGTATCTTTTTGTTGGTCAAGGTGTGTTTCTCTCTGTTATACACCATTGAATCATTCGCGTACAAAAATTTAGATGACGGTAAGGATTTGGTGAAATATTTTAGGTGGTAATGTTCACATGCAGTTTTAGCCCTTCTGTCCCACTTTCAACTTTGATAAAGACTTCAGATCATATAACATTCATGTAAATGAAATTCTTTTGGCTTTAGTTGCCCATCTTTGTTTTGGTCACTTTTGATGCTGCACAGATTCAAAACTATGTAGGACAACTGATTAAATACGAGTCTCCACCCCAACCACCCAATAAGATGGCATGTCTGAGACATACATAATATTCAACATTACTTATCCATACCACACAACATGGCATGCATACAACCAATTTATGGCTTTGGGAAACTTAATCAATTTATGCAAGTAAAATTCCTGTCTTTCATGAAATTGTTTCTCATTTCCAGGACCCTTTGCCCAAACTTGTAGTCCAAGGTTTAGTGGTGTCCCTCCTCCTCGCTACGGCCAGTTCACAATGGCTCTCTTTCAAAACTTCCAGAAATCCCAAGAGCAGTTTATGGTTTCCGAATATGCCAACCTCTCCCAAAACTTTACAGCAACGGAGTAGCGTAGGAAGTTCGATAAGAGGGCTTGGGCCGAATAGTAGTAATTCGAATAGTGTTAATAATAATGCTGGTGTCAACAGCCGTGGAGATTCTCCAAACAGTTCAAATAACAATTTCCAAGAGTCAAATCGACATGCGGCGGGTGAGAGAGGGACCAGACCAATTGGACATCGGTCCGTTCCACAGCATCACATTGGTCAACCCACATACCAAACGGTCCATGGGGGAGTGATCAGCAGACATGAGTCACGACACGAGTCAGTTGGAAACTCACGAAATTCTGGCGGATATCCTTCTGCTTCTTCTCGGATGCAGCAACAACCTCAGCAACACGGAAGTGGTGGGCATAGTCAAAGGCAGCAAGGACAAGGGACATTTGCCCATCGCTCAGGACAGCCTCATCCCCCTCAACCATGGAATGCAAAACAGTCAACAAATCCTTCCCCCACAGTTGTCACGTCTAAACATTTGTCCATCAATTTGAACCAGCCTGGAAGGAACAACAACAATCATAATAACAATAATAGGCAACAGCAACAACAACAGGGCATGTGGTCACCTGCGTCCAACGGGGCTCAGACCCCCAACGGGTATGCAAGTAGTCGACGTCTTCTGGAAGTTGGACGACATGTCGACATTCCTACGAGACGGCCAATCACCCAAATTGCCGGAGCACTACAGGATTCATGGCCCAATTCTAATACGCATCACCACTTGAGCCCAGTTATCAAGAACCAAAGGCCAAATGCGCCGAATAGCCGGAACAACTATTATGAGGGAGAAAGTGGAGGTGCAACCTCAGTCCGGGTGTCCGACCACGCTATCGAAATTAAGGCCACGCCTAAACCTGGCAGTGCAGAACAAAAAGAGAATTCTGTGGACAGAAAACTTTCCGTTGGTGGCAGGGAGAAACTGGTCTCCAACACACTCAACACACTAGCCAAGCTTTCACCCAAGAAGCCGATTTTTGTGTACATGAGAGTAGAAGGAATTGCCGCAATCCAGGTGAGTACTATTTCAAAATATGCGGAGCAAAATTATGGCACATGAATGATGAAAATTGGTATTTTTTATTTCTAAAGGCAGGTGCAGAGGCAGGAGACGTCATAAAAAAATTGGCTGGAGGGTAAGTTCTTGATATTTATTCCGAGGACATTAGAAAGGATTACATTACGATAGTACATGCAGAGTCTTGGGATTAACGAAAATGGGATTAATGATTACGATTAGGGATTGATTTTTAAAAATTCGGGATTGAGGATTGAGATTAGGGATTAAATTAACTCGGGATTAAAATTAATTTGGGATTAAATCTCTCGAGGCATTCAATGGGATTAGGGATTAGGATTAATTTAGTCCAATTATAATCCCGGATTGGGATTAAAATCGTATTTATCGTCGACCACATTTGTATCTAGTTAATGTTTCTAATGTTTTAATTAAATTGTTTGATAAGCCCTAAATAGTGTGATTGGATATGAATCCTACAGTAACCTACTGACCGTATAAATAATGACCTAAAGTGCGAGTTGTCGCTTAAATGACAAGTCTCCATTTGATTATCATTGAGAGTATTTGAGAGTGAGTGGGCACCCCCACTGGCCACTATAGGTTATTATTATACGGCCATAAGAATATGTACTGTACACATTAGCCACATAAAATAAGTTTACTTATTAAGTCATCACTGAACTAAAATCAACTTGAACAGATAAAGTTTTATCAAATGTTTTTTAAATACATGAGCATTTGTTTTATAATATCGAATTGTTGTTTGTGAAATACAATGATGGAATTGCCGTAAATACATAGTTGATAGATATGGGAAACATATTTCTCATTGAAACAAAAAGAGAATTGGCAAGGTGTCCGAGAATTTTCAACAGGTGGAGCTGATTTAATCCCATTTTAATCCCATCTTGGATTAAAATTAATCAATGGCTTCCGGGATTAGGATTGAGGATTAATTATTTTTTGCAAACTACTTGGGATTGAGGATTAGGGATTAGAATTCAAAAATTACGGATTGAGGATTGGGATTAAGGATTAATTAATCCCCAATCCCAATCTCAATCCTCAATCCGTAATCCCGGATTAACCAGACTCTGAGTACATGCACATGGATTTTGTGGTAAATATGTAGTGAATATGCAATTAATAATTGACTCATGGATTACCAATGGATTTTGCACAAAATAGCGAACAATTTCTTAAGGGCACAACTTTATTTTTGTCATTGCTTATTTTAATTAATCGTATGGTTTATTTTTAGGAGTAAATTGCCATTTTACAACGGAACGAAATCACTTCCCAAAGAGAACGTGCCTCAAGTCTTCTTGGTATGTAAATAAGTTTCTGGTTCATCAAGAAATACAAAACTAATTACATTATTTTTCACAGGCTCCGGAGGATATGCCACCACCATCGAACTATGGGAAACTTCCAATTCCAAACCTGAGGACAAAGGAAACAACCACAATAAAGCCTACATTTACCAAAATTTTGCTTCCAGGTGGGTTATTAAGTACGTTATAAAATTGTAGATTAAAATTGGAATACTCCAATGACGAGGATAACTCAACCCTGAAAAATTGAGACCAATTACAACGCCATGTTATCTTCAGGATATATTCCTGCAGGATTATGCCTACAAGCATTTGCTAAATAAAAAATATGGATACATAAAAACACTAATCACACCTTTAAGACAAGAATGTGGATCTCGCCCCAAACTAATATCAACTAGTGAAATGTCAGTAGAAATGGGTACATTTGTATGTTTGTTTGATACATTTTCAGGGGGGACAAAAATGACCAGTGGATTGGCCAGTACGCCAAGGACGACCACAACGACAACAACGGCGCCGCCTCTACCTCAGCTTCCACAATTCGATTTTGTCCAGTCCACTGCTGCTTCATCTGCAATCAATCCATCATTTTTATCTTTCAATGAAAGTGGAAAAGCCGATCAACCACTTTCACTCGAACAAAGGATACAAATTCTGCAAATGTTCCAAAATCAAGTGGGATTGCAGCAACATCAGCGACTCCCTCCTTATCAACCAACTCATCAACCACAAATTCACCCAACGTACAATCCACAACCCCAACCAACTTATCAATCATATCCACAACCCCAACCAACTTATCAATCACAACCCCAACCAACTTATCAATCACATCCACAACCTCAGCCAACTTATCAATCACATCCACAACATCCTCCCCGCCCACAGCCTCCTCAACAACCTTCCCAACATCAACAGCAAATTTACCAGACGCCTCGTCCACAGGCTCAGCCACAGCCCACTTATCCGCCAGTGTCGCCACAATTACCATTACGCCCTCAATTACCTAATCCGTCACAACAGCCTCAGCAACAACTACCAACCCCAGCTCCAACGCCACTTCATGCGGACATCCTACGCGGGGTACTCCCCCAAGGAGCCATCTTAGAAAGCATCACTGCAATGGGTGGAAACTTACAAGAAGAGCTCAACCAATTCTCGCAAAATGTTGTGCAAGATCCGTCAAATTCCATCGACGGTTCTAAACTTCCAACTGCAAGTGACATGCTTCCCAACCTACAATTACAGCATCAACCTGGTCGAGTTGGCCAAGCTCAGTCTCGTGAAAATTTGCAACAACCTTATAATCATCATGGTCCGAGTCCAACACCATTTGCGCCACAGCAACAGCAGCACTTTAACCATGGCCCAACACAGGCACCCATGTTTACCAGTAATGGGCAGCAAATGACATGGATGCAACCCAAAATGGACAACAATGGGCAAAGACCACGACCACCTATGCCACCACAATCTGGTCCACCTTCACACAATAGAAACACACTCAAGAACGCCCTGTCGTTCCTTGGCATACAACAGTCAACACCACGACCTAATAATATTGGACCTACAACTCCACATCCTTTGCAATTTCATCAAAACCCAAGTTCTCCTGGACCTCTGATCTTTAACTCTAATAACAATCCAACCAGAATGCCATTTTACCCACAGGCTGCTAGGCGTGAAGATTTTGGTTCAGGGAGTTTCGAACAGTCTCATCCTCCAGCACAAGCCAATCGACGACCACCAGGACAGACATTGATTGTTCAAACTCCGGACGCTTCCAAGCCTCAAGGCCAAAAAAGTACATTTGTTATTTCCAACGGGGATGGAAACCTACCAGATTTGAATAAAATTATGAAAGTCCTCACAGAATTAAATGGTGATCAACAAGGAGGTCGAAATCCGAATGGTGGATCGCCCAATGCACAATTTGCTCCAACCAGACCCCCACCATTCCACCCAACACCATTTCCTCCTTTGCCCACTAGACGTCCTACTACTGGCTTTCCCTTCCTTTCCACAGGGCGACCTGCTCAACCCCAAGTGATGATTCGCCATCCATCTGGAACGCCTACGTCAGGTCCAATTATTGTCAGCACTGGACGACCGGATGGCCTTCCACTTCATCAAATTGTTTCTTCAACATTTTCTCCCAACATTGGTGGTCCAACGACTCAACGACCCGCATTTGTATCCAGCACAGCAGGACCAATTATGATGATGGGACCAAGTCCGTCCTCTTCGCCAATGCAGATCATTAAAGCTCTTTCTCATCCAGATTTCATTCAGCTCCCACCATCTCCATCTATTCGACCACCACAACCTGCTGGCCCATCTCCGACGATACAGACAATGCAACGCCAACAACCTCAACAACAACAACATCAACCACAACAACCACCACCACAACAACAACATCAACCACAAATTATCTTTTCAAACGCAAACTCAAACGGTCAAATCATCCAGCCCAGCGCGGATATTTTGAAATCAATCATGAACGCCATTCCAGGGGTCATGACCAACACGAACACTGGTCGACCATCTCAAGCAGCATCACAAGGTCCTACTCAAGCAATTCCGCTTCAACCTACCCCTCTCTTACCAGAAGGGATGGCTGCAGGAGGATCTACAGGAGGTAAGATAATCGAGGTTGACCCTAATCTTAGTCCAGAAGAGATGCAGAAAGCTATCATGGAAAGCATTATGAAGCACCAGCAAGAAACAAATGGAGGAATATCTAATGGTCCAATTGTCATCAATGCTGATCCTTCAATGGCTTCGGCCCTTGGTAATAGTCCACATTTTATGAATGTGCAACCATCTGGAGCTTCAGCAACAACTCCAACCAAACCTGGTTTCACTGTTCAACCCGCAATTGTCACACCAAGACCTTCGAGACCATCCGGCGTGGAGTTTGTCGGCAGTGGCAGTGGAAGCAGCAGTGTGGAGAGACAACAAGGATTATTAAATCAGTTTACTTCTTCCAGCAAAGAACACCATCACAGCAAAGAAGTAGTTGATAATGAGAAATCGACCAGAAAACAGTCCAAGAGTGGCGAGAGTTTGGAAAATAAGAGTCGAAAACAGGAGGTTCAAAGCTCGGATGAGAAAGTTATCGAGAAGGTAATTACAGAGGAGAAAATCGTATGGAACCCCGGAAAGGAGGGACAAATGATCCCATCGAGAATTAAAACAGAGGAACGAATAATTATGACCCCGCACGACTCGTCCAAATCATTTGAAAAGAAATCGGGTGAGGAGGTTGGAACGAGCACGTCAGAAAAAACCTTCGGAGATTTTTTGACCAAAAGAAAGGATGGGAAATCTAACACTGATGAGGAGTCGTCCTCGTCTGGTGATAAGTCTGAAAATAGCAAATCATCAGTTTCAGTAGATTCATCCAATTTTGCGGGGCTGCTACGATCAAAATTGAAGTTTGAAAAAATGAAAGAAAAATTGTATCCAAAGAAGGTCGTCCCAGATTCTGCCGAAGTCGTAACAAATCCATTCTCGAGGTATTTGCACCCATCTTCCGTCGCCACACCCACTGATGCTTCCACTATTGGCACTTCTGAGTTCACGATACACGATGCTTCCCCCAGCAGTAGCTTGAGTCCTGTCGAACCTACGGTTAGTGCTATTCTGGATTCTGCTAACAGCAATAACCCAACGACGGTAGACAACGGTCGCTTCAAAATCCGTCCAGGCGATATTTCATCAAATAGCAAAGCAGGCGATAGTATGAATCAAGGACAAGTTTATGGCATTTCCCCATCGGGTCAACCAATTATAATGCAACCAACGTCACCAAGTTTCACGGTTTCACCGTCACCATCCGCATTTCCGCCTTCACCCACAAGACCACCCTCATTCCCATCAATTGGACCTCCTGCTTTTCCATCAAGTGGACCTTCCATGTTCCCACCATCTCCGTCATCATTGTTCAGTCCAAGTCCAGCCTCGTACATTGGACCATCGCCATCTTCATACCCGTTCCTTCAACAGGGATCCAATCCATCGCCAAGCAGCAGCAGCGGCATCATCTCAACAGTGACACCAGGAACCAAGGAGGAGAGACTAATTTTCATTCCAGCAGATTCAAACTCTGTTAACTCGGCAGTTTCCAATAATCAGGATCAAACGATAATATCTACAAAAAATAGTCAAAATAATACCGTTCTATTCACGACGATGAACAATCTTCCTGATTTGATGTCGCAACTTAGTGGAACCAAAACTGAAGTAAGAATGATTGACGACTTGAAATCATTTCAAGCCACATTGGCAAAAGTCCAAGCCACGCAGGCCTCGACAACACTTTCGTCACAATTCGGCCCACCACCAACTCCAACGGCGGATCGTCGAATAGACCTGGACGTAGATAAGCCAATTACTTGGAGACCAAATGGAACAATCCCGTTCCCAACACTAGAATCATTGAGACAACGATTTCCGTCCGGTTTTGGTGCCAACGTCCTTCACGCCGTATCTGCAGGTTTTGCTGCTAATGACCCAAATAAACCCAAATGGGGGCATACTGTTCAACAGCCTCAACTGATTTATACAATGCCCAACGGTGTTCCTCTAGCACTTAATTCAGTGGGAGGTTATCAGCCAATTCTGCTGCAGGGGACGAAGGAGCCCGTCCTTGCGTACTACGGTTACAACTGGAATAATCAAAATGCTGAAGCCAGCACTTTCAAACCGGTCGAAACTGTCGTCTCCGAGTTGGAACCAAAGTACACCAGCCGATTCCGAGGAAACCCTCCAACTACTCCATCAGAATCAACAATAGCGGAAACGACACCAGTTTTACCTCTAGATCAGAAAAATAACTCGAGCATCCGAAATTCAATTGACCCTGTTTTGAGCGAAGAGTATGAAGAACTCTCAAAGGAAAGCAACATCAATAACAAATCGGGAAAGTCAAACTCTAAAACCCAACCGGATGAGTATGACGATGAACCCCAAAAACATTCACGGCGACGACGACCAGGTGCTCTCAAGGAAGAATCGAGTGACGACTTCCTTTCACAGGAATCCACAAAAAATTCAAACAACAAGGTCCAATCCGTCACCCCAAATATTCTTTCCAAACGGATTGATGACGCTGACAGGACGGAAGAAGAGATTCTTGACAAGAGGGTGCATGTCCAGAAGGAGATATTTGTTCATTCTGGAGAAAAAAGTGATGACGATATGACTCCAACAGCCAAACTACCAATTCTTTTGGCACCTTCAATTATCAGTCGCAAATCCGTCGTGAGCAAGACTGGTTCAAGTTACACGGACAATAGACCAAAACCAACTGCTTCTGCATCTGTAGCCGAAACGACCCACACAGCGAAACAACTCACGTCGGCAGTGACCAAACTCATTGCCACGATTCCTCCAACCAAACCAACTTCACAACAGGAAAAGTCTGAGGATGAAGATTTAAGAGAAACTCAAGCAGAGCTAAAGAGCTTGTTGAAAAAGTTGCAAAAAAAGCTCAACTCACGAGACGAAGTGTACGAGTTGGGCGATGGGTTCTACGACTATTACGATGAGCTGCAACAAGTCCCTTCTACCAAGGCTTCCACCACTACGACTTCCACCAAGGGAACCAAGAAACCAGTAAAAAAGAAACCAAAAGCTAAAAAGAAGACCAACAGCAAAACCAAGTCAAAATCAAAGGATTCTAAAAAGAAGAAACAGTCAAATAAAAAGTCCAAAGATAAGTCTCAAACCAAAAAGAAGACTCCTGTTCCCCCCAAACTAACAACCACTAAGGAACCAGTGACCACCAGCAGCAGTACCACAACTACCACTACGACAACAACTAAAACTCCCAAACCTCTTGCCATAATGAACCATCATCGCCACCCAATTAGCAGTATGGAGACATTTACATCTCCACCCACTGTCGCTACTACAGCATATGCCCAACCCTATCAATCATCCTCAGAAACTACGGTGCAGAAAAAGCCAGAGTTGTTTGCAACAACCTCTTTGGCCGAACCGCAGCCAACATCTTCAGTAGCTTCACCGACCTTGAGCAGTCCATCCCAAACGGATGCTTCCAGCATTGCATTTGTATACCCACAAGGAGAAAACAAAGACTTGGCTGCTTCGAAAATCCACCATCGTCGTCGTCCCCTCTGGGTGAGGAGGAAGCCTGGCGTTGGGGGTCTTGGAGGAGGAGGAAGTGGAAGCATGGAAGGATCACTTGAACCAGTCGCACAACCGACTTCACAATCAGGGAAAGTTATTCGGTTGGTGAGGAGAAAGCGACCAGGACCACTACGAAGAAGGCCTGTTTTCGTTCAGCAAAGCATCGAAGTCGATCAAAATTCTGGCCAAGTTACAGCATCACCCACGGAGGCTACCTCATCTCCAACCCCCTCCACCACCACAACTATGCCCGTTGACATTCTTTTCGAAAATACGAACGATCTTTCAAAAAGAGTCGGATACCCAGGTGAGTTTCATATACCTCAAAACAAAGCAACACAATAAACCTGGTGCAACCAGAAATAGTAGTTACAAATGCGGAATAACAGTTTTTAAATTGATTCACACAACAACAGACTCTGTAGAAAAGTCAGCTCAGACAGCAACGCCACGGGCACAGGGTAAGCGAAAGTTGAAATTGGTTCGACTGAAGGGGCAAAGGGCTCAGTGGAGGTTGAAGATGAACGAAGAACAAGAGGAGGAATCTGCCCCACAGGCCGAGAAGCTAGTTTCACATCCAATCGACCAGAAACTTCCGACAGCGTCGCCCCCTTCTCTCTCCCCCCCTGAAACCAGTCAGAGTCAATTAATTCAGGCCGAACGACAGTCTCGACAGGAGTCTCCTTCATCACTAGAAGCGAAGGTGTGTATTATGGGGAAGTGCGAAATGATTTCAAAATAATTTACAATTTTGCCAGATATTCGTAGTTTACATTTCGGTATGCTTTTAATTTTCGGAATGTCTATTTCACGATACCAATTTTCAATGACTGAAAACTTTTTTTATACAAATGTATTTCGTTGGGAATACTTGGCAGTAAGTGATGTGTTTAGGGTCAATTAATTAGTGCAGTTTAATGCACTAATACAGTTGCAATGCAAATCACAAATTAATTGGAGAAAATAAAGAATTATTAATTACGCATATAATTATAGTTGTATATGTTACCCGAATGTTTTCTTATCATTAAAGAAAACACAATTGAAGGAATCTGAGCAATTACAAGACAGATTATGAGTTATTCAAATAAAAAACCGCAGTTTATATATTCAAGTGCAAAATTTAATTTAATTTTATACCAAAATAATGATGGGGATTTATGTTATACATGTAATAGTTATAAATATCGATTTGAAATGTGTGATTTATTGTAATTAATGAAATTGTACAGCATTCTATTTTAAAGCGTTATGTTGTGCTTGTTATAATTTCGAATAAGGTACAAGGTTTAATAAAATCAAAATAAAATAAATTGCACAAAAACAATTAATTTTAATCATACGAAAATATCATTTAATTTACAATTTTAATATCATCAAAGCGACAAAATCCTCGGGTCCATGGGCGTCTGGCATCACTGCTTTCCCATCCTCATCAAGAGCTTCACTCCAATGACACCGATCAATCTCAACAAATCCATTCCTCGTTGCACAGCGTCTGGAAAAAGGGCTGGTGAACATGCTAAAAGTCAACTTGACTTTTGTGCTTTGCAACAGGAGTATCATTCTGCGAGACAGTTCAGATGCAAGACCTTGACCACGATAACTCCGTCCAGTGGAAGCCACGAAATTCCAACCAATTTCTTCAACCTTATATGTGTCAAACAGTCCAAGTTGTGTCTTTTTCATTGGGGCATACATCGCATTCATAACTTTCCTCTGTCGAAAAATTGCTGCTGGTGGAGTTTCGCTGTCTGAGTTTAGTCGACCTGTGAGATGTGCTTTTTCCAATTCAGCGTCTTCTTTCTTCCAAATGAACATTAATTGGACGCCAGCAATGTCACGGGATTTTTGGTCAACTGCCATGAGGGACAGACCTTGGTGCTTGCTCAAAAGAAGCCCCATCTTCTCGTTAGTATGCTCTATGAATTCGTCATCCTGAGGAAGTTTTTGTCCAACAGGTTCATCCAAGTGGAAATTTGATGTCAGGTATGTCTTGATCCTTGGAATGTCAGACTCTTGGACAATCTTAATGGAAAAGCTTTTCCAGTCATTGCAAATTTCGTGGATTTCTGACATTGTTTCAAAATATCTCCTTGATGGTTTTATTTTTAACTAAACATATTAAACTAAAACTAAACAATTATGTTACTAATTATTATTTTTTACTGATAATTATACTTCTATATGGTGCAAATATCTTTATGTCAGTTCAGTTGCTGAATATTCAACTGTACAAAGGTTTGTATCGGTAATTGGTACGATACCGTAATCGGTCGGTTCTATATATGGTCACATTTTCACACTATGCAACAGATTTTGGAATTATCATTGATTAATATCGTTATCGCACAAATGAGTGTACAACGCACTTCAAGTGTTTCAAGTGCGTTGTTGGGTTGATTGTAATTTGTGAGATATATTTTCTAGGTGGCAACTAATCCGCAAGTTGCTAAGATACTAAAAGCCAATCAATTATGTACATGACTCATAAAATTATTTTGATGAATTACCCAATTTATCGCTAGAAATACACAAATACACAAAAAATTGAATAAAGACACTGGTAAGTAATGCTGTACATAAACTACACAATCTTCAAATATTAAAATATAGCAAATTAACTAATTATTGATTTTTTTGCGCAATATTGATTGTTAAATGAACGATAAATTTATCATGTATCATTTCTAAATAAAATTAAAAAATCGCAAATCTACAAACCCTTCCTAAAAGCGAACAAATGATTTCCTGTTAAATTGGTATACATACATATATTTTATGTGAGGATCAATTTCCGTGTCAAATGATGTCGAAAATGAATATTTGTACGATGGTTGGCCTACCCATACTTTTGGCACTCAGTTGGTTCATACATGAACTAATGATAACATTTAATTTGTTTATTGCAGATTAATTTAAATCCCTGCATTTGCATTCCTTCATTTGCAAATATTCTTCACTACAAGCACATGTCAGCCCCTACTTGTTGTACTGCTGCTGTTTCACTATGCACTGCTACTGAAGAGGAGGGACGGATTATTTATTTCCATAAAATTAATTTAGAACCATTTGCTAACGTGACTCATCTGTTGGTCTTGATCATTGTAGCAGCTTCGAATTACAAAAATGAAGAAACATCAATCTCAAAAAACGCAAGATTGTTTTTTAAGTAGTGGAGATCTCCAACCTGAAAATAATACGTTGGTGGTGGCTGCAGAGGGGAAGTTAGTAAACGTTAACAAGAAAATTACAGGAATGGACAACAAACCCAGAAAAAGGCCAAAGCACAACTTATCCAAGTTATCCCTCACGTTGGCAGACTTATCTTTAGACACCTCAGATCAAGATATACCGTCCCCACTTTTACCTGGAAAACAGGAGAGCCCTTTGTTGTCCATCACCCCGCCAAACGTATTCCACAAGCTTCAATTTCTCTCCACGACTCCCCCAACGGGACGGAAGCCGCTGACCCCCCTCATCCCCACCACCTCGTCAACATTCTTCACAAAGGACGCTAACGGCAACATAATTGAGGATGGAGAAGGAGGTGGGAAACGTCGCCACAGCCTCCCTGCCAGCCTCGAGGAGGGGAAACAAGGCATTCCCAAGATGACTCCACAATTGGACTACTTGTTTCAACAGTTCTTGAGTACTCAGGAAAATTGGGACCTCATTATGAGTGACATTTCCGAGTGTGAATTGGGTAAGTTGTGTAGTCCTCTTGAGGCGCGACAAGAAAGGAGCACGTGCTAATCATTCTTCAGCGTTATTAAAAATTTCAACTATTGGCTTGATTAGAATTCAATGCCAGTCTTCATAATACAAACAACCCACACTTTTAACAGGTCGAGGTCCCGCAAGATTCAAGAGTCTTCTACAAAAGGATAAGACCCATCAACGGCAACCACCACCACCGCCAGCATCATCTTCCCCATCACCATCAGTCAACACGGAGGTCATTAATGCAAATTTAAATGTGAACCTGGTTAATATACCCAAGAATCATACAACTTTCCCGTTAAAAGCGGAGCCAGTGCCCACAGCGGTAAGTATTTTTTTTACACTGCAGTTATTTACTTATTCTCCAAAAATACAAAAATAATGCATCTCTTCTTATTTATTCATAATTTGCAATGTTGGTGATCTTACTTTGTAAGGCAATTATAATTACCTTACAATAATTACCTATCACACCTATTATGAGAACTGTAAAAAGGTGTAAAATGAAATGAAGTGCTGACAAGTAACCAGCAATTAATTATCGTCAATTAGTTGGTCGATTAAACACCAAGGAATTTACGAATGACATTATGGATGAGGACTATGAAATAATAATGATAAAATTACAAAACACGTGCATACAACGTACATATACGTAATTGTCATAATAATTATGAAACAAAATGGCAACTGGTCTTTTTGATTATTTAAATTGGCGTTTGAGGACATGTTACTTGAGACACATAGAGATCCCGTACTATATAGTGGCGATGGAGAACTTTGACCTAAAAAAGGTCAAAAAATGATTCTAGAAATCCCAAATTTTGGTATGACATCGTAAATATCAGCTAAAGAATAGCCACTTGATGTGTATGTGTGTATCTGCTTTTTTGACTCCCGCAAGATTGGGGGCAAGTTAAGATTGGCCGACGGGCTTATAAAAGTGGTTCGCAGATGCGAGCTAAACTACTCGTATCTAATGATAGACATTCGCGAACAAAGAACACTGAAGTCCATTATTGTGCATCTCATATTTAACCTTTTTCGTCACGCCCGCCATTACTGCTTTTTCGGAAGACTTTGCAACTTAATGGGTAATTATCTCCAACCTGAATCAAAATTTTCTGAAAGTTTCGACTGTTTCACAATGCTGGGAGTATGTCTTCTTACAAATGGCCCAATTTTTTTATTGCGTGAAGATAAGGGTTGAATGTGAGGTTTTAATTTTTCAACTCCAAGCTGTCATTTTTGTCAATTTTTTCGTTAACAGTTATTTCGTAGTGGACGGTCGTAAGGTCGGGCCAAAAAATTACAGTCTATATTTTTTGATACTTCTTGATGAAAGGAATCCGACGGTCTATCACACATTTCCGAAAATAAACTTGTTTGCTCATGCAACCATCTTGAACTTAGGGGTCCGAAATATGCCCAAATTGGACTAGCGCCTGCCAGGACAGGAATTTCGCCAGAAATTTTAAACAACATTTTAATTTCTATTCGGTTTTCACTTGAGACATATATTTGCAATGTAAAAATTGCCTTCCCGGAGTTTCTGTTACGTTTTTGAAGACGTGAGGCTGGACTCTAATGACCAACTATTTTGGTGAAATTTTGTTGTAAAGCTTCGGAGGTCTTGCGTTCGCCATTTTTTCTTGACCTTCCGTATGCTTTGCTGCAGATTTCTTTGAATACGCTTTGACCCACAACTTATGAGCCTTCATATGATGCGTATGGTCTGGATTAATCTTCGACTTCATGGTCGCATTAGGCACAAACGTGGTGCGGTACTTTCCAAAAATAAATTTAATCGTTTTTCATTTTCAAGGGGTCAATATGATGGTTTTTTCTTGTGGTGCCTATTTGAAGTTGATATTTTCGGATTCGCCATACTTTTTTATGTATGTCGTAATTTTTGCACGGCCACATCTCTCTCCGTTGAAATTTAGTCAAGCCTTCTTTGAGTCTTTGTCGCTCAGATTTTGGTACTTATAAAAAACTCGTTTCACGACTTCCACGCTTTGAAGTTATGTACGAAATTTGTTTTTCAACGAAAACTTATGAAATTTTGAGGACACGTGGTCAGATATATTTGACATATTATACCAAAATTTTAGATTTCAAGAATCATTTTTTGACCATTTTTAGGTCAAAGTTCCCCATCGCCACTATATAGTACGGGATCTCTATTTCCTTACAAGCTTCATTCCTTCATCAGCCCAAAATCTTAAATCGTTTTCCAGCAATTGTGATAACGCTGAGACCGATAATAAAGGCCTATCAATCAGAATGCATAGGTACACAGAGATTATATTTGCACAAACAAAAATCAATTTCATTTTTGCTACTGCTGTCTGCAACGCTTTATGTGGCCAGAACTATATGATAATACTCTGTCCAACAAGCATTTTAGCTGGTGGCTGACGTGTTTGTTGTTGTAAAAACAAACAATAATGATGATGCCATATTTAATTCAAATCTCAGCATAATTTACGATCATCTAATGTTGAAAAATTTGACCTTGACATCCTCTGCAAGTTGAAGATTTTAGCTCTATTCTTTTACCGTTCTACTCTCATTGTCATCGCATTTTTTATCGATTAATCCGTCGTACCCAAATACTTTGCCATCATTAAAATTTATGGATATAGAAATTATTTATGAATGGTCTACATATTTGTAGCAGTCAAGAAACTCAGAGATTGGTAGACATTATTGTCTTTAAAATTGGCAGCTGTATTTTATTTCCACACGGCCTTTCTCTTGATCATCATTGAAAGTGTAGGTGTTGAAGAAGGTTTAAAATGCATGACAAAAGACTCGCCTACTTCAAGTTCAACCCAGTCGATGATTGGAAGGATAATACATTTGACATATGCACATTGTATTTATATGATCACTTGTTCTTCGTCCTTTTGGATCACAGACAACCATACGTAAGTTCTAAATAAGCAGCGTTATTTAAGTTTTCATGGCTGAGTTAGTTTGCGTGTGGTTAGTTGAATTCACGCCTCTCATTTCCATTCATGTGTACCCATAATCCATCCATACTAATTATGGTGGTGTGGGTTCTTCTTATTCATTATCATTGAGCTATGATTTTGTTTAGTTGGAGAATTTGCAATTCATTCCTTCGACATTATGTCATTCTTTTTTGCTTTACCTGCTATCTATGTGTGTATGTAATCACATGCATCTTGCTCGTAGGTTGTATATGTATTTATGTATATGAAGTTCAAGTCAAAAAGTGTTTATTAAATTAGGCATTCTGCCATTAATGGCGTCATCATCATAGTCACTATTAAATCTGTGAATTTGGATGGTTTTAGCGGTCGTCCCTCAATCAGTCTGCAAGTACAAGTGTAAAAAGAGTTAAAAACTATATTCCTAAAAGACATTAAGGTGCCGACACTCCAAAAAGAATTTGGTTTATATCTTAAATTAAATGTGATTGTTTTTGGGAGAAGGTTAGGCGAATTAGCTTTGCGTTGGCTGTGAGGACAAGTTATTTCGTTGAGGGAGATTTGCACTTGACTTGCGAAAAGGATTCGCAATGCGTGGGTTTTTGCTGTCTGGTTGATTGTGTGGTTGGTTGGATATATTGTTTCAGTCAACACTACTAATTTGGACTGCAAGACAAAACGGGATAAAGGGACGCTGAGCAAAGTGATCACGACCACATGGTCCTGTCTCTATATGTGCGCTAATATTCGTTCATCGTTCCATAATAATAGAAAATTTTGACTCTGACCTGGCTTGATTTTTGGTATATGATGAAAGAAGCGATGCTACACACTACTGCGCGTCACTCTCGTTCACATTCATCATTATAAGGTTTACATACTTTAACTCATGAGTACATATGCATTAGATGGAAGTTGTACATGCATAATATTACGTACGTATGTTTGGTAGGCGTATATCGCACTGACGGAGATTCTTCTTTCTGCTGAAGAAACTGCATTATAGTGATCACTTTTGTAAATACTCGACATCGACCATCAGCTCTCGAGTGTGCATGATAACTCTGCACATCCCGAAGAAGGTCCAAATTTGGACCGATTTTCATATCAATTCACCCAACATTGAAAAGTTCTCGTTCTCCAACTCGTTGCTGCTGCTGCGCTTACACTGTGCATGCATCTGTTAAATACTAGTTACATATATGCAGCGTGGGTGACCAAAAATAACTTTCCCTTTTCCACGACTCGGGACAGGACTAAAACTTGGAATCCAAAAGTCAGACCGTTGGATTTGTGCGGTGCGACTGTAGGACTAAAGTCAAAATCAACATTATATTCGTAGTCGACGTCCTTCCCGTGTTCAGAGTCTGGTCGTCTTTATACTTTCAGAGCAGTTCAACAAAGTGATTGGACCATAGATACATGTATGCATATGTACATATGCATATGCGTATATACATATGCTCTACATAACTCCACAAAATTACGATGTACTTTGAAATGGTATGTGCATCGCCAGCCGTGGCATTTTCCTCCGACCTGGGCGAATTGAATTCGGTTTGTTCGTCGGGTTTTAAATGAGTGTACAGTGTGGAAATTCAAGAAAAGACAGTGATATCTCGAGTTCTTCTTGCTTTTTTTGTGTACAGGATTTGTTCAACAAACAGGAGACAGTACGTAGATAAAGGGCAAAGAGGTTTACTTTGCTTCCGGTTGTGCACAGGATTTCGGATGTGAAAAGACGACACAAAAGAAATTAAATATTTGAAGGAATTCGGTTAGGACTGGTGTGCGCAATGAGTCTCATCTTTTCAACCCAAGTTTTCAGCCTGTGAATTTAGCTTTGCTGGAACATTATTGTGTGTGGAATATAATAGTGATACACTACTTAAGATTGGTGTAATAGTGCCCAGCATAATTTTTAAAAACATTCCAAAAAACTTGAGCGTAAAATTGGGACAAATTCTGTTATTGTGTGTCTTGCTATCCATACAAATCTTTGGTATACACATCGCAAGATAGATATAAAAATATATGATCATTGGCTAGTTTTTCTCTCAATTTATTCGGGAGTAGACCTTCTTCATTGTTGGTCTCATGTTCGCGTCCGTATGACAAAAGGAGTCAAGCCAAATTCTTGTATTTGGACTATAAGTTGTAATATATTATAATCATTCGAATGAATTATGATCATCTTCACGGCCACTCTTGACATTTACTTTGTTGTCCTGAACTTGACAGTAAGAAGCAGAGATTGTAGATTGGCTTAAATTGTAAATTGTGTGTGTTCCTAAAAAGGAGAAAGAATTCTGGAGAATTGAGCCAAGCAAGCTCCAAAAAATATCTCCCACAATAAAAAATATTATTTGGATTGGTGTAGCTGGTGTCCGTGTCAGGATCATGTCAGCACAACAAACTTTCGATTTAATAACACATCAAATTAAAGTATACAACATACTACGTAAGTAATTTACGGCAAAAAGCTGGAATAAAGAACAGTCGTGATTGAAGAATTATAGAAAAATCAGCTTTCGTCACTTGGACATCATGGAAGATTTAAATGGCCACAGTGATGTTTAACAATTTTCTAAACAAAGTGTCAGACTGACTTGATGAACCAGAGATTCAGCTCAGTTCACTCCGGATGAATTGATAGTCATACATAATTTGCTGAAGTAATAGTGTCTCATCTTTTCGGGCTCTTCGTTTCGACCAAGAAGAATCACAAGACAACAAGGACGAGTAACGAGACAGGAAGTAATAATAAGAATACGACGAAGCACATGAGAATCTGGATTTTGAAAACGATGCTGCATTGAATATTTCCTGTTGGACAATTTTAGTGTAGTTGTGAGTTGTGATACGTGTCTGTGTATGCCTCCTCAAACCTCCAACGCTATATTACATTGAGATTTAACTCTCTCCTCTTGTGAACGTTTTCCTCAGCCTAAAACAGTTAAAAATAACACGCGTTCAGCGTTGCAGATGGGATTCGGTTTTGTTGAATCGGATGGATCTGTGAGATTTCTGTGAGGAGTTAGTCGTGTTGGGTGTGTAATAATAATGAATGTCGGTGCAGCTTTAGTTGAACTGGAAAATGTGAAAGACACATTTTTGTGATGGTTTACATGCATGCATTTTATGGCCTGATTCATTATTGTTCGGAAAAAGAAGAGACCACAAAAATCTTTTAACTTTACATTTTTTACTACTTTTGGAATGAAACTGTGTGAAAGGGCTATTTGTCCTGCGTAGATAAGCCTCTGAAAATTTCTTCAACAAATTGGACCATTTATCATTTACAAATAGACTCCCTTCTTAATGTTATCATTGCCTCAAACCTTCTCACCACCACCATCGCCATCATCGTCGTCATCATCGTCATCTCGGAGCAATTCAGGCCTCAGAAACCAGAAACCAAAAGTATCAGTACCAAATTCTTCAGAGATGAGCTCTGAAGAGGTGGCAGAGTTAGCACAGGCAATTCACAACCATGCAGATGTTTTGTACGAGTCGTGGAGAAAAGGTCAAGAAGCGTTCAATATGAAGAGAATGGAGGACACTCTGGAACTTTTGGCAGGTCCGTTCCAGTTCCAGCAATCACTTCCAGTAGCTTGAAATTTGTGCATTCGTATTATTCGTATTACCCTTATCACAGTGATAAACGTCAAATTTCAAGCTACTGGAACTAAACAAATTTCAATATGGTGATTGTATTTTTATGAAATTATGTGTGTGCGATTACAGATCCAGGGCTCACGCCAAAACTCGAACATTTGGTATCCACCTTCGTCCGAAGGTACAAAATTTACATAACAACTAATCACACTCCAATTATTCTAATAAACCTTTGCAGTTAAAAATTATTATTAATTAATACTTCAGGGATAAAGCAAAACGCCAACAGTTCAACAGTCCGGAAGGTGCTGGTGGTAATGACAGTCAAAACCAAAGGAGAGAATCAAGTCCAATCGGAGGAGTCAACAACAATACACGGAAACCATTGCCCAAAAGCATACTTGCAGTCGTACAGAGGTTCGAACCTCAACAATCGTTATCCCCACCAGGCCCCAAGGGTCAAGAAATACCGGTATTAATCCACTCGTCCAGGGAAGCAAGTCCTGCAACCACCACTGGAGACAATAATCCTGCCCGAATTAATCTTCCTGGTGTTGGACCAGTCACCAAAAATGTTGTTTGGGCTGAAACAATTAACAAGCACAATACGACAACAGAGAGAATTGGAGATCGGGGAAGCAGCCCAATTCCTACTCCAATTAATATCAAAACATATCTTGATTCCTCGAATCAAGCAACAAATAATGGAATTACGAAAACTATAATTTCACCCACCACTGGAAAAATTGTTAGAGAAAGAACAATCCCAATAGAACGATCCAATGATACTAATGATTCAAGTTTCAATAATAAAAATAACGGCGTTAGCTTGCAATCAGCCAGCACTCGGGATAATAGATTTAGTCCAGGACGCGTTATATCCACTGCCGGTCCGACTATTTCACCAACCTACACCACTAACGCTTTGGAACAGGAAGAGGAAAAATTGTTGCGAGCGTTGCAAGTGAATCAAGTTGTTGTTGCCCCCAAGTACTCTTCAAATAAGATTGGAAGCAGCATACCTCCACGTGAAAAAGTTCTTTTTCAGACAAAAGTGGATTTTGCTAAAGAGAGGATTCGTCAAAGCCAAGAACACCCCTTGACCCAACAGAGACTCGAGCTCCAGAAGCGACTATCTCTCCCGAATGGGAATCTTGCAGCAGCCATTGCCCTGCAGCAAGGAAAATTAAAATTTCAGCCAAGTCGTAGTGCTCACTCTGCATTGGATGAAACGGACCTTCACGGTCATGGTCAGGTACACAATGGTGGTGGCAAGGAAATTACCAATGGCAAAAGTTTTGTCCGATTTGGACCTGGGGCCACGGTGGCGGATAGGGTGCAACTGTTTGAAAAATATCCTACGCATATTGGTCCCCCTTTGGTTGGTCATGGTCATGGGAGTAGGGCCCAGTCCCCCATTCGTACCCCCGGTCATGTCATTACACATCCCATTCACATTCAGCACTCCAGTGAACCTCATTCCCAGCTTCATCAACCCCCAAGTAGTGGTAGTGTTAGTAACGATAGCCAATTACCGTTTACATCTCAGCCAGTCCAAACGCAGAATAGTTGTTTAGCCAGTGCGAATAATGTTGTTGGTAACGTCAATTCCAATGCTCATGCTCCGTGGAGGATTTCTCCAGCACGGGATGTCCGATCCTTGATCATTTCGCAGGTTAGCTGATTCTCAATTTTGTCCTGAATACCTACTGTTCGTTCCCAGAAATATGTATACGTCTACGTACATCATGAAATATTTTTTTTCAAGACATTTGCAATTCTAGTTTTGCAAACTCTTTTTGCTAACTATTTTTATTTTCACCTATAGTCTGTTTGAATTTCACTTCAATTATTTAGTTTTAGTTTCTGAGTTTATGTATATGTTTGTAATCAGTTGTATCAGCTCGTTTTCGTTTTACTTACAACTGGCAAACATCCAAAAACTTTACGTTCTTTGGTTCTGTTCTTGCTGAATGGTTTAAACATTTGATCTTGCAAGAATCGTCAAGTTACATATGTACGTAGGCATCTTTAATGGCTGCATTCCACTGAGTGCGTTCTTCTAAAGCTTTGGATTAGATTTTAACAAGCGAAAATTGTGTACTTATGTATAATTCATGTATTTACTTTCAAATCCCAGTCGTGACTTGTAAACTACATATGAACAGCATTCGAGCTGAAAATGCACAATTGCGCCGTTTTATTTTCTTTGAAAATTCCAAAAACCGACACGGAAACATTGCAAATAATGAATTTATGTTCTGGGTCATGTTATATGTATCAGCTTACTATACAATATCCATTAGTATCTTGTTTTATTTTGACTTATTGCAGCCATCGGAGTCTACGGGAGTGGTCAGTCGAAAGTCCACAGACCCAATACCCACTACAGTAGTGTCACCAGTGCTGGTGTCATCACCTCCTCCTCCTGCTTTGACCAGCAAGAAGCACCCCAAAGATAAGGTACCTCGGGTTGGAACTTGTGGACCGCCAGTCTCAAAATCAGTCCCGAAATTTTTCTGGCCGGAAGGAAAACCCACCTCCAACACTGTCCTTCAGAATACTCTGACCAAAGCAGAATGCAAACTAAAAGAAGAGAATAACTGCGTAAACTATGATAAATTCGGAGAGGTACATACATATATTATGTATTACTGATACGGCATGTCATAATGTAATGTAACGCATATTTAGTCGCCTCTTGTCCAAAAAATGCCAATATTTGCATAATGCACAATTTTCTACATCTACAAAATGCACTCAAAACGATTTTATTAATTTGCAGCTTATGGTAGCCAGTGGACTTCCGCTGTATTGGAAGAAACCGTTTTGGATGGCATTGTGTTTATCTCCAGACGGAATTTGCACTTCCAAAATATTTATTCCATTTCTTCGTTACCTTCTTACAGACGTCCCAGATGATGCTGCTAAATTTGTCAGAATATTATCGTCCGCTTCTCGCAACTTCCCAGTTGGCTATGATAAGAACAATTATAATAACAATAATACGAACATGAATATTAAATACTATACCGATCATGGAAATTATTGTCAAGATCTGAAATTCGTCGAATTAACAATGACTGAATTTGTTCAAATGATTCAAGATATTATCGATACTCACCCAGGTGTGTTTGTCATTTTAAATGTCTCATGTTGTGGTAATATTATTTATAAAATTAAAATAAGCATGCTACTTATGTATTATAGGTCTTGGTTTTCTAAGAGATGCCCCAGAGTTTCACAGCCGATATATAACCACTGTTATATCTCGGATATTCTATAAGGTAAATTTAAAGCCATGATATTCGTTATTAATTTAGTTACTTCATCCCTCAAAAGGTGAAAAATGTAAATAAATACGTGTTTGAATTTATAAAAGCAAACATATTTTTTTAAATATAGGTTAACCGTTCATGGTCAGGAAGGTTGACACTGACGGAGATACGACGTTCCAATTTGCTCGGAATCATCAAGCGTTTAGAGGAAGAGACTGATATTAATACCATCACCGAATACTTTTCTTATGAACACTTTTATGTAGGTTGTACATACGATGAATAATTTTTTGATTCACACGCGTATCCTTACATACTTGTCTAAGATTAGAAAATTGAATAATTTGTTGATCTAAATTTTCTACATACAGGTAATTTACTGCAAATTCTGGGAATTAGGTAAGATATTCGCTGTTTCTATGTATTGAGAGAAGACAGGAAGTAGTTAATTTGCATTGTATGGACTTTTGTAGACAAAGACCACGATCTTCTGATTGATAAACATGATCTGGCAGCTCACGCTGAACATGGTAAGTGGCGGAATAATCTTTAAAGTTCCTTGCTCTCTTCCGACTTGGAAATTCGCCAATGTCGAACAGTCGACTGCTGTTCGACTCGTTAAATGTCGAATAAATGTGAAATTAATTATGTATCTACATGTCACGTAAACATACAGATATGCATGTACATACCTATGATAAATATATAAATACATATACATATATCCAATGTTGACATTACTTACTTTTCAATTTTCAGCCATGTCAAGCCGTATCATAGAGCGAATTTTCAGTGGAACAGTACTCCGTGGATGGGATGTCGCTAATCCACTAATGGCTGCTCATGATAAGATGACTTATAGTGATTTTGTATGGTTCCTCTTATCCGAGGAGGATAAAAAAACTCCGACTGCTATCGGTATGCTATTTATTTACATGCTTAATCATTTATCTCTTGTATTATTCATGTCGAAATAGAATGCTCCGTCCTCATCTTAATTCGTAACTTTAAATTATTATCAATGTATGCATTTGCAGAATATTGGTTTCGTTGTTTGGACGTGGATGGGGATGGCATCATCAGTCCATACGAGTTACAATACTTTTATTCGGTGAATATTATCATTTAAATTAGTAAAAACTTTGTCTAATGATTAATTAATTAAATTTTGTTCTATACCAGGAACAAGAAAACCGAATCGAAAGTCTTGGTATTGAACCACTTCATTTTTCTAATGTTTATTGTCAAATAGTTGATATGCTTCATTGCAGTTCTACAGGTACATCTTTGCACAAAACTAACGTGATTTGTTAGTGGAGTTCTTTGTAATAAGAGTACAAATAGTGTCCTTTGTATTTTGTTATAGGAATTCGCCTCAAAGATTTGAAAAATAATCCATACCTCGCAGCAAACGTTTTTAACACAGTATTCAACTTGGAAAAGTATTTGGAACATGAACAGAGAGATCCATTTGCAGCGTCTCCTGGAAATCAGGAGAATGGAGAAGGCGATTCTGATTGGGACAGATATGCTGCTACAGAGTATGAACTTTTAATTGCAGAAGAATCTCCCGGAGATCATTTGTGAGCCAAATCTTAAAAAATAAAATAATTATCTGAACTTATATTATTTATGAAAGTTTTAAATTGATAAATTAATTGGATTGTAGACATGATTCCGGTTTAGAAGAAATATTAATGACCCCGTGAAACTTAATCCTTAAAAAGTACTTTAGCAGTTAGTGTGATTCTATTATATTATATATAAATACACGCAAAAATAGTCATTAATTCATGCACTACTCGTAAAAAATGTTATAAAAACTAAGCAATATAAATCTTATATGCATAAAAATATGCCCACAATAGTCTATATTTATAGTTCTTAATATTATTATTTTAAATTCAGTTAGACGTATGTATAGTGCGCAGTTGGGTAAGTCATGTAAAAGACTGAATGTATCAAGTTTGTAAGCAATAATAAATATCAATATATTAAAAACATGTATTTTCTGACCAGTTCATTGAAAAGGCATGCAGAAACAACAAAGGTTACAACAATTTACCCCCAGGTACATAGTTATTATTGACATATTTTCCATATATTTGCATATTTTTAGAGAGACTATAAAAATTCATAAACATATACTAATCATGATACGACTGGTAAAAATATAGTGTACTAAAAACCTAAATTAGTAAAAAAAATCATATTTATGAATACGCACATTATCCATTGATTGAAATAACTATTATCGCTATTTTTATTATAAGACAAAGTAATATGACGCTGAACTTCATTTCAAACAACCGTAATAGTATCATACCATACGATAGTTTTATCGGTGTTTATATTTATAATAACCTTTTTCGGCCACCAATGCGTTTTGCCAAATCCAGGTCCCTTAACATAACGGTGACTCTCCTATCATGTATTGCACAAAGATTGCTGTCCTCAAACATATGCACTAGGAAACACTCTGAAGCTTCCTGTAAATAAACATATATAACATGTAATTACAAATACGCACAAATTAAAACTATCTAGGAATTTACCTGTAAGGCACCAAGAGCGGCTGCTTGAAATCGGAAATCGATCATGAAGTCTTGTGTTATCTCTCGCACAAGTCGCTGGAACGAAAGCTTTGGTATCAAGAGCTCAGTTGATTTCTGATACTTTTGTATCTCTTTTAATGCCAGAACACCCGGCCTATTAAGTGGGGAAAATATTATATTGATTAGTACACATTAACTCAAATTTGTATAATTTGAACATGATATGAATGTATACAAGTAACCTGTAACGTTCTTTACGCTTCTTTGGTTTTGGGACTCCTTTATTTTCACTTTTTCGAGCTCTGAGATTACCTGGTGACAAGTCTCCTGCCCTTGTCGTTTGTATTTGATCGCCTCGAACTCGAAGCCTTTGTCGTCGGTGAATTTCTGCTTGAGTTAATACTTCATAATCCGATTCAGATGACGTTTCAAGGACGTTTGACCTCTGGCTCATGTCCCGAAAGCTGGGAGATATCCGGCCAGAACCTGAAGCTGCATTCCTGTGTTGAAAGGCAGACGCTTGTGAGGCATTAGTTCTCTTTATCGCCACATTTCTGGATGGCTGCGACGTTCGAGTCATTGTGATATATCTATTAAATGAGAACCATTTACGATATTTCTAAATAATTTATCAGATATGCATAAGCTTACATTCACTGCGTGTTATTCCGTTCCGTTTATTAGAAAGTTAGGAGCCACGAATTTTTGCCGTCGTCGATATAATACGGTCCGTATTATATCGACGATGGTTTGCTGGACAAATCACGAATATCGTCTAATTAGACTCTAATAAATATGTCAGAAATACCTAAGTACTTATTTGTTAGTACTTAAAGATGGACATCTTATATCGCAATGCAATTAATGCAAACTAATTGGTATTTATTTTAATAATCGCTGTGATCAGAAAGTTTGACTACAATTGCAATTGGATAAATGATTTGATTATAAATGAATGTCCAGCTCCAGCATATATCAAAGCGATACTGGGATTCGACAAAATCTGCTTATAGTATTGTTGATTTTGACTATTCGATGGGACGTAGCAAAGTTCTATAACAAATAGCACCGCCAGAGATTCATTTTACTTTACATTAACTTATGGGAATTCCATAAATTTATTTAAACGAAGAGTGAAATGAAATGAAATGAGAACGCGAAGTGAACGTAGAAATAGTAAACAAAGACGAATTGGGTTTAAGTTATCCACTCTGCTCCAATCGTCAGAGGACAAAAGGAGATCAAGCTGTGCCAATCAAGCTGTGAGATCAATTTGGGTCTCTAAATATTTCAGTAGAATAAGAGTAAAGCAAAACTCAAATTATTATTATTAGTAGTCTTAACGTATTTTATATTTACGGTATCAGCTTATATGCTATTATTTTGTTCTTTTTTGGCTGTAAAAATGTTGATTAATGAACAATTGATGAACAATTAGTTCATTCATCAATCAGCATACGCTCCTCTAGTCCTAAGTCAAATGAAATAAGTGGATTTTTGCTCAAAAGGATGAAATTATGAAATTAGTATTTATTTTGACTTCGTTGACTATTCAAAGTATTAGAGAATGAATTACAATGCTTGCATATTGAGCAGGAGGAAAAGGCACGTCGAAATGGACACTGCGGAGTTCTGAACTGTTGAATTTTGAGCCGTTGCTGTTTGTTGTCTTCTTGAGGACAGAGACCAGAGGACGACTGGGTGACGGGCAGGATACTGGGCAGGAGGATCGTCGAGACGAAGACCTCCTTCTCATTAGCAGCATCTCCAATGCTGAGCATTTCTTCTCCCAAAGGGGTTCGTCTAGTAGTGGGGTCAACCTGCGTCTCATCAGCAATCGCCGTGGAGAGCAAGCCTTCCAAATACTCTGCAGCGTTAAATGAAAGGGGGTTCTGTCGTTTTTCTTTGTTCTCGTTTGTGATTTCATGACCATGACCATCCGTGTTCCCAATCGTTATGGATGATGACGACGAGGATGAAAAAAGAATTAGATTTCTATCGTGTCCTTGAAATAATGATCCTTCTTCCCGAGAATTTTCATGCTGGTTGGGTTGACTTGAGGGTTGAGTATCTCTTTGTATTCCGCGAAGGTAATTAATGAGAGGGCTGTGGTATTCAGTCAGTGAGCACAATATGGTTCTATCCAAGAGTGGTTCTGGAATTGCATATTTTTGTTCCGCATGATTTGGATGGTGCTCGTCTGTAGGTGGCGTTGTGGGAATTCCAGATTGGAGTGACCTGGGGATCATTGGAGCCGGAGTTTTTGACTCATCTTCATCTTCAGCGTCATATGCAGTCTCATTTGGGGAAATTCGAGTGATAGCACTATTAGCCTTGTTATTATTGACATTTCGGATTGTGGAAAAACTTTGAGATGAAGACGTCCCAGAACTGAGATTTGATTCATCCAAGTCAGACAAGGCTGACACATTCCCTGATGAGTTGAATGCTTTGGATTTTGATTGTTGCAGGTTATGCCAGGCACGATTCGATACATTTTTATCTTCTCTCCTATGACCAGTATTACTCATGACAGTGTCTAGAGTTGTGTTGGATTCAGCAAATTCTGCTTCTGGAAACCATCGGAATTGATTCAAAGCTGGGCTCAAGTCGGATAAATGTTGAATTGTCGGTAAATCTGTTTCAGTGTCGTCGGTTAACCTTGAGGCATGCTCAACCTCTGATTGATTTTAAGCGGAATCACTATTATTGTTCTCATCCACCGTATTTGACATGGTTAATCGAACTTTATGAATGGTTTCCGGGCAATTTCCCTTTTTCAGGTCACCATCAAGATTAGGAATCGGCAGAGTCACCGGATTAGGCGATTTGTTGCTGTCAAGATTGTAACAACAGACATTGTGGCAGGGATTCATTTGGTTGTTGCAAGAAATACTGCTTCTGGTACTGTCGCATGACTCTGATTCTTGACACAGGTCATCTTCGTAACAATTACTTGAACACGAGGATACGGAAGAACAAACTGGAGACGCAATGTGACAATTACCAACAAGCCCCCTTTCAGCCTTTAATGGACATCGAGTGTTCCCTGGTGGTAGGAGGGGTGGCGCAAAACTCCTCAATCCTCGTTCTTCCGAGTTTACAAAAGCTTCAAATTCTGATCTGAGGTCATTTAGATCACATGAATTCTGCTGACAAGTGTTGTGGAATTCATGTGGAAATGGGTTTATGGAAATGGGATTATCATTTACATCTACTTGATTAGGAAACTGTGCGCGAATATTTTCCAAATATGTGTGATACCGTTCTTTATAGAGTGAGGATGGTGATGATCTTCTTACACAACTACTTTCTTTATAATTGGCACTCTTGGATCGGACATTTTCATTGGAGGTTTTTGACTTTCCATAAAAAATAAAATCAGAGAGGTTGTCATTTTCTGCATAAGACTGTGATCCTCCAGTATTGCTAGGTCTAAACTGCGGTCTCAGGGATCGATTTGACGACAAGCCACTCTCTTGTGCTGCAGCTGCTGCGATTACCATGGATTGGTAAAACAGTTGATCGTCCAATACGTTGGGATACTGGTGACGATTTGAACCGTTAACCGCTGACATACTCCTCGGAGGCAGGGAATATTTATTCGTATTTGGAAGTTTGTTGCTGGATGGGGTAGAAATCTTTATGTTTCTAGGTGTTATCGGACCCGAATTAGCATCACTTTGAGAGTTGTAGTGGGGAGTAGTTGCTGATGATGGAATGGGTCGAAAGTTGTCCTTGGGATGCTTTGTTTCGGATTGATAAGGAAGGCTGTAGTACTGAAACGGTGTACGAGGTGGTAGTTGAGAACCTCGCCCCGACTTGGACTCTGATGCGTTTGGGGAAGCATTTTCTGAAGGCAAAGAAGTAACAAATTGCTGATTCCTAATGGTTTTGACACTTTGGCTTTTTTTGAGTGACAAATCAACTCCTCCTCCTCTTCCTCCGAAACTTTTTTCATGAGATGTCGCTTGTCCCGTAGTATTGTTAGATTGAAATTTGTCTGGCATTTTAATATTACGACCTGAAAATTTTCCTCCAACGTTGGGTCCTTTTGCCTGATCCATGTTATTACTGCCAGCTTGATACCCTCTTGGTCTTTGCACATTGCTATCACTTCCTCCTGGTCCTGCGAATAAGTTCTTTATAGATTGTTGTCGTACAGTATTAGTGGAGTTTGCGATCGACTTTCTCGTTGCAACAGTGCGAGTCCCCAAAAACTGGTTTGTTGTATTGTTTGGCAGAGAAAGTTGAGCGACATTACTGTCATCGATATTGCCTGCTGGAGACGAAGGGAGGATGACATTATTTGTATTTCTGAATGCATTGTCCGAATCTGATTTTCCTTCATTTCCGTTTTTTCGCAATTCAGAACTCTGTCCTGCGCTTTTGCTCACAATCGAAGAAGTATGCAAAAAAACATTGCTGGACATTTCTCGACTTGGATATTTAGCTGATGAATTTGATAAATTTCCACGCGTAATCCCTCTTCCCGCAGGATTTGGAGACGCTTTTTTAACTTGTTCGTGTTTCGCTTTACTTTGTCCTAACGTCCGGCTGCTACCAATTGAAGTTTTCTTTTTCATACTAGGCTGACTTGCGGTAGAGTTCATACGAGGCCGGCCTGCGGAATAGGTTGCAGAGGGCTGACTTGTTGCGGCGGTCTTGGGAGGTTGGTCTGCCGCAATATTAAAAGAAGTCTCCCCTCCCGTCGTGAGTGGCTGACCTGCAATACTCTTCATTGTAGTCTGACCTGCTGTAGAGTTCACAGTTGGCTGACTGGCTGAAAAGGTCATGGAGGGCAGACCTTGTGTAGTGTTTTTATGAGGTTGCCCTGCCGTCGTGATCCTGGGTGCCTGAATTACAGCAGGGTTCATGGGAGGTTGACCTGTTGCAGAACTTACATTTGGCTGATCGGCCGATAAGATCATTGAAGGTTGACTTATTTCAGTGTTCATGGAAGGATGGCTTGATGTAGTGCTGGTGGGAGGTTGACCTGTTGCAGAGGTCACATTTGGCTGATTGGCTGACAAGGTCATTGAACGCTCATCTGCCGTAGTTTTCAAAGTAGCTTGACCTGCCGTCGCTATCATAGGTGGCTGACCTGTCGTCATAGTCGTTGGAGGCTGACCTGCCGTCATTGTCATGGGTGGCTGACCTGCCGTCATTGTAATGGGTGGCTGATCTGTCGTCATAGTCGTTGGAGGCTGACCTGCCGTCATTGTCATGGGTGGCTGACCTGCCGTCATTGTCATGGGTGGCTGACCTGCCGTCATTGTCATGGGTGGCTGATCTGTCATCATAGTCGTTGGAGGCTGACCTGTCGTCGTGATGATGGGTGGCTGACCTGTCGTTGTGATGATGGGTGGCTGACCTGTCGTTGTGATGATGGGTGGCTGACCTGTCGTTGTGATGACGCGTGGCTGACCTGTCGTCGTGGTCGTTGGAGGCTGACCTGTCGTCGTAGTCGTTGGACGCTGACCTGCCGTTGTGATGATGGTTGGCTGACCTGCCGTCATTGTCATTGGTGGCTGACCTGCCGTCATTGTCAAGGGTGGCTGACTTGCAGTCGTGATCATAGGTGGTTGACCTGCTGCAGTGGTCGTGGGTGGTGGACTTGCCGTCGCTAGCTTGGGTGCCTGAATTAATGCCGTGTTCGTCGAAACCTGACTTGCCGTCACGTTTGTGGGAGGCTGACCTGTCGTTGTAGTCGTTGGTGGCTGGCCCGTCGTCGTAGTCGTTGGAGGCTGACCTGTCGTCATTGTCGCTGGAGGCTGACCTGCCGTTGTGATGATGGATGGCTGACCTGTCGTCGTAGTGGTTGTAGGCTGACCTGCCATTGTGATGATGGGTGGCTGACCTGCCGTCATTGTCAAGGGTGGCTGACTTGCAGTCGTGATCATAGGTGGTTGACCTGCCGTCATTGTCAAGGGTGGCTGACCTGCCGTTGTGATGATGGGTGGCTGACCTGTCGTCGTAGTCGTTGTAGGCTGACCTGCCATTGTGATGATGGGTGGCTGACCTGCAGTCGCTAGCATGGGTGGCTGAATTAATGTCGTGTTCGTCGAAACCTGACTTGCTGTCACGTTTGTGAGAGGCTGACCTGTCGTCTTAGTCGTTGATGGCTGACCTGTCGTCGTAGTCGTTGGTGGCTGACCTGTCGTCGGGATGATGGGTGGCTGACCTGTCGTCGTGGTTGTGGGAGGCTGACCTGTCGTCTTAGTCGTTGATGGCTGACCTGTCGTCGGGATGATGGGTGGCTGACCTGTCGTCGTGGTTGTGGGAGGCTGACCTGTCGTCGTAGTCGTTGGAGGCTGGCCTGTCGTCGTAGTCGTTGGAGGCTGACCTGTCGTCGTAGGTGTGGAAGGCTGATCTGCTGTCGTGTTCGTGGGAGGTTGACCATTTGCAGAGTTCACATTAGGCTGATCGGCTGACAAGGTCATTGAATGTTCATCTGTCGTAGCGTTGAAGGTAGGCTGACCGTTTGAAAACGTCGTAGAGGGTTGACGTGTTGCAGAGTTAATTGAAGGCTGGCCTGCTAAATAGGTCGTACGTGGCTGACTTGCTCTGTTATTCAAGGGAGGCTGACCTGCTGCAGAATTCCTAATAGTTTTGACACTTTGTCTTTTTACAGGTGGGAGATCAATTCTTTCAATTTTAGCCTGACTGGTGTTATTACTACCAGTTGAATATCTTCCGGGTCTTTGCACATTGCTGTCACTGCCCAATGGTCCTGCGATTAAGTTCTTTAGTGATAGTTGTCGTTTACTGGAGTTTGTGTTCGACTTTCTGGGTGCAACATTCCCATAAAATTGGTTTGTCGTGTGCTGTGACTGAGTGGGTTGTGGGATGACATTACTATCATTTATAATTCTGAGTGCATTATCTGAATTTGATATTCCTACATTTTCTTTGGCACGACTTGGAAATTTCGCTGATGAATTTGATAGATTGACAAGCCCAATCCCTCTACCAGCAGAATTTGGAGATTCATTATTAGCTTGTCCATATTTCGACTTAATTTGTCGCGACGTTCGACTGCTTCCAGTCAAAGTTTTTCTGTTCATGGGAGGCTGACCCGTCGTAGTGGACATGTTAGGTTGACCTGCCGTAGAGTTCACAGGTGACGGACTTCCTCCAGAGTTCATGGGTGGCTGAGCTTCTGCAGAGTTCATAGGAGGCTGATCTGCAGTAGTGTTCTTTAAAGGCTGACTTGCGACGGCAGTGTTCATCAGAGGCTTGTCTGCTGATAAGATGATTGAGGGCTGACTTGCTGCAATGTTATTGGAAGGCTCACTTGTGTTCATGGGAGGTTGCCCTTCGTTATTTTCTATATCAGGTCGACCTGCGGAAAAGGTCATATGAGGCTGACTTTCTCCGGACCTCATGGGAGGTTGACCTTGTGTAGTTTCCATATGAGGCCGACCTGCGGAAAAGGTCATATGAGGCTGACTTTCTCCGGACCTCATGGGAGGTTGACCTTGTGTAGTTTCCATATGAGGCCGACCTGCGGAAAAGGTCATAGGAGGCTGACCTTCTCCGGAGCTCATGGGAGGTTGACTTTCTGTAGTTTCCATATGAGGCCGACCTGTGGAAAAGGTCATAGGAGGCTGACTTTCTCCGGAGCTCATGGGAGGTTGACCTTCGTTATTTTCCATATGAGGTCGACCTGCGGAAAAGGTCATAGGAGGCTGACTTTCTCCACAAGGGGTTCATGGGGGACTTACCTTCTGCAGAGTTCATAAGAGCCTGACTAGAGGTAGTGTTCACGGAGGGCAGGTCTGCTGAAAAGCTCATAGAAGGCTGACATTCCCCAGAATTCACTCGCTGACTTTCTCCAGAGCTCATGGGAGGTTCACCTGCTGCACTGTGTCCGAAACAGACCAATTCAGGAGCATATCCTCCCCAAGAGCATGTACCCCCGGTATTGAACCTCGAATCTCGAAACCTGGCCATCCGTCTGCTTAATATATTGTTATTACAATCGTATGCAAACCCAATCGTTTTGGTGCTGGGGGTTATCGAGTTGTCGCAAGTTGATGACTGGTTAACGTAAGCCCTCCTCGCTCTATAAGATGATAGATTATCACAGGGCGATGATTGTTGCTCATTGATGTCCTCCCCACTGTAGCGTAAAATATAAAAATCATGGCACACTCCCATTCATATGCAGATTCATTTACATATTAGTATCAAATTACGATCTGCAACATACGATATTTTGTAAAATCCAACGTGAGTATTCCCCATGATTTTAATTGTTTTCAAAGTCGAATATATTTCAAATTTTGCATAAAGATTTCGAATTTAGAGTACTCGCAATTTTGCTAACTTCAGGCATTAAACCCGGCATACAACACGTATAAAGTATTTTTAGTTTTCATTAGTGTATTGTTTTGGTAATACTTATGTCCAAAGTTGCTAGACAACCGTAAGGTTTAATGAGGTCTTACGATGAATAAGTGAGTGTCAAATTACACGTATCTACAGGCATGTTTAAGGTAGCGACAGAGCCATATGTATGTACATAACTACAATTACCTTGGTCTGACTACAGAGATATGTTGTAAAATTGGCTAATAAGTGGCTAACTAGCGTATATTAAACCCTATCATGCAGCTACATAAATATGTAGATGGATAATGCCTCGAAATATGATCCCCTCTTACCAATAATTGATAGTATCTTTTTGTCCTAAAATTTAAGTTGTATTTCTTAATTGTGCTCAAGTGTATGTTCATATACTCGCGTTTGGAATATGTAGAAATCATTGCAGAAAATGTCAATAAGGTTATATGCAAGTTTTGCAAGTCTACTTCAAATTTAATTACATACAAAAATGTAGGAAACTCATTCCAGTAGTACAATAAATTTTGCAAGCCATTTGAATTTGAAATGGAAGCATATTGCATATTACAATGTGCAATTTTTTCTTTCACAAAAGCTGAGCCATCAATTGGTCAACCTTATCGTCCGTTTCTCCTTCTTCGTCGTCATCGTAGTTGGCATTTATAATTTCTTGGCTGGGAGACTGCTTCAGATCTTCTGTCGCCAAGCAAGTTAGCCCCAGCGTGTCCATATCCACCGATTTCAGACTCCTAATTTGCTTTAATACCTTCGAGCGTGACAGACTCCGACTGCGACCACGCTGTCTGTAATTTACTTCATTCCGAAGAAATGTGACATTCTCCTTCTCCGTCATAGTTTCCTGTGAAGAAGAGTAAACAGAAATGTACTAAAACCAATTTTAAACTTTTGTGCAATTTAAATGGGGAGTTCATAGTTATTGCATTTTGTATAGAATGTACATATTCTTGTACTCACGGGCTGAAAGGTTGGAATGGAGTTATTTTTCACAAGATTTTGCAAGTTTTCGATAGGAATCTTCCCAAAATTTCTGACTTGGAATCTCTTTTCGGTTTGTTCCAACAGAGGGGAAGACAAGGAAATAAGGAAATCATAAGGTCTCTAAAGGCAATTCAAAAATGGAAAAATGAGTTATAATTTTTAACGCGGTAGTTTCTTTTAAATTCTCTGAAATGTCCTTGTATCGTCTGTTGGTCAACCTCAGGGGTCAGGGACTTGTCGACTTCATGCTGTTCGGCCGATCCTTCATCGAGCAGTTGACTCTCACCAGAGACAAACTCTTCGCTCTCGTCGATGATGAGGTAAAAGTTGTCCGGACTTATTTCAGACACGACGTCTACCAAATGAGGAAATGTCCCGTCACCAGCCTTTCTGTAAATTGGAGTTATTTTTGCAGGCACAAGTATTTATCCGATAGGCATTTAGATTGAAGGTTCCAAGCAAATTTAACAACTAAATTTTTTTTTAAAACAAATTACCTCCGAACGACAATGTTTAAATCAATGTAATCCTTGCCCACTGACGGTGTTTTTGGAATAATCAGGGCAATGTTTGAAAATTCAATATAGCTTTTTTGGTCCTGGTCGCACTTTTCTTGGGTGTTTGGAAGACCGTGTTCTGTTGGTGTGGACACCTCGTAACGAGTATTTCGCGCGGATGAAGTAGGTTTAATTCGGTAGGAGAGATCAATATGGTCTGCCTCTTGGGATGTGGTCACTTTCACCTTTTTTAGCTTTAGTTGACTTTGGGAAACGCTGGTGGAAAAGTACTTATCCTCCCAGGATTCAGATGCATGTGGTTTCAACTTTTCGTTCCTATCTGAGCTCGCAACATATTTCTCCACTGCATTCTTTATTCGTCGCGATTCTGGACGAACTTGAGCGGAAGTACTCCTTTGACCTTCGTCCGAGGATACTGAAATCTCTTTACTTTTAGGAACAAACATTTTCCCCTTCTTGGTTTTTTCTTGTTTGGAAACTTTCTTAAATGTCTGCGTTTCTACTTCAATCTTTGGTCTTTGAACCAAAGGGAGTAATCCCGACTTTGCTGACTGGATGATTTTTTTCTGTGTCTGTTCAACCGTACTATTAACATGACGCCTAAATTTTGTGGGTGTCAGCAGACGTTGTTGAACACTAGGCGTTTGTGTACCCATTATAGCACTTTTGCATTCAGGTCGATGATGCAGCTTGGGCTGAGACTTGGTGAAACTTTTTGTCGAGTAATTTGAGGCAGCAGAATTCGAGCGACTAAGATTAATTTCACTTGAGGCGTAAGCTGCGGTAACCCATTTTGGCTTAGCGAGACGCTCTGCAGCAGCCTGTTGAGAACCTAAAGATCTCCCCTTCTGTTTCTTCTCATATGACGATTTCCTTCTCTTTGGAGCAGTTGAATGTGGAACAAATTGGTTTCTCGAGTTCATATAGAATGGAGGAAGCTGTGTGGACATGTAGTTATCGTACTGGTAACGTTCCCATTCGGAAGATGACAACTCAGACTCTTGCATACTTGCTTCCGATGGGGTCTGAAGTGGACTTTCAATAGCAGTTCGTGGTCGAACTGTGGATGACGGTTTAGGCCAAGGAGTGAACAAATTAGGCGGGTCATTCTCGTACGGTGTCGAAGTGGGAGCAGCGGGAGACGTACGAGGACGGTCAGTGTTGGCATCCATCAGTGCGTGAGATAGAGCGACAGTATACGCCACCTCGAATTCTTTGCTAGAATGGAGATCATGTAAACGTACCAAAGAGTGAAGAAGTTGATTGACTTTTTTTTCGTGTTGCCCTTGTTTCTTTTTCTTCTTGGTTGGCTTAGGCTTGATTAGAGCCGGATTGATGTTCAAGGCTTGTTGCACTAAAATTGGTTGGGCGTCCGAAGATCTTGCACGAGGGTTCATTAAGTTATTGTTGTTTGCAATGGAGCCGGATTCAAACTGGGCGAAATTTCGAACAAATGCTTCAGCTCTTGAATGTAGTTGTTGTTGTCTGTGTTGTGATTGTGGTATTGGGTCTAATTCCAAGTCATTCTCATCGTCATCAGAATTATTAATTTGTGCCCCCTCCCATACGGAAACACCATCATGCAAATTGAAACCTTCCCCTTGAGGTGCTTTAGTTGTTTTAGTGTTTATGGATTTTCTGTGGGGTTCTCGCGCCTCGCCGAATAAAACATTTGGCTGGTCTCTGTCCCATCGATGCTGGTTCAAACATATGCTCACTTTCTCCAAAGAATTCTTGGAAATATTTTCAAGCGGTGGCCCCCCAAATTCCACTTTGGTTTCGATTTCGACTGGAGATTGGTTTAGTAGCGTCATTCCATTAGCTTCCAAAGCGTCAACAACCGTCTCAGTTGAGCTGGAGTACTCAAGTTCAGTGTCATTTCCAAAACTGGAACCCATGCTCCCTTCGCCTCCTTCGTAATCTGTTGAACTCCTTTGCTCTTGGTTTTGTGGTGGAGTGTTTTCAAGCATCAGCGAACTTAAAGGATGTCGTTCAGTAGTCTCAGATTCACAAGTTTCGAGTTTTTTGTTGACAGTCTGTATCTTTGACTTATTGCGTAGCAGTGTACAACTTGAAACCACTTGGTTGACATTAATGCAACAAGAACTACTTTTTGGTGAGATGGATTTGATCTGCACTTCAGATGGCAAAGTTTTAATTTCCGTCGCACTGATAATAGACGCGTTGTTGTTGGGCTTGTCCACGTCTGCCTTAGCAATTTCTATGTCTTCATTATCCTCGGATTGATAATGACAGATTCTAGGCTCCAAATTGAACGTTATGCTTTTATGTCTATAAATTGACAATTAGCAAAATTAACGACCACATAAAATGCATAGACGTCTTTACACAGTAATGTATGATTGTAATAATTTTTAGTATCTATACCCTGATTTTAGCTTCTCGACTGAAATAATATTCGACTCGACTTTCTCTGAACCACGTAAAAGATGAGGGGCGTTGTCAGCCGTTTCGGTTATGATGTTCATGGGCAGACTATCAACTTTTTCAGGAATTGTGATATTTTTCTGTTCCAAGTCTTTGACTGTGCGATTCTCGTCTACATTGGCATTGATATTGACATTAGTGGGCTCAAGAACCTTGTCCCCAGTGAAGAAGCAGCCGACCAGGTTGTTGAAAACTGTCGTGACCCCATGAATTACTGGAGTAATTACTCCAGTTACCTGAGTGTCTTGTGGGGCGGATGTATCGGTTACATTTATTGGAAAATTCGATGCGTTGTCCTTGTCGTTTGCGGTCACTGTCTCAGTTTCGTTGAGAGCTTCTCCATCCTCGTTAATTTCACGAATGACTAGTAGTGTACATAATGGAAACATATTTATATATTGGTCTTCATAGATATACGACGATGTATATAATAACCAATCTATATGAGAAATTAGTCAACAACTTACTTAGAGATTTGGGTCGTCCCAACTCCATTTCCGTGAAATCATCATCATCATCAGACAAAGATGTTTCAGACTCTGATCCAGTGGCATCGAGTTCATTGGGTTTGTTCGTTTGATTAAAGTAAATCACAGACACGCTGTTCTTCAAATCTGCACACTGGGATATTTTCTTTTCTGGCTCTTTATTTGTGACATCATATTTTCCATCGTCCCACGAAACAGGATTATCGCAGTTCAATCCTTGGCCCTTGTCCAATCTCAATCCCGTACTTTCTTCGTGAACAACCTGCGGTTCGCTATCCTCTTGCCAATGAAAGTCATAATGCTTTCCACAATTTTGCTCAGAGGTGTCTATTTTATGTTGCGCCTCATCAAATTGTTCTACCGAGGAGTTGGTTGTGGAAGTGGTGGCAGTCAGAAGTTCGTCCTTGTGTGGCCGAGAAGACTGAGTCCTATGGATATTGGCGAGTTTGGAATTTGGTTCATGTTCTACTGACCCTCCTTCTTTCTCGGCGGCTGTGTGCAAGGAGTCGGAGGAGGAAGGAAGGAATGGGAGGTCTCCAGGAGGGATTTTGTCAACGGATGAAGGAGTCACTTTATTATCTGGGCAGGAGAAACACCGACAACAACAGGAAGGGTAAAAAAGGTTATTCGGTTGGTCAGGAGGAATCGAGTTTGTGATCTGAGATTCAATCTCAACACGAAAACAACAGGTTTGCAAGGTTTGTAGAAGGTTCATTTTTGGAACACAGAGGTGATCACCACAATCACAATCACAGAAGGCTGCATCACATTTTAACAAGAAGCAGACCAGATATTCGCACCACACCACAACTAACTAATTAACTACATTATCTGTTCACCATATGTACAAAAACGTGTTATCAAACTGGGACTTATTTACCTGTTTGTCTAGAGTAGAGAGGGGGCGATTCCGGACCAAGACCGTGACCCATGTGCATGATGGGTGGCGTTGAACGATTAAGAGGTTCTCCCAGTAACGCGTCCGTTATACTTGTAGTGTGCAAAATTCCTGACGATGGAAGTGGCTGTTTTGGGAAGTCCATGAAAGAAAGAAAAGGAAATCACATACTGATGGTGAGAAGTTCATCGATTTTGTGGGACAATGGATAAAAAAATGAACATGAGCTGTCATTCGTCCCAGTGACCATAATAAAAGCTTATAGGGCTAGCCGTACTTTGTTGAGTGCTATTACATAATATTCCATATATTTAACTTTTAATGTAAAGTCGAGCCAAAATATAATTTTTATAAATTCTCAATATTTTGTGATAATTTCTAGATTTCGGAATTAATTAATAACAAGTCATAATGCACCGACTGATTGAGAAATTATTTTTTCTTGTGTTTTTAGAAAAATAAAAGTTCAGAATGAAATGGGATGAAATATGCATGTGAATGAATGCAAAGTTTAGCAATGATATGTGTTAAACTGGGTTTGATGATCCTAGCGCATTAAGCAAATATTGAATGAAACATGTAATTGATCACCTTGATGGGTGCACCATGAGGTCCATCAGTTTTGTACATGGTGTGTTGACTACGTCGCCACGTTGGACTGTAAGAATCGGTGGCAGTGGTACTGCCAGGGGTCTGGGCCACATTCATCACTGGAAGAATAAATGGCGATCGATTCGTGGTGGTATCGATCTGTGAACTTCTGCTATTGGTGTTATTGTGATTATCGTCCATTCCTGGCAGTGTTGGCGACGATGTAAAGTCAATCCGCGTTAGTGACATGTCATAGTGTCGGTACTCTGGATTTAGAACTCGTGGACGATCTAAGGTGACTGTCGTTGGTCTTTGTGTCGTGGTTCTTCAGAGAATGTAGAATTTGAAATTTTGCAAAAAGTAAGCAATGCTAATTTTTTGAGAGTTTTTTACCTGGGATAAATTATAAAGTTATTTTGGATTTTTGGTAGCGTGACCAAGTTATTTTTCAACGCGCTACTGGTTTCTATAGCGGATGTGTGAGGTTCTTGGCTTCTTGGTGACGTTTTCTTCTTCCGTCTCTTTCTTCCGTTTATTGGCTCGTTGTCCTTGATCTCGGTACGTCTCAGCTTTTGAAGGCACTGGGGTTCATGAATTATTATACTTTTTGAACCAAATTCACGACCACAAACAGAACATTCCACGAATGTTGGTGGCCTACTCATCTCTATTTTTGAACTAGTGGTATTTTGTGAAAGCTCTGATAATGTATCTATTAAATAAGGTTAATTATACAAAATATTACTTTGTACAATTGTTAACTTAAATGTAAAACAATAAAATTAAATAATTTAGTCATTATTCAAACTGTAATTAATGATATTTATATAAAAAATGAGTATTGCTACCACCACGCGTACAAAATGATAACTTTGCGACAAAAAGGCGACGTTACAACTGAGGACAAGTCTGTTTCCCTGCAAAACCTTGGGTTTCTTGTCTCACTCTCTTTCTCGATAATAATATAATAATAATGTGTCCGTTCCATCGAGCGTCAAATGCGCTTCCCATGCTTTTGCTAAAGCAGTTATCATATATCATGACACAGGACGACGGGTAGCTGATGGAATTTGTTATTGAGGTGAAAGCAGCAGTGGGAAAGAGTGAAAGCAATTTCTGCTCAACATTACTTTGGATTGAAATTCCTTTACTGCATATGACTACACTATCAGCCCTACAATGTATTTTGAGTAAATTGATGGTTCATTGGCTATTCGTATTTTGCGAGCCAACGAGCGAATGACGAGGAAATAAGCGCATATGCAAGTACATAATGTGTGTATATGTACATATGTATGTATGCAAAGGAAGAACTGTTATACGATCCAACTGCCCAAATACTGGATCGACTCATCCAAGATATACATATCGCCAACATTGAAATGCCTTCGTATTATTTGCTGAATTAGACAGTAGGAAACTTTTCCAGTGAAGTTTGAAAGTTTGATCGACAACCATGAGTATTGACCGTGAGCCACGCCACGAACCACTCTTGGAATGTAGAACTCGGCAAAAATAAGACACGACTTTCTCCAGGTATCAGTCAGTCAAGGACTCGTGCTCTTGTATTTCACAAAAAAAGGAATTCTCCCTAATTCCTCCATGTGAGAGAGGAAAAACTACGTTGAAATTCAACATTGTGAATGTGTCAAATGCATTTAAATATTAAAAGGGAGTACAGTGTCGGACAGATGTCTACGTCCACATAGTCGCGTCAATTTCATTTTCAAATTGTCACTGAACTACTGAACCAATTTTCATCATTGATATATCAAATTCTCACAAATTTAACGTAATTTCATAGCACATTATTAGTTTTCCGCTAAAAAATTTATTTTAGGCCAGAGATGTATTTTAATTCAAAATGAAAACAATTGGATGGACAAAAGTCAACGTCCAGTCAGAGAAAACATACAAAAAAAACTGTAATTTATAAGGAATGTTATAACAATTAATTTTTAATATTTGGTTGGGCCTCCGTTCGCTTTAAGGACGGCTTCAAGGCGTCGAGTCATTGAGTTTACCAAATTCTTGGTCACATCTTCAGAAATGGTTTCCCAAACTTCACGAATTCTGGATTTAAGGCCCGGAATTCCTGAAAAAGATTGTTTTCTTATTTCTCTTTCAATGTGGTCGCACAGATGCTCAATGGGATTCAAGTCTGGAGATTGGGGAGGCCATTCTAGCTTCGGAATTTTTTTTTCTTGAAGTATTCCATGGTGGACTTGGCAGAGTGTTTCGGATCGTTGTCTTGTTGGAAGGCAAATCGTCGTCCAAGTCCAAGTTTTCGAACAGATTCCTGGATATTACGGTCAAGTATTCCCTGGTACTTGTATTGGTCCATAATTCCGTCAATAAATTCCATTTTTCCTGCCCCACTTGAAGCCATGCATCCCCACACCATTACCGACCCGCCGCCGTGCTTAACTGTGGGGTTGAGATTTTTTGGATTCAAAGCTTCTTTTGGATATCTCCACACTCTACGACGCCCATCTGACCCAAAGACATTGAACTTTGACTCGTCAGTCCATAAAATATGTCCCAGAATGTTTGTGGCTTGGAAATGTGGTCTCTGGCAAACTTCACTCGTTTGGTTGCATTCCTCGGTACAATAAGAGGCTTCCGGACTGCTCTGTGGGATTTCAAATTTCCCTTATTCAGTGTTCTTTGGATGGTCATAGGACTAACCTGTTTGCCGAACATCTCCTTGATCTCGGTAGATAGCTTTGGAGCACTAAGCGAGGGTGTAACGTTGACTTTGTTGAGCACGTGGCGTACTTCTCGGTGAGCCAAAATGGGTTTTCGACCACTTCTGACCTTGTTTTGGACTGAACCATTAGCTTTAAAGTTCTTAATGATTGTCTGGATGGTTGTCCTTGCTAATTTATACTTGGTCCATATTTGTCTCTGCGACAGCCCCCTTTTTGTCCACCCTTCCAGTCCTGAATGACAAGATCTCGAATAGCGATAGGAATTTCCTTGCGTGTCGACGCCATCATATTTTTCTGGAAGAAAATTATTTAAAAATTAATGCGGCATATGTTATTGATAGATTTATTAAGTTACCTGATTTTATAAATTGGAGAGATTTTTGTTGTTGACAATTAAAGTGAAGTGGACGTAGACTTTTGTCCGCTCAAATTTCATCCTCTCTCGCTCTGCACTATGATTCTCAGTTTTCCCAGAATTTTCAGAAATAACTCATATGTTTTATGAAATTACGTTAAATTTGTGAGAATTTGATATATCAATGATGAAAATTGGTTCAGTAGTTCAGTGACAATTTGAAAATGAAATTGACGCGACTATGTGGACGTAGACATCTGTCCGACACTGTATGTACACAAGTATGTAAAAACATGGATGAAAATTCGTATCACCTCCGTTCGCAGAAAATATCTGCATTTTTATGCACATGCATATATAAAGTAAACAATAGGAAAATTATTGTAATGAGAAAACTTTATCTTGAAAAATGCAAATTGTTATTTATCGTTTTGTAAAATCAAGTAAAAATAAAAACACATGTAAAACTTATGGTAAAATAAGGGAATGATCCAATTCTGCCATGTTAAAGCAAATTCAATAAAATTCATGTGCTAAAATATATGGTGATATGCATATGTCAGATGATTATACGGGGAGGCATATCCACAAAATGATACAAAACTTGCTTTTGTGAATATTTTTTACAAAATAAGAGCAAATAAAAAACAGTACAAATTGGGTTTGCGAATGCCGGACTAGTTTATTGATTTTGTTGTATATTTTGTAAAATGAGTATTATAAAGTCATTTTACTGTACAAACTTACAAGATATTAAAACTGTATAAGATAATTGATTTTACAACCGAGTATTAACATCATTGGAATAATGACTTTTTATAACGTAATGTCAACTGTGTCACAGAATGTAATTCACATTTATACATAAGCATCGTAATAATTATAACGAGAGAAATTGTATATCGGTATTAATTTCACTGGTTTCGGGCTTGCGAAATGACTTCCAAAAACGAACGAGTAACATAACGTAATGGTTAAACTCCTCGAAATTCCTTCAATTTATGAACTTCAGACAAAGAATAATTGTCCATTGGCGATGGCGGTTGTAAAAGAATTGTGCGAAACAGAGAGTAACAGATTTTGACTGAATTTCTCATTATTTCCAGGTCCTCAGTGTGCTGGGCTTTCTTTTGTCTGTAATGCAGGAGATTACCATAACCAGAGTAAATTTACATTTAAATCAATCAATATTTTCTTATTATTTGCTAATCAGATATTCACGTTCGTTTGTGGACTTACTTGAGAAATATGGCACGATAAAACATCACGTATTCTGTTGCTATCTGAATGGCAAGCTCTGCTTTGTACGAGCTCTTGACGAAACTCAACTCATAACATTGTAAACTGCTCAGAATAATTGCATAGCTCATTTCCTTGATTATTCTGAAATGAAGTAAGAGCCGTTTAAATTATTAATAAAATGGAGAAATTCAAATTAATTCCATACCTTTCACTTTCAGCACAGGGAAATGAAATGCAACCACTGTTAAATGCGAGATCTACGAATAATTTTGGTGTTGTGGTGTTAACATGAAACCTGGAATCAGTATTTATAACATTCATAACATTCATTTTAAACTGTATTTACAGTTTACAATTTGCATAAAACAAAACGTAATATAATATGCATACATACTTTAGCTTTACTAAAATGTTTAGCTCCATCCACAAAACTTCAGACTTGGGATATTTAGTAAGGCTCTTGTATTTTTTCCAAATTGACGACAGCCGTGCGCGATTCTTTTCCTCCTTTAATGCAAATAATAATGCTAATTTAATATGAAAATTAAAAAAAAAACTAACTTATTTAAGATCTGCCTGTCTAACCATTTTCCCAGCCAAATGGAACACCGTGAGTCCTAGGAGGGACCAACACGTAGTTTTGATAGCTTGTCCATGCAGAAAGGCATCCATTAAGTGTACTGCAATGTACACGGTGTCGGTTGAGTATTTGAAATTGGAAGAGGCCCCAGAAATCCAATCAACTACTTTCCCCCTCATCACCGAGTTGATGGGATTCTAGTAAATGTACAAGAAAGTTAATTGTTAATTGCAGCTACTAACTGCAGCTATTATTTATTATTTCTAATTATTAGCCAGAGTCGCAATGCTGTTATATAACTCAGTAACCTTATTTTTAGTTGAAGGTGACAGTTGGTAGCGCTCTTCCTTCTTTAGTTCATTGTGAAGTAGGGAGGAATAATAAATCGATTCGCTATTGTTGGCAATATTAATATTTTGAGTCTCTCTCAGACATATTTGTTGCATGAAATAGCGGTGAACATTGTTCAAAATTCGGGATGTTTCATGAATCTTGCTTTCGATATTGATAAAGGTTGGAGATGTGCATCTCATCATTCGACCGGACTCTGGCAAAGGTTTCATCCAGTTTATGTGAGCCTTAAACTTTTGGGACTTGCAGCTTGGGAAGTTTGCCGTGGTGTCGTACGCAACCATCAAAGTTGAAAACCCAATCGTTTCTATCCTTGGCGAGAGATCGTCACAGGAGGTGTAGGCTGAGGAGGAGGATGAGGAAATGGGTGGAGATGAACCCATTTGTGAACTGGTCTCGAGACTATTCATGGATCCAAGGTGTTGGTCCTACAATTATTAAATTAATGAAAACTTTGATACATTTCAAACTAATATGCGACTTTATCTAAATAATTGGAGTTGTAAATACTGATGTATTCAGGACATTTATGCATTTATCACATCCCCTATTTGCCAGGTATCTAACTTTATTCCTTGGGCATTGTACAACTCTAGACTTAATGCAATGAGAACAACTTGATTGTGATAATTAAGGAATTATTGCTAGTCTTACTTGCGGGGTGTGGCGCTTTCGCCAAGTGGCGACAGGAATGCGACTAACACTCATTTCCAATTTATTATAGTGGTAAGTAAAACGTTGAAAAAAATAACAAGCAATAATTCGAACAAAGGAAAGGAAAAACGACGAATCGCATTCGGTGCGCTTAGCATGGATGCTTCTGCTGGACTGAAAATTTTAAGAAATTGAACACCGCCTGGACTATGAAAGTTTAGTCATTTACATGACATGAGTTCATACTGTGGCCTTGGATAATGTGTCCTGTCCGATATGCAGGTAATGTCTTGAACGGTGGGGATTTTAAAATTTGCATTAAATTGCAACCTGTATCTTGAATCCATTATTCAAATTAAAAATTTGCTTCTACACCAATGTGGCATGTGCAGAACTCGAGTTTACACACGCTTTATTGGGATGTGCATATTTTAAGCTTAACATGATAATGACCAAAAGGTAACAGGCAGCATGATCAGAGTGGTTGAGTGAGAGGAAGAATTAGGCAATGAATAGTCGACTCAGTCGTCGTCCTAAGTCCGGATAAGGATTGGATGAGATGAGAAAAGAGTTAAATACTTGTGTTTCGTTGGTTGAAAGGGCGTAGGCGTACATGAGATATGTCATGATTCACATGCATCAACAAAACCACCCCTGAGTCAAGAAGGCAAGTGGTCTATGAAAACTTCTACATTCTCGCCTTTTTGGCCAGTGCTTGGCTTGCTTTGCCCCACAAACAACGTCTCATCTCGATAACGACGACGAGAGTCAGGTTAGGCCAGCCTGTGATTCTAGGGTTAACAAAACCCTTAACTTTTCCTACCTGGTTCTCAGGGTTCATATTTGATTGACTAATTTTTGTGGAATTTGTTTAAAAAAGTTTGACCCGAGTGGCACAATTTCTCACTTTGCTTCCAGGTGCATGGATGACACGAAACTCTCGCAATCTGTTTCAGTTTTAGAATAGTTGTTTAACAAAGTACTGCATGAGGTCAACGAACATGTCAGTGCTACCTCTTCTTAAGCTAATTTTGGTGTTCATTCTCATCTGCTCGGTGGTGGGGTTTTCTCATGATCCAGGTATGTCGTTTACTTGCATAAGTTAAAAATGTTTGCGTAAAGGAAGGAACTAGATTTAGAAGGCACGTGTGGCCGATGTAACTTAATTACGGTTTGCCCAAATAGGAAGAGTGAAAGTAGATGTGATATGATCATTAGCTTTGCTAGATTGTTCCTTCACATTGTTCATTGATGGAAAGCTATGATAGCTTTCCATCAATGGAGTCCCTGCACGAGTCTCACAATAAACACAACGCATTATTTTCATGACTATCAAACAATGAGCGATTACCATTATAAAACTACAGCTAGGAAAATGGTCAAGAAAGGTGAATCTCAATTGACAATTGACAATGATGTCTCTTTTCCACAGATTTATCAAAGTCCATCCAACGTGCAATCGAGGATGATCGGTTTGTGATAGTTTTCGAAAACTTGTCACCACGGAGGAGGAGTCGAGGTGCAAATGTCGACATATTGCTCACGGTCGACTTTCCGCACTCCAAGCAACAAGTTGGATTTGCACTTGACCGTAAAAATCATCAAGGTGAGTTCCTTATTGCCTCACACAGAGTCTTCTCAAAGCTTAATAAATCTATAGATTAATCCGAAACGACCTAAGCATCCTACACATGCGCACGTTTTCAAAAATGGGATAATCATATTATTGAATATTCTGAGGATGCTTCATTTCAAGCTTCATTTCGCTAAGCGTTCTAGCATGATTTAATGGAACACCTAAATAAACTCTTCTGGTCATATGGACACGTCCCCCCAACAAACAAATTATTAAATATGTTGTTGCAGAATGTAACAAGGAACCCAGTGTTAAGCACATTATGTTGTAACCCCAGTATGGATTTTTCGGCCCTATAATTCTTGTAATTCTGTCAGACGTCGTTAATTTAATAATGCATTTAGCAGCAGGCAGGCAGTGTGGATCGTTTTGTGTGCATTTAGAGCTTTGGATTTCGAAATCCAAATATTCAAAAGCTGCGAGTAAGAGGATAACGTGAAGCGAGAAGGAGAGCAGGGGAGATCGCAGCGGGGGTGCACGTTGACAAGAAGGGTCAGATTTATTGGAAACATTTATCACTCTCCTTAAATGGATCGTCTGGCTGGATATATATCTTGCTCCGTCCATGCCCACAGTAATTTATTTGTACTTCGTGTGCCCATTTTAACTCGAAGCTAAAAAAATATGTATTTCAATTATTCAAATCTGGTGTATTTTACTAAATTTATGGCACAGCTACATATCGCCGTAAAGGAGTTGGAAAATGTTTGGAAAATACGTTCACTAATAAAAAATGTCCTATAATTTACGTGCAAGTGAGTGAATGACTATTTGTTATCCTGCAGTGATAATCGAGACGATTGAAGATGCAGCTAAGAAAACGCTCAACATCCCAACCACCTACTTGACGGAAACGAGTTCACACTCGAGCCTCGTCGTGGAAGTTACGCAGTCATGGACGGGCACGGCCAAGTTGTCACTTTTCCTAGATTGTTCACCTCTTGGACTTGTCACATTATCCAAAACAATGAGAGACATGATGGTCAAAGTTAAACCTGCCTTAGTCCGTGCGGTGAGTTTACAGTCATAAAATGTCGTTCAAAATTAAGGGTGTATCACAATATGTATGTAGAATCGATGTAGAATATGTAAATACATATCTAAATCAAGTACTCACCAGTGCATATATACATTCATGTATCTGTGTATGTACTTATGTACACACATACACTGGAGTTTTTGTGGAATGATGAAGTTCCTCTCTCGGTGTCTCATTTTTTCCAACTAATCTGAGATACTGGGGTTGCCCCATAAATATTATTATAATCTGTGTAAAAAGACCCATTTTTCCATAAACAACACATAGAAAATTGGATCTTCTTTTAATGCACCGACCATAAGATACTGTAATTTTAACGTTTATCGTGTGATTATATCTCAATCTCATTTTGCTAGAGCCGAGATCGTCGGATTAAGGTGTCAATCAAGCCTTCGCTGGACGCCAGGGAGGCGCTGGATGACCTTCAATGTCCATCTAGGGCAGAACAAGCCATCCAGCCATCCACAAATGAGGTCATCACATACAGAAGAGGTAACTCCTCAAACTGAATCCTGACTAACTTCATCTAATAACACCGAAATTAAACAAGAAAAGAATAAGTCGAGAGGGGCAATGTAGGTAGGCAGAAAAATATTCATATGCAAAAGGAATAAATGACTTCAATATACATTGCACATTTATATTTACGTTGATATACATAACATGAATTGAATGCCTTTGTATTTATTAAGTCTGCATTTAAACCATTAATTTACTACTAATCATATGTTCCAGTGTTGTTGATCACGTAATGCATTTCACACTGTATGCGTCCAGTTAACATCCTTTCACCAATTATGTTTACGGCGTGGTGGAGCCCAATTTGGTAATTTAAAATCAAATTATCCATTCAGCATAATAAACCACCCCCGACTAACATGTCTTCTATATTAGGTGAATCGTGGTTTGCCTAAAGTGATGATAATGCAAGTGTATTAGTGTTTGATAAATTGTTCATTAAAAAGACAAGGATCTAGGCCATGTTTTATAAGACCAGTTTTAATGAAAATCAAATTGCTGAATCATTTATACCTTCAATTTGCATAATCTAACTCATTCTCACCCTGCTTCTTGGCACTTTTAAGTCACAAGAAGAACAAAGAGTGTCGATACCGATGTACATACATATATAAATATGTATGAGCAATGCGGCTCAATGCGTATATGACAGTTTACATTTATTGTACGCATCAATTACTAAACAGTTTATGATTGAATATAATGTGATTACCAACAAATATGTCATGTGCATATTCATGATTATATACTACTTGCATGCACGTACTTTTAATCTATAATTAATTAGCAAAGTACAAGAGGGAACGTGTCATCCCGCATCATGAAGAGGAGTGCAACTTAAAGTATAATGTTATGCAGCAGCAAGTTCACTTAAGTAATTACTGTTAATGAAGGCTAATCTGTCTCTTTGATTGATTTTAAAGTTGGGCTAGTTGGACAGGGGTGTGTTCCTTCCATGCTCCCCTGTCCGCTAATTCACCATAGGCCTATTAACCAAAGAGGTGAGATGAGATCACTCAAGCCCGTAACTTCTTTTCCTGTGCTTTCCAATTCGTTTCTCTTGCCCACTTTATCGTGTCATCAAGGGCTTAATTTATTATGATTTTGCCGTAATGCCTAATTTCATGCCAACTAAAATAAATATCATACACTAAAACCTCCCTGCATTTCCTCTCATTTCTTAACGTACACCATTATTATTAGCTGAAATATGCATACAATTTAACATGTTGTCTCCTAATGGGGATATAATACTGGTATTATTTGCAAAAACGAAGAACCTAGAGGTTAGGAATTAACTCGTAAGTTGTAGTATGTACATATGCATATCTATAAAAATGCGTAGGTCTGTAGACTAGACGCTCGTAACCATACATTTCTAGTTTAGCCGTACAAACTACATTTGACTTGTGTTTTCAATCCTAAGGTGATATCCCAATCTTGTCGCCGGATTTTGATGACCGAGGTAAAGTCACAACCTACTGACCTACTCATAGTATACAAGTATACGCGATATAGTAACAGTTGATCTTATCCTCTTTTTCACGTTTAGACTCGTTGTTGATAAAGACACTGCAAGAACTAATTCAGACCATAAAAAACCTTCAGATCGAAGTTGTGGGACAGGTATGAAATGTTGCCTTTTCTCACAATGGTCCACGCACTAGATGATGATTTGCATTGATTGCTGAGCAGCGTGACGACACTCGAAAACTGAGGGAGGCACTTGAAAACTGCGAGGCTTGCAAACCAGGCCCACCCCCAGAACCTGTTCGGACGGGTTGCAGAGCCCAACCCCCACCGTGCTTCCAAGGCGTCCCGTGCACGGATGGCCCGGATGGTCGTGTTCAATGCGGTGCCTGTCCACGCGGTTACATTGGAGATGGACGGAACTGTAAACCGGGAATCACGTGTAGGGAAAGACCCTGTTTCCAAGGGGTGCAGTGCTACGACACGGTCGACGGGTTCCAGTGCGGCCCTTGTCCATCAGGCTACCACGGGGACGGACAGCGGTGCGAACGCCGACGAGGATGTGACAGTAGCCCCTGCTACTCAGGTTACTCTTCAGACTCATCTTATTGACCTCCCCAAATTTGCATATTACATGATTCCACCACCACCCTGGAAATTACCCACTCATTACATTACATATTATTACTACTCTGCTGTTACTTATTTTCAGTCCAAAATTGAGAAACACTTTTCCTCCTCCCAACATATATGCCTCATGTATATGTTAACAAATATATTAAATATATCCAATTGACAAATTAACAGTCTGCACATTTCTCAAGTGTAATAATAGTCATTGGTCAAAACTGTTCACATTTGGCTTGAATTGCAACTTATTTTATGTTTAGTACTACTTTCTACTGGTTGGTTCAGAACTAAGGTACATTTAATATGTAGGGAGAGAAATAACAAACTATGAAGCGTGGAATGCGTGTTAGTACAAAAGAACAAACTTAATTTTACAATATTAATATTTCGAAAAAATAAACTTTTTATGAATGTTGCAAGTACATAAATACTGGCTGAGTTTTGAATGCTTCTCATGCATGTCATTGTAAGAAATCGCTGATATTTGTTTAATTGGTATGAAATCTCGATCTTCCAAATATGGAAAGTAGTGTCATAAAGAGGTCAAAGCTTTTCTATCAAAGTTAAAATGTCAAAGTTGTGTGGAAACCACTTTTTGGAACTTTGGTTTCGTGTTTAGGGGTTCAATGTCATGACACTGATGAGCCGCCGTCCTATTACCGATGTGGTGCTTGCGTTACTGGTCTCACTGGTAAGACTATAATTCAACGTCCATATTATACTCCACTTTTACGTACAAAGTAAACCCTCGCCTGTGGTTCCTCATCTTATTGAATATGATGCATATTTTTCAGGCAATGGCACCCACTGCTACGATTTGGACGAGGTTTGTTTAAAATAATTGACGAGGTTTATGCATTAATAATCTTTGAATGGTCATCGTTTGCTTCAATTTTAACAATTATGTGTGCATAATGTCAATTCTCACTCTCAGAATAGCAAACTTTGTTCATGCTTTACAATTCTTTTGCACTCTTAGTGCGATTTGGCGGAACCTTGCGATGTTCGGGTCCGCTGTATTAACATGGCCCCAGGATTTAGGTGTGATCCGTGTCCAGCAGGATTCACCGGAAGCACTGGCCTCCAAGGGCAGGGGCTCGAATTTGCGAGAAGGAATCGTCAAAGATGTCAAGATGTATGTTATTCATTTATTTATTTAAAGTAAAATGCTTTGATTTTGGCCTAAATCTGTAACCAGATTGATGAATGCGAGCGTGGAAATGGAGGATGTGCAGAAAATTCGAGATGTATCAACACTGATGGATCTTTCTACTGCGGGGAATGTATTCATGGTTTCTTTGGGAATCAAACATTCGGATGTCACAATCGAATAGCTGGAATGTGTCCTGATGGTTCATTCTGTGACGATAATTCCGACTGTGTCAGACTTCCAGGTCTTAACTACTACGTTTGCAGGGTAATTATTGAGTTAAAGACGTAAAAACATAGTTTATAATAATTGTTACACAAAATGGGTTTTCTAATAGTGTAAAATCGGATGGGCTGGTGATGGGAAATCCTGTGGGCCTGACAGAGATTTGGACGGATGGTAAAAACGATTGAATCCTATCCTTCCTCCAAATTCGTTTCAATTTCAGCTATGTACGAATATTACTTGTGTTAAGTTTCACTTTTTGTGGAATCCATCAGGCCCGACTATGATTTGGGATGCAGTGACAAAAAATGTAGAAAGGATAACTGTGTGGACACGCCCAATTCTGGACAAGAAGATGCGGACAATGATAATATTGGAGATGCATGGTGAGAGGTCCAAGCTTCAAAGTTATAGTTTGTGGGCATATGTAACAAGTATATTCTAGGTATCTACGAATCGTACTAAAGAAGTTTGATTTTTCAGTGACCCTGACGCAGATAATGATGGAATTCCAAACAGGTGAAGTTATAATGAGCAGAGTTGCGTTATTTAAATAAATTTATGTCGAATTTCAATTTTTACAGTCCTGACAACTGTCCTTTGGTCCATAACCCTGGTCAAGAGGATACTGATCCTGAAGGTGGAGATAAGCAAGGTAAGAAATAAAATATCAGAGTACTTACCAGATCGGTTAGTTGATTAAGGGTAAAAAATAGTCCATAGAAGTTAGACTAGCTTTACAACGAAATCCATTAAAAACACTGCAAACTGTTACTATTTAATTAGTATGTTGCTGCTTTTCATCCACCAGCTTGTGATTCAGAAGTTCATGAAAAACTACGTTGTTTAAAAACTAAAAATTCCTACGTTTAGGGGGAATAATAATCATCACTACTCACTCAGAATCAGAAAATACAAGTTTTATTTATAATTGTGTTTGTATGAGTAAGATCGGATTAGAATTGGTATAAAAGGACGGAATAAAGATAGGTGGCTAATATCTCCATCAGCTACTCAAAATGAAGATAATGAATGAAATTCCGATGCATCATACATACGTAGCTATGTGCATACAAATGTACATATTTAGGTAAATTTATTTATCTAAATAAATACTCCATACAGACTAATATGCATACCTGGGGCTAGAACTGCATCTATCGATCGATTCAAAAATGTGTGTCCATTTTCATATCGATTGGCATTAATTAATCTGAATGGTTTTCCAGGGGATGCTTGTGATAACTGTCCGACTGTGCCAAACCTTGATCAAGAAGATACTGACCGAGATGGAATTGGCGATCTCTGTGATCCTGATATTGACAATGACGGTACGGTGAGACGAACGTAATTCGTCGTTAGCATATTAGACTACTGTTCAAACAAATAATCACGTTTTGATATGAATTAAAATAGGGGTGCCCAATGAGCGAGATAACTGTCCTAAAACGCCCAACTCGAACCAACGTGATCAGGATCGGGATGGTCTTGGTGACGAGTGTGATAATTGTCCCAGAGTTCCAAATCCAGACCAAACTGATTCGGATAGGGACTTGGTTGGTGATGCTTGTGACTCAAATATTGATCGTGATAAAGATGGCATTCAGGACAACGTGGTAATTATTCATTTAAAACACCAATCATTTCTCCCAATTGAGTCAGTTTTACACACCTGATGTATTTATAGTTTGACTTTTTGTCCAGTCTTTTTGGACCAACAGTGTCATATTAGTAGTCAGACGTGATGGGCACAAATAGCTAAAAATTAATACGAAAAACATAATTGCAACATCGAATGTGTCAATTTATAGTTGCCAAAAACCTTTGTTTATGTATTTGTTCTTGTAGGATAACTGCCCTCACATTCCTAATGGTGAACAGAGGGATGCAGATAATGATGGCATCGGTAATAATTACTAGTCTACTCAAGGCGCCGTAAAATGAAAATGTTTTTGAAACGCTATTTCCTAATGCAAATATAATATGAAAAAAAGGTGACGACTGCGACCCTGACGCGGATAATGATGGGATCCCCAACGAGCGTGATAATTGCATGATTGTCTACAATCCAGACCAAACAGACAGTGACCGTATGCATTTAATTAGTGTTTTTATTGTAATTATGTTTCGGAGGGTGTAGCAAGTGCTTAAATATTTGGGTTACATGTTTGCATAGGTGACGGGCGAGGCGATGCATGCGAAGATGATTTTGACTTGGACAAAATTCCCGATTTCTTAGATAACTGTCCAAACAACTCTAAGGTAACTTCTATTAAATTTTCTAATAAAAGTTAATTAAGTAAATAAAATTTATTAATAAGAAGTTAATTTTATTCTTTTATTTTCCCAACTAAGATATTTACCACCGATTTCCGGTATTACATATACATATATTTATATGATTATATCATGCAATTCTCATAGCATGGAGATGAATTGGTACGTTGAAGGACATAATAAAAGTTAATTCACTTTATTTGCTTTTGTCTAGAACATATCAAACTGTGGTGTTGGACCCAGAAGGTAATTCATTATTCAATCAAAATTGGATAAATTGTCTAGTTTCTTTCAAACCTTTCTCAATTGGTGCATGTATTCAAAATTAGTCTTTCCTCATCAGAATAAGTAGATATTAATCTTTAATTGTTAGTCATGTCCACTTTGCTCTTCTTACCGTAGTCTTCAGTTCAGTTCAGTTTTACACGACACTGTCAACGTTGGGTAACGGTAGACACAAAAATTTGACCACATTTTTCTCAATATTACAGGAGAGTCCCAAATTGATCCAAACTGGGTCATTTACAACAAGGGAGCTGAAATTGTTCAGACTATGAACTCGGATCCTGGATTAGCTGTCGGTACGAACGACTATCACGGGCAGTGTTTGAGTAAGGCTGCTCTACGTTATATAATTTACTTGATTCTTGGCTTATTTTTCAGGGTTCCACAGTTTCGGCGGCGTCGATTTCGAAGGAACATTTTTCGTTGACACCGAATTGGACGATGACTACGTTGGATTCATTTTCAGGTATGCAAATTGAAAGTATCCGCAGAGCTCTTTCTTAACATGGACTGTTCTCCAAAAAATAGCTATCAAGATAACTCTCAGTTTTATACTGTAATGTGGAAGAAGAACACTCAAACTTATTGGCAAGCGACGCCATTCCGAGCTGGTAATATTACTATTTGACTTATATCAATGTAATCCTTAACGTATATGTTTCATAATGGTTCCGAGCAGTTGCGGAACCTGGTATTCAACTCAAGTTGGTACAGTCCAACACCGGACCAGGTAAATATATGCATTTACACTTTCAATTTATGAAACAATAGCTCGAAGACCTTCACTATTTTTTATGTGCATAACGTTTTTAGGTGAAATGTTGCGTAACTCTTTGTGGCATACGGGCGACACTGAAAGTCAAGTGAAATTGTTATGGAAGGACCCAAGAAATGTTGGATGTGAGTTTGACAATATTTTGCAAAATAACTTTTTGAGCAAAAAATCAAACTAATTTTATATTTTATCTGTCTCTCAGGGCGAGAGAAGGTGGCATATCGTTGGCTTCTTCTCCATCGGCCTAAAATTGGGCTCATCCGACTCCGAATCTTTGAAGGAGAAAATATGGTTGCCGAGTAAGTAAAATAATCATGAGTGTATGTAATTGATGTAAACTACATATACATACATGGCTTAAATGCCATGCCATGCCATAAATACGTACTTCTTAATCCAGTAACTCATTATCTTTATTCACATCCAGTTCAGGGAACATTTTCGACTCGACGCTCAAGGGTGGGAGACTTGGTGTATTTTGCTTCTCGCAGGAAATGATCATTTGGTCGGATCTCGTGTATCGTTGCAACGGTGAGTTGGGCTTCGCTGCAATTATTCCTGGAAGAGCACGTATAACAATGAACCTTAATTTCAACGCTTCTAATTGTAGACCACGTCCCAGAAGCCATTTATCGAGAACTTCCTCCAAGATTGCAGTCTGAGGTTGAAATCGATAGAAGCAAACCACCACCACCCTCCACATAAGATTGGTTATTGAACACCACCAATTGTTGGTTGGATTCTAAAAAATGTTAACTGTGTAACATTTTTTTTAAAAAATATTTGTTAATCTTATTTGTTTGTCAATTTCTAAGTTCCATGCTAAAATATTCATTCACTGCCTGCTCATCATCATCCTGTGTGGTATAGCTTCCGTTTTATTGGACTATAAAAATATATGTAACCATTCAAAAGGTTCATCATAGGATCACGATGGCGAGCGTCACACTATAACTAAAATACTAGCAAAAACACTCATGAATCTAGATTTTAAAACAATAATAATAAGCCGAACGGCAGAACAGCATTGTTGAATTGAAAGTCGTTTTTACATTTATTTCGTTAAAAGGGACGCCAGAAGTAGTTTTGATAAGATTAATGACAAAAGTTTAATTTCTCGACCCATTATATACTAATAAATTCCTGCAATATATCTGAGATTTTGTTTGAATCGTTATACAACTTTAAAATAACACAAGTTCATTATTAAAAGTATAAATGATTCCCTAAATTATTTGTATTTAAGCGTTTCATTATTAATTATTGGGTTCATATGTTTATTCTTGTACACTAACCAGTTTTATTTAGCCTATGGATTAGAACAAAATTTGCAGCAGAATTGTGGGTTTCTACTAGTGCTACTTCTGGCTCCCATTATTATTTTCCTGGTCGATAGGACGACGGAAGAGGAGAATGTGTGGTTCTAAAAGGTAATGACCAAATTCTCAAATATTTTCAAATATTTTATACTATATACCAAATAACTTAGCTTACCAGGATCATGAGTCATATAGTGAACCCACCCTTGGCTTTGCTGGACCCCCAAAGTCCTCCATTCTGTTTCAGACATTAGCTTGTGCTTTGGAACAGCTTTCGCAATTTCTTTAGGCAGGACCACATGCCTTTAATAATTTATTAAGAAAACATGGAATATGCACCAGTTTACTGTAATAAAAGTAAGTACTTATTTACCTGTATTCAAAAGCGTCGTCGCAGTATTTGTTGGAGTAGTAAATATCTTTGGCCGACATTATGGTAAAATTAAAGTTTGCAGTTGTGCTTCAGATCCAACCTCCAAAAACCGACTCTGAAAACAAAAAGTATTTTACATGTAAAATGCATAATTCATAGAATACATTAGAAAGATCTAGTAACGGACAAGTTATCAAAGTCCCACTTCCCACAACCTTGGTTATAATTTTTGGGTACCTCTTTGTTTACTCTATTTTATGACTCCAGATGAAAAACCGGCGATAAAGTTTCCTTTTCCGTATGCACTATCAAATTCAGAAGTAACTAGCTGATTTTTTCTTCAGCCAAATTGTGAATTGACAGATGAGAAGTAGAGAGTGATTGTTGTTGTTAGTGGTTGAAGTTGAAGACCGTAGTGTTATGCGCTACCTAAGAGCACAGAGAGTTGAGCAGGGACAAACTAAACTGCAAATAAACAAATTAATACTTAAAGGTCAGCAATACTCAACATCCAATCTTAAATAAATAAATATAAAACTACTTTAACAAATAATTATCTTGATCCATTATTTATCCACTCACCTGCTGAAAAAGTTGATCACTGAACAAAGGCACGTTTCGTTGAAGACAAGATTTTTCCTGTCTTCTTTATCCGAGGTTATTTTGTACTGCTTGCTGGTTGAAAATTGAGTGAGCGGCAAGTGAGTGAAGAAACGGGCAACATCCGGGCGGGGCGTCCATCCATCACACTCGCACAAAAACCGACCCACTCGCACCAAGACGGCTGATTAATTGGCTGCACCTCCAATTAATCGTGAGTGAGTTGACCTGTTTTCTGGAAGGCAGGGGGACGGAGGGGGCGCGGCGTGGGTGACATGAAGGCTCCACAAGGGCATTGTGTTTGAAGGGCAAAGAGCACGTTATTATGCGTTTGAAGAGGACAACACCGCCAAAGAGCTCTGATGCCGCCCCGTCCGCCAAACTCAAACCCACTTTTCGTTCTCTCACTGGCTTTCTGTGAAACACTTTTGCGACTGACAAAAATTAATTACAGAATGTTTGTTTTAAGGTATTTTGTTTTAAGTCTAGTTTAATCGTTTCAAGGTGCTAAGGCCTAGTATTTGACTGCTCTGGTCGGAAAAGGTATGTGTATTATTTATTGAATAAGAAAGTGAAAAGCGGAACCAATAATATTGGTCCAATATTATAAAATAATAAAGAATCGGTTATTAATTAATCATTAATTATATTTGTGTTGATTTTAGGGACAAAGATACAACTACACAGGGAGAGTGAAGGGTGCGTTTCGTTAGAATCTAACGGTTAGATAGATTCATTGAACGCATATGTTTTAGTTGATCAATTGGAACCTTTAATTTGACTTTTTCTATTTATAATTTATATAGAGTCACTTTCTCGTCATCTATTTTCCAATTTAACGCATAGTTTGACTGAGATAAGAATATGGGAAGACATCGATCCAGATCCAGATCGCGTACCCCGGTGGAAAGTCGACTTCTCAAGCTGGCTAACATGGATAGTCTTGCTGAAAAGATGCGACTAGAAAAAGCAAAAAAGAAAGATGAGAGAGAATGGGATAAGGACAAAAAGATGGTTTCAAGTACAAGACCAAGGTCAAGATCGACAAGTAGAGGAAGGAATAAGATGAAACAAGTACGTCCAGAGCGAGGAAATGGTAGTAGGAGACGGTCGAGATCAAGAAGCCGATCAAAAACCCCTCCTCGTAAAGGGAAGGACCAAGAGGGTAGAGCAGAGAGTAGAAGTAAAAGTTCTGATAAGCGACATAAGGATAAGAAGAACAAGGACAAAGGAAAGGATAAGGCTTCGTCCAATAATGGGAAACAACACAAAGAGAAAAAGTCTAAGAAATCTAAAAAGAAGAAGAGTAAAAGCAGGAAGAGACATTCGTCGTCAGAGTCAGATTCAGACTCGTCAGTTTCTTCTGCAGATTCATTGGTGTTACTTCAGGTAATATTCATAATAAAATTATCCACATACTACTATATAGTAATTATTGACTAACTCAATATTAGTTTGTAAGTCTAAAATAATTAATTATCCAACTTTTTACAAATGTTTGTAGAGATTGGAGGAAGAGCGCAAAAAGCAAAAGGCTGAAGAGAAGCGACGTAAAGAAGAAATGAAGGCACGCGAAACTCCAGAAGAGAAAAGGCAACGTCGTTTGGCTAAGAAGGAAGAAAAAGAACGAAAACGAAAAGAACGAATGGGTTGGGATCCGGAACATCTACATTATACAAATAGTGACAACCCATTTGGTGATCATGATCTCATGGGAACGTTTGTCTGGAAGAAAAAATTAGAAAAAGATGGAATGAAAGACATGAGTAAAGCAGATATCGAAAGGAGAAACCGATTATTAGCTGATGAAAATAAGCGAGAGTTGGAAAAGGTACGTAAAGTTAATGTTGTGTGTGTTTAATTATGCATATATCGAGTTACATATTAATATTTCTGATTTGTTGCTCATCAGGTGAAACAGCGGAGACTGGAGAAAGAGCGTGAGACACAGGCAAGAGAGGAGGAGCAACAGTTGTTACAAAGACAGAAAGAAGCAGAACAGTTTCAAGAATGGGGGAAGCAAGAAGATGTATTTCACCTGGAACAAGCTAGACTCCGTTCTAAGATCAGGATAACTGATGGGAGAGGTAATATTACTTACACTCAATTACAATTCAATCGATGAAGTGTATGCGAATTTTCGTTTTGATGCAATATTTATTTTATTTTTGTAGCAAAACCAATTGACCTTCTGGCTCAGTACGTCAGTGCTGAAGATGAAGTGGATGCCATTGAAATGCATGAACCATATACATATTTAAACGGTTTAACAATAGGAGATCTGGAGGATCTTTTGGAGGATATTGTGGTATGTTTTGTGGAAGTTAATTTATTTAATTTTTAAAATTGCTGTTGATAGCTAATATAGAAACTTTTTTGCATATCCGTACTTTTGCTGTATAGGTTTATAAAGAGCTTGAGAGAGGGAAGAATCTAAGTTATTGGAACGATATTACTGTGATTGTTGAGGACGAATTAAGAAAATTACGCAAGCTGGAACAAGATGATGACTATCGAATGGCTGTGGAAAGACGTGAAGGAATAAACTCTGCGGTTGCCTCAGACGTTGGTGAATTACTCAAAGGAAAAACTGCTGAAAAACTTGAAGAACTCAAAATAAGTATTCAGTCAAAACTAGACGGCTCAGTGCATGGATTGGATATTAGTTACTGGGAATCTTTGCTATCTCAACTAAAGGCGTACATTGCGAGAGCCCGACTTCGAGATCGACATCAAGACAACTTGAAAGCAAAGTTGCAAATGTTGAAAGCACAACAAGGAGTCAAGGTTGAAGCCGAGTCTGATGAAAGTGCCCACGGAGATTCCCAAATACCTTCGCAGTCTATGGACATTGATGAAACCAAACAAGAGCCCACCAGCAGTGCAACTTTGAAAGATCAAAAAGGAGAGGAATTGCCAGATGATGATGAGGAAGATGATGACGAAGAACAGACTGATATTGTTGAAGAAAGTATTCGCCGCTATGATGTTGGGGGCTACTCCCCAAAAATTATTAGTCTTGATGAAATCGAACCAGGGATTTTTGTCATTGGTGAGGATGAAGACAACGCTCGGCTGGAGCAAGCAAGATCTCAGGTGCTTAAGGTTGGCAAGAAGGTAGAGAATGTGTGGACAGCAGAAGAAAAAGCTTTAGAAAAGGAAGCCAAGAAGGGGATGACGGATGACGAGGCTGGATTTTCTGTGGAATCTCAAGTGAGCGATTTATATTTGTGGTCAGACAAATATCGGCCAAGAAAACCTAGATATTTCAACCGGTAAGATTAATATGTGCATCATTTGTGTATGTATGTCAGTTTGTAAAATAATAATAATACTAATTTTGTTAATTACTATATGTTGCAATAACTTTACAGAGTTCACACTGGTTTCGAATGGAACAAATACAATCAGACGCATTATGACATGGATAACCCGCCTCCAAAGATTGTTCAGGGATACAAGTTCAACATTTTTTATCCCGACCTGATTGACAAAACTTCTACTCCCCGTTATACTGTGGTGAGCAGAAGTTATATTAATCTCTAATCTCTTTGTAAATAAAATTAAATTTGAGTAATGTTAATTTGTACTAATTCGTGTTTTCCGTATGTTACAGACCGCTTGTGCTGACAACCCTGATTTTGCTATTTTACGATTTATCGCTGGACCACCGTATGAAGACATTGCATTCAAGGTGGTCAACAGGGAATGGGAGTATTCGTATAAACGTGGATTCCGCTGTCAATTTCAAAATAATATATTTCAGTGCTGGTATCATTTCAAACGGTATCGGTACAGGCGTTAAATTAATTGCTAAATATATGGGTTGTGCAAACAAACCTAGCTACCTAACTAAATTAATTATTTTTGACAAGAAATTAAAGATAAGTCACGGAACTGTATTAGTTCATGGTAGTTTAATCAACTAATTAAATATTTTTAATTTTACAAATAAATACTTGTCCAACCTTAAGGCGTATACATTATATTAAAAATTAATTAAAACTTTTGTACGTTTATCTTCTTGATTTGTTAAAACTCATTATTCATGTTGCAAAACTCTTTCGTGTTACACATGCGTAGGTACACCATCACAACAAAATATGTTATAGGATCACATAATATGCAATGAGTAATTAGGCGTTTAGATCCAAGACTGTATAAATTTTGCAACCATTTTGTTTAGCTTCACGGGTTCTTCGATCTGAACTAAATGTCCGGCAGAGTCGATCACTTCCAAGAATGATTTAGGAATGGTTCTCTCCATTTCACAAATTTCGACTAAATTCACTATCTGCAAATTATATTACAAGTTAAACTCTTGTTCAATCAAATTTTTTATAAGAAATTCATACTTTATCCTTCATTCCAAATACTAAAAGTGTTGGTACTGATATCCTTCTGTAAAAGGCAGAATCACCGTCGCTCCACATTTGACCATTGATTACGTGTTTATGAATCTGAGTAGGTAGGACGTGGCGAAGATCGGGATTGTCAAAACGTCCCGAGTTGGTATTTCTATTCACCAATTAAAATAGTGTCAACCACATAAATATAATTATTCCGTCGTACGGTCATACATAATTAACAAAATGTCGGTCTCACGTACTTGTGGAATAATTTGCAGTAGAATGGTACAAGTGATCCTCGGCAGCAAGATCGATTTACCAGCGGAGTAGGTCCACCTCCAGAAATTGAAACAAGTACACTGCAAGATTTTGGACGAACTCGACTTATCACTGCCGCCAGGCTTGCTCTAAAATTTAGAAAAATATGTAGTTACATAACAAAGCAAATGTTTATATCCTTAATCTATTATATTTAAATATAAACTAAATATTCAAGTAGAATATTTACCCATAGCCGTGTCCAATGATGACTACCTTCCTCTCTGCTTCCACAAAGTAATCGAAAACACCTAGCAAGTCTTGAGCAATGGACTGAAAAAAATAATTTTATCCCATTAGACCAATGGCTTGATTCTATTTTATACTCAAGCCAACAAAATAAACGCTCCTCAATTGATAAGTGAAGCGTCGGGCCAAGGTATTCATGAGTTTATGCTTTGTTCTGTTCTGCTCTTCTGGCAGAAAGGTCAGTCCTTTAATTTAGTCTCACAATTTTATAAAGTTTCATAAGCTGTTCCCCTCTCATCGTAAGGATTTCTATTTCCTCATGGATAACTCAGAATTCAAAGACGACGAGAGTGAAGAAATGGAGCAAGCCTCATTTAAAGGTATTTTAAGTCGCTTATTGAATGACTTTGAGTCTAATTTTTAAAATTTGGCTATAAATATTTGTATATAATAATTTAGACTCTGACGCGGAAGAATTTTCACTGATTTAAAATGTTGATCACGTGTTGACGAAAGGGAATAACTCAATTAAGTATTTCCTACCTAACCATGAATTTTTTAGCACCATCTTGTCATTGTAGATATTCACAGAATAGTTTTTAAAAAAGTACATAGAATTACCTCAAAATGGTAATACTTGGCAACGTTTGGAGTCGAACTGTAGCCGTGACCCAACAGATCGGGGGCAACAATTTCGTACCCGACATTATGAAAAAAATCAATTTGTGCTGTCCATATTTCACTGGATTCCGAAATTCCGTGTATAAAAAATAGTATTGGCGGCTTCTTCACATTCAGACCTGAATTCTGAATTTCATCAGTTTGCTGTACTTCATCGGAAATCGTGGCTGCCATCGCGTCCTTGGTGCCACTCTGACTCTTTCCCATGACTATTGTGCTTGAGCTGGACGGACTGCAATGTAAATATTTTGATTTGCTTGTATAGTCCGAATGTATAACCTCGACACTTATTAGTCAACAAAGGACTTGATGTGCATAATTGTTGTACAATAAATTAAACACGAACCTTGGACTAGGACCTCCACGCTTGAGACTGAGACTTTTAACAGGAGACACGAAATCGGGCGGACAATCCACAGCCATCTCATGAATGACCTCGACATCTTTCTCCATTTGGACATCATCTTCCACAAACCCGAAATTCGTAGATCCTGTGGAATTACTCCTACTTCTTGGCGTATTTGGCGGTGTATTATTAATACCACTACCATCACCAATTTCAGACTTATTGTTTCCGGACTTTGACCACTTTGTAGAAGATTCACAAATGCTGATGCTGTTGTATTCTTCTTCCTCGCTATTGTCAACCACTGTTGATTGCTGTACGACAGGCTCGCTGCTTCTATTATTATAAGCCCACGCCCTCCGTTTTGCAGCAGCCGCAGCTCGAGCAATTTCAAAATCTGTTAAAAAAATAAACTCAAAGTGACTGGAAAAATAAATTCCAAAGAATAAAATTACCTCGAGATACTGCACCCCCACCATTATTAGAACAAGAGTTATTGTTTTCTACACCCTCTTCTCCTCCACCAGTATCATCTGCATTGGTGTGTGCAGTATTGTTGGATTGAAAAATTGATCGAAATCTAGGTTTTCTCGTCCACTTGCTGAACCAATATTCGTCTTCTTCTTCCCCAGGAACAGACTTGCGAGTGGAAATACTTTCATGAGCTGTCGGAGAAAGGTGGACCACTTGAGGTGCCTCACATGATGATGAGCTTTCTTCCCCTGGCTTCAATTTGGGTTGCAAATGAACCACTCTAATTCTCCGATCTTTATCTATTTCAATAAATATGGAATGTTGCAAGTGATGGTTGGAAGACGAGTCGCCATCGGTGGTGATTATTATTGGTGTTTCCTGAGCGTGGTCAACCCCACTTTCTCCAGCAGCAGAAACAGTCACAATGTTTTCATCAGGAACAAAAAACTGGTTAACGACTCCGTACTGGATCTGTTCGCTTTTAGAGGGTTCCACTTGAATGGTTCTTGTTCCGGACAAGCCTTGATCTTTTCGACCATTGACGGAAACCACAGGAAATGGTTCAGAGGGTCCGACGCTTGAGACTCGTCTTCCATTGCATGTGCACAAGCACCAAAGGCATTGTGACCAACAAGTTGGAGGATTGGATGACATCGTATGAAAATAATTTTTCAGAAGCTAATTTTTAATAACTCCATGTTTTGTTGTAGCGTTGAGAATGTAAAGCTGACACTTGTTCTCCAAGTAATGAAATGAAGGGGATGGACATCAGGGACTAATTAATTTATTGAATATCTTGCTGTCCACAATACATGCACAAGTAATCTTCCAGGGAGGAACTAGCCTTGGCGTGGTGGTGATAATTAATGAAGTTGAAAATATTAATTAAAACCTTCCTGCAAAAGAACAATTCATATTATGTTAAGCAACCCGGTATGTTCTTGTTATATCTAAAAGTAGCTTTTGCGGCGAACGAATGCTTATACATACGTAAAGAGCAGAGCTATTGACACATGTATTATTAATGTTTTGCATTCATGTTACGAACTTGGCAGCTCAAACTTTGAAATTATAATTTTTTATTAACTCATTTTACTACTTACATTTAAAATGCCCATGTGTATTCTCCATTCCATATAAGCAAATATTGCAAGTAAGGAGTGGTCTTGCTAAAAGTCACTAATTGAAGCGACCTTACTGCATAAAACGTGGTTGGGCAATGTTCTTTCAGTTGAACATCGCTGGATGATGTGCTCTTTCACGTTTTGATGCGTTACATTATTGTAGTAGATTCAGCAACAAGTGGTTCTTCAAATTTTTTAGGGCCAGAATTATTTTGTAAACTAATAAACCTGCAGCCCTTAAAATTTCTTAAAATGATAATGAAATGACCTAAATTCACATGTACGTACACGCCTCAAGTTAATAAATATTTCACTGAAAATAAAGTCTCAGATATGCTACATATATTTGTAGCTGCATTTACACATTATTTTTTACACTTCAGTGTGTCGAGTCAATTCATTTTAATAATGTGCAATATTTCCTCTGCTAATTCCACAACTTTTTACTATTTTATTTAATAATCGTATTTCCTACTCGCTATTGTCAATTGCTTATGTACTGATGTTTATGTGCGTATAATAACAACAACATGTTTAGCAGACGTCTCAAAATCTATATTATTCTGTTTTCCTTGTACCGTTTAACATATTTATACACACAGTCGCCTAACATCAGTGTTTAAAATCGCCTAGGGCCACATCAACCAAACTGATGCAATGCAAAAGCTGGCTAGCTAAAGTCGATTTCTATTCGAGAGTGCATCGTAAGCATTGGTCTGTATTTTCACACGTTTGAACCTGTGTTGAGACTCGCCTCTGCAAAATTGGTCCCCTTCATTAACTATGCCAATGGTATTATTATTGATGTACTGCTAACGTTAATCCTGGCTTTTGTTAAACCATAGAGTTGGCTATAAGAATAAACTCCTGTTAAACTAACTGACAAGACAACTAGGAGTCTGACAAACCATATTCCCAACCTCGATTTATGTTTGTGACTACAGATTGAGATACATAGCTTTAAATTTCGAGAATAATACGAGAGAAGTAAATAGACTGGTATATGTACGCTGCCGAGTTATTTAAGTGAAATACATATACAGCTATATGCAGGATGGTTAGCAGGAGTTGATTTTCTAGTATTATCATATTTATGAGTTGACATTATTTCGTTTCATTGTGTCAAATATTTAAATTGGCATTTGAATTCAAAACATAGATATTCAGAACAGTAGATGATTATGCTTTTACAATATTAATTCAATACGCTCCTCTGCATTTATAAAAATTTATTGCGTGTCTGTAATACAGACTCTGTATATGCTGCTGCTTTGTTGGTACATGATTCGGAATTTAGCAGACCTTTAGCAGACTCACAATCAGTGCTGAACACTTTTTTCATAGCGAAAAATCCTTGGCACTGGTGATCATTCAGGTTTAGCAAGGTATTCATTTTTGTATTAGAAAGCTAACAAGAATGGATACAAGAATTTAGTAAAAATGAATAAAAGTGGATTATTTGCATTATCAAACTGGCCACGGTTTGGCATGAATTTACATATTGTGAAGTATATTTATGTATGTCTGACATTTCATATGACATATTATGCTATGCCACACGAATGACTTTGATGAGAAGAAATGACACCAGATATTATTCAACACTTAACATGCTTCATTTTCTTTGTTCTACTTTATTGATGTTTTGTTAGCATTCATATTTCATGACAGAGACAACTCGATAATTTCATGTACCAACTATACTGTTTACATAGATTAATACAATAATAAAGTGTGAATAATTCACATCGCGTATCGCTACGCATCATAAATAAAATTGACTCTGTGTAACGTGTGATTATTGCTCATTGTTAGATAAACAGGGTAACACCTGTCTGTAGATAAAATAGTTAAAGCTTTTTCTGTTTTGGTTTATGTAAACTTTTGCAGTTTTTATAAAATGTCTTTAAATTATGTATTTATCTAACGTCTGTGTGTTAAATCATCTCGCAAATATCAGTATTATTGACTTAACATTAATATGGCCATCTTGGTGTTTTTCCGGAAGTATTCCGGTGGAAGTTGAAGTACAAATCGCATGCATAACGTAAATATATGCGATTTTTATATCAATCTTAACAAATAATCTCTCCGTTATGCGATTAATAAGTCCGTCCATGGAACCATAGCTTATTAATACAAATGTACAGAGCAAGCAAGGAACTTGTCATTAACTAATTATTCTACATCAAATTAGAAGATTAATTGTTGTGTCGTGTTAATACTTTGCCCAAGCACCATATAAATCAAACATAAATGTCATTATTTGGTTATAACTACAAGTTACTGATTAGAATTGAATACTTATTAAGACTATTTCTATACGGCACTTCTTTACACATTCTTCACTAAAAAATATTATTCCATGTAGGTCGTGAATTACTTGTTATGGCGAAAATAGCTGCAAAATTAACATTATTTGAAACACTTGAAACTTAAAGTTTTTTCATACGACATTGACGGGTAAAAAAAGTGTGGACATTTAATTCATATTTTTTATGAATGTCTTATTCTTATGTGTGCTTCAAAATATTGCATTTCCTCTTGAGCAAAATATCCACATTCTTAAAAGCCTTAGTTAAGGAACTTTGTTGGAATTTTACATTTACAAATTGATTGATATCTCCACGTCCCACTTTCGACACTCCACAAAATACTGTAGTCCAAAAAATAAAGTCTGGACTATGGACTATGAAGATCGGACAAGCTCAGCATGTTTCGTAGATTGTATACGCCTTCTGGACAGAACGAAATAATAAATTATATTTAGATCTGTCATTTGATATTTCGTTCAACGCTTCCTCGCATAACTTTTATGAACATATCTATCATGGGGTCCGGATGTGTCAATAAGGACTAAACTAAAAATAGGGATTTGGTCAGCAAAAAGTGCATCTTGTGATTCGTCAACAATTATTGCACAGAAGGGTTTTCCATCCACATCATTTCGAAAACGGGTACATTCTTCAGTTGTCCATTGAGATCCGGCTGTTCCCACAACTATCCTCCAAAAAAGATTAAGACATGTACTAACAAATCGACTTTAATGTTCATCCAATTTATAATTCGATGAACATTTTTAGTACAAAACTAATATTTAGCACTTAATTAAATTTATAAGCACTCACAATGATGCAATTTGGCACGATATGCTTGAGACGGGAGTCTTTCGACATACATTCTCCTCAACGGACGCAAATTAGACGCTTCGAGCATAGCATACCTGGATAAACATAGTGCTATTACCTATTTAAATTTAAGAATATGGAATGACCTTGTAAAAACTTACGAGCCATGATCGAGCAGAAATACCATGATTTGAGGATTTTCGTAATTGAATGGCTTAACAACATGAACACTGAAAAAGTCACAGAATTCGCCATTTATTTGCTTATGTATTTATGTACTTCTGTACATTATAGGCTTCCACACAAATTGGAATTGCAATGTTTATTCTTACGCACCGAGCCCAATTTTCGTTGGCTTCCACCTTTGCAGCATAATACCCGTCAGGAATGACGTCTATGTGATCCAAAGGTAAGTTCATTTTGTCATATTCCGTATAAAACTCAGTCATTGATATTTCCAAGCGTCTCAAATTTTCAGATTGTCTGTAATCTTGAATCTGCAAGTATTAATTTTTGCTCCATGTGAGATTAACAGGCAATAATGCACATCAACATATGCACTCATTTGTTTAATTAACTAACAATGAAATTATGAGGTCCCACAGCATTTCGGACTATGACATCCACCAAGTTTGACTTGGACTTTGAGATACCGCTCCCTGATTTCGGGCCGAAAATGGGATCCATAAAGTCCTCTTTGATCAAGATCGGCAACTGTTTTGTCGTAACCACGTCTGTCATAATTTTAAAACAAATTCAGTCAATTTGCATACGAAAATAATCTTTCGATTAGAAACTAGTTTGACCACATTATTTATCACCAATGACTGAATTGATGATAAATAACTCTTGTTTCATACCAGAGTTCGAAGTGTCAGGAGTAGAAGCTGAGGTGAGATTGCTGGACTTTTTGACTCCATTGGTGTTATTACCATTGGCATCGACGGCTATTTCTATTTTGGCACTCCCGTTCATTTTTTATTGCCCTTGCAACCACTTGACGACGTTTCAATAGAAATTGCCAGTAGAGCGTGTGGGCTGAAGAGTCAAATATGTAACGCAGAGTCGTCTTTATAAGTGAGGGTGCAGCAGAATTCTCTGAAGTTTAATCACTCACCACCTACAGATTGAACACAAAAATGTCAAGAGCTTTACTACTTATTGGGCGGATGGATGTCTCCATACAATGCATAATATGCAAATACTGCCGATGAATCTAATCTGCATAGATTCACCGACCTATATCAAAAGGCTTATGGCATCCTGCATAACCAGGTAAACAATATTAGAGTACCCAACTTTAAACCTCCTCTTGGCTCGATGCAGCGTTATTATCGGTCTTATACTTCAAAATAAGGTAGGATTTTATTACATACACCTCTTGTTTGTGCAGGAGAAAAGTAGACTCTGTACTTTTAAATATTTAGAGGAGCAGGACAAAAATTAGCAACTACTCAAAGTAAAAGTGAGATAACTTCATTTTTTTGCTCTCCGCATAATTATCATAATAGCGACTGATATAAAGTCAATCAAAAACCAGAAATTTAACACTTGAGAGAGACTGACCTAAACACAGCCATCCTCAAAACGACACACGACTGATATACATCGATTGATTCAGGTTCAACTATATTTTTTCTGGCTGTAGTTCAAAATCTGCAGCAAAATATTCTTTGCATTACAACAAAGATCCAAGTGCAAATCCGAGTATTCCTGCTGAATGCTTTCCCCACTCGTATTCTGAGATGGTGGGGTTCAATCAAAATGCAGTTGGCCGAGCTGTGAAGATATCCTTCTCATTCGTCCTGTAAAGTCCTATAAACGAGGTATAGGCACAGGAGAATCAATGATCTGTTGAAGCACAAATTAGAAAATGTCACTGCCTTAATACATAATTAATTATGCTCAAATTAAATAAATAAATTCCGCAACTAACCTTCTGCAATTTGTTTAATTCGTTACAATGTGCATTGACCAACCCAGTCAGTCAACTCTAATCGACTGAGTCAGGTTAGAAAATTGTGAAGACTTGCCAGATCCTCGACCAAGTTGGTGCAACAACATGTAAAGGCAGCTGCAATATATAAATGTGCATAGCAAATGGGATCTGTAGGTTTATATGCAATACAAGCAAAGTATAATCCTACTATGTTTTATGCACCACGGTGAACATGCAATAATAACATGCCAAATCAAAACAATGGTCGGCTATGCTGTTAAACATAATAATAATGCATAGAGTCGGTTAGACCTTTGGTTATAATGTGTAAAAACTTTCCTTTAACTTGCATGCACTTGCTTGTACAAATAAGCATGGATTTGTATTTGTTTGTTAAGACTTGCCTGAGCCAGTGACTGCCTAGTGCCTATCTTACAAATATGTATGGGAGCAATGGGTTAAAGAAGACGGGGAAGTGATTTATCAAATCAATAAAGGCATTAAACCAGCGTTTTCATTATGTATGTAAATGCATATGCATTGGCGAAGGATGATCAGCTAACTACTATTTTGCTTTTTTGCTGACATAAATGTAAAGGTATTCATGAAAAATATCAGTAATGTTTATTCATCCTTGAATTTGAAGAATTGTCATTATGTTAATTCTATTGGAATCATTCTCGTTGGAACATTAGTATATGATTACCTACTCAGGAGGTAGACAAGTGAGGTATATATAAATATATATGCATGTGGACAAACTAGTTAACAATTCGGGCATAGGTAAACTGATTTATTATTATTTGAGATAAGGAATCGTAATTATACGTAAGAATGTAAGCCATAATATTCATGACGTATGTGTATGTAAGTATGCATGTGGCGTTGTTGAGAATCTGTCCATAATAAAAATCTCCCATGCTACATGAGGCTAACAATAAGTACAAGGGTTGTATAATAAATAAATAACGCTTAATAAACTACGAGATTAATTGATGGATTGATGATTACAATGAAGCACTCCAGATAACGGGTCGTTACGTTTCAATGACATACAAATAATAGGATCAAAATACGCAAACTTGAATAAATGTCTCAAAAGAAAATTCCACGGTAAAACCTATTTTCATTCGGATGTTGAGTTACAGGTTCAATTAAAGTTTTACCCCTGTGGCGAATATACAATTCTTTTGCAAACACGCAAATTGCGACAACAATTCCGCACGCTAGAATTAGGAATGAGCCACTCAAATGTTTCATGGTCAATACGTCGCTCACTCCAGACGTCGCATAACTATTATGCATCGTAGCATTCGATTTCCTCCTCCAAAATTTCCTTTCCGCTGATACAAATTCCTCGTCTAATTTCTTCCATTTGTTTAGCAGTCCTGAATCCATAGCTTGCATGATGTAGTTGCTAATCTCTACCCGATAAGTACTCTTCTTCCTCATGAGAATGCCTCCGAGAAGAAAATACGCGGCGGCAGGTGCTTTCACCAGCGGAGTCTGTCCATGTGAGTCACTCAGGTTCTTGTAAGATACGTAATCAACAATATTCGCCCATGAGATACACGCCGCCTTGGAATTAATTGCTTCCTCGAAGCATTTGACATCCGATTTCTCCGTCGTCATACGATTAAAAATTTTGACATATGTCGGGTTCGAAGATGTTTTGAATAACATGACTGCAGCACCAGTGTATTGAAGCACGATTTTAAAAGACGATTTTGACAGGGCGTCAAACGTGTCGGGAGGAACATCTACATTCGGAAATGCGAGGAAAGAGACCAACTTGGATTTGTATGCTGTTAGCAAGACAAGTACAAACAGAAGCCAAAACAGACTCAGCAGCTTCAGGGTCACTGATATTGATGGAGAAAATAGAATATTGTCTCCTTGTTCCACCAAGGAACGAAACATGAACTCCGCCACTAATTTTTTCTCCAGTTGTTTAGAGTTTGGTGGCTGATGCTTCAAAAATATTAGAAACCCTGCAGCCATGAAAATTCCGGACAAGAATAGCAAAATCCAAACTTGAATGGACAATGGTCGATAAACAGCTTTCCAGCTGTAGAAAGGCTTGGGCACTCCAGTGGTGAAAGTGAGCCATTCGTACGTTATGGGGAATGAATACTCGATAACTTCATTACGGGACAGAGTTTGTCCTGCCGCTTGTCCCAGGTCAGCATTTCGTGATAAAAGGTCACCAACTATGCCAATCCAAGTTCCATTCGGAAACCGGAATCCAGTTCCCCCTCCGCTCATCGATGGGAAAAATTCAAGGGTGAAGTTTAGCCTTTTCATTAGCTCTAAAATCACAAAATTATATATGCCCCGTTTGGGCACCCAAGATCCTTGTTCGAACCGAATTTCGGTGAGCCACTTGCACTCTGTTGGCGTACTCATGCGAAGCATTTTTCCTTGAAAATTGACCAAGTAATTAGGGAAAAGGTCTGATTTTTGCTTGGCAGCAGTTGACGGTGATTGCCGTTGTTGGAGTTGGGGCCCACCATTGAAGCAGTAGAAACATGCAGACACTATTTGCACAGGATTTTCTAGTGTGACGCCAATCTTATATTTGATTTCTTGGGATTCTTCTATAGAAATGAGATACGCTTTGAGTGCCTCAACACTCATATGAAACACAAAATAGTCTTTGTTAGTGCCTGCAATTCCACGTAATGTAGAAGTTATCTCAGAAACTTGGTGAACATTTAATGCGTCAATATTAACGATGGAGATCACAACAAGTGTACACTGATGTCTATTTTGATGCAAGTCATTCACACCTTTCATAATATCAGACTGATTTTTGACCTCTAACATAAAGGTCACATCATATAAGAAATGGTTGGCAGAAGTGGTGGCACGATTCAATTCCGTAAAGAAATTACTATTCAGCTTCTCTTGGTCGCTAACAATAACGGATGAACATTCTGCAAAAACGGTCGAAATTAAATTAATTAGGAACGCAGTATCCGATAATGAATCTTCATTTTGGAGCTTGGCATTTGTAAAAGTAACCAGGATTCCACTTTTGGTAAAAATTGTGAGAATCCCGATAAAACAGGTTAGTAGCGTCTTCATGATGTTATTATTCCGGCAGAATTATCCTAATTAGTAATTAATAACTAAATTGAAAGGGTAAAAAGTTGGGATTATTTTTTAAACTAATAATACGTACGCCTTTTTTAAGTGAAACAAAACAGAAAGCAACTTCGGTCACCTTACATAGCAAACTGAATTTGTGATATGCTACGATATGATAGATTTGATACCACAAACGCCTCTGGATAAAATGACCAATTTTCTTAATTGGTTTGAAACCCATCATGCCAGGCCATCACGCAACTGAGATAAAATCTTAGAGTTTTGAAGTCAAATATTTTACCATCATTGCCATCAAACTTTTGGTAGTTTTCTCTTATAATCAGATGAAATGATATAGAGGGATGTCTGGCTGGAGGCTTCTTGCGCCATTATAAGTATTAATTTGTGTGCACATAAAATTCATAAACTGGTTCAATATGAACTATAAAGTGTACAAAAATAGACAGCCATTGTCTTTTGGTGTTAGAATAAGTGAGTAATATTGCCAATTGTGTAAGGTGAACTCTAAATAGTGCAATGGTTTTACGACGAGTACCAAGTTATACACACATAAATATGTGAATAATTAGAAATTTAATTACGTAAAAAGTAGTATCTGAGACTGTTTAGAAGCTTAATAAATCTGCATTCTTATATAGAAAGTGAAAACAAAAACAAGGTCGTAAGAAGAAAATTGTCATTGTCAGTCTTAATAATGCATTGTCAACAGTAGTTCCATTACTGGAACCAAGAAGGTTTGAAGCCGATAAATTCAATTGATAATTCATACGTGTCGCTTGCCTATTTATTTCATTACTTCGCAAAGTACATACGTTATATAACCGTTCTCCTTTGGCGTCATTTAGAATTTCGAGAATTGGTCTCACCACAAGTGCAAGTTGACATTCATCTGTGCCTAGTTGTACATGTACCAGTGACTTGGTTATGTTAATGGTTTTTCTCGTTTAGTTAGTTCGAATTTGTATTTCATCAATTATAAGAATAGCAATGATAAGATCACATATGATGACATGTACAAACGGACTGACTAACCGAGCAATAAATATCTTTGATCTTCACACGCAGAAATACAAAATTCGGAGAAAGTTGCCTTGCAATGTGTCAAACAAATTGATTTCTTTCACCCAACTGCTTCACCCACATGCATAAAATAATATTTCCAACTTTACACATAACCGTGCCTTCGTACCTGAGCACGAGGGAAAAGACTGGAAAAGTAAAAAGCTTAACAACTTTCACCATAAAACCAAATCAGCTCATACAAAGAGCTTTAGAAGATAAAAACTGCTTTGAATTCGGCAAAAGAGCAATTCTCAGATGCAAATTTTCTACTTAAAATTTTGCAGTTCCGCTTTTCTTTAATTAGAGGGAAAAGGGAAGCCATAGCTTTTCGAGACAAAAGGGAATTTCAAGTGAGAATTTTATTCCTTCACACATTTTACCCTCGTAATTGCGACATCGCTTCCATCAAAGGGATAAAGATAGAATGGAATGAAAAATACTTATACAAGTGTAAAAATATGTCACAGTTATGAATATCTGGTCGTTCAGAAGGTCAAACGAGGTTCAAGATCTCAAAAAATTCTATAAAAAATTGTCAAATCTTATAGGTATACTTACATATTTGGTACTTGTACATTATACTCATTCACACATCATCTGGCTTGCATTTAATTTAAGGGAACTAGAATGTGGACTTTTGTAAACTATTTCCTCTGCCCTTTGTGCTGAATGTGGGGAATAATGGGGCGATGGGATGAGGTGGGTGAGTGAGTGAGGCGTGAATGAATGCTGCTGGCAGAGAAAGTGGTTCGAATGAGAACAAAGAGGTTAAATGAGGAAATTGCGGATCTTGGAGCAGTGTGGCTTCTCCGTGGTGTTGGACTAATGAAGGTTTTGGCACCGTCTAAGCCTTTGAGTCACCAAGTCGTCATCATACCGCACACATACCGTCGTCCTCTAGTCCATGCAGGATACTAACCTGAGTTCGCCCAGTTCCTCAGTACTTTAGATTAACTGCCACCGCCATCAGTTCCAGAGTAGTCAGACCAGATTTGCCTAGCTGTAGTCCTGACAATTTCATAAACTGTGTCACTTGGTCCCTCTTTCAAAAGTCCAAATATCATGCAGAGAAGTTTTACTTCAACATTTTTCTTTTTTGGAAGTATGTAATGTGTTGACCTCTAGAAAAGGGATGACTAAATGTGTCCCAGCCAACCTAGTTCGTGATGATATTCAGATGCATCACCGGATGCATGATTCGACCAAAATGTTGATATTCTGTCAGATCGTACCGACATAACACGAGTTGTCCGCGTTGAAGCAAGACTTTGACCGTTTGGCCCAGACTTGACAATTTAACGTTTTAACGCTACATGGATTTCTGTTCTTTAACTTTCTACTTTGCAGCTGAAATTACACCAGATTGGTTTGGTCCAGAATGGTGACCGCCGTAAAATTCAGAGAATTGCTGCAGAAGCTGGCATAATGAGACTGTTTTATGACCAAAGGACTATACATTACTTATCTGAAGGCCTTTCCTACTTATTCTCTTGCTATTGGTCTTCTGTTGGTTGAAATTTAAGAAATTTCTACATTCCCATGCTTGGCGATACTTTGGTCGCAATAGGAATTAAGCAACTCGACTCTGAAAACTGGCACTTCATCCCAGGAGCTTCGTTTGAATTACGAGAATGAGGTTTAATAATTTGAATTTGACATTCGGAAATTGTAAGACGAGACGAACACAAGTAGATATCTGTGGAGTCTGGTGCGTCCTCGCGGTAAGAAAATAAATTGGTTTTCAATGGTGAAATTTGCTGGCAGGATCGATTTGTAGTGAAAGTTGATGTAGGTGAAAGTTTATGGCTCGTAAAAGATGCTGACTACTTTTGGACACGGATTGTTTTCCAGTCTCGCTTTTCAATTCGCCCAGAGTTATGCAATTGTTTGGGATTTGCTTGTTTAGAATGAAATCAGGAGCCGCTTAGAAAAACTATCCCATGTAAATGTGCACCATTTGCTAATAAACACGTATAATATGTGGCGTGATATATTTCATGGTTCCATCAATTCCAGCTCAAGATTTATGTCTGGAGAGAATAATATGAAGCAATTATGTAGAAAATACTCACAATCAGTCAAAGGCTATAGGGCATAAAATAATATAAATGGATTCCTTTTAATGGGTAATTAACCAACACATTTACACTTTTTAATGTACATACACTGTATTAAACGTAATGCAATTCTTTGGACTCAAAGGATAAAATATATAGACACACGCGTATTGAAAATCGAATACTTTTAAAAGTTGCACACGGGTACAATTCAAAGAGTAGTACTTAGTACTTTACTGTTCTTGGTTTCATAAATCACAACGTTTAGGATTAAAATTAATTAGAACACAACAACCTAAGACCAAAATGACAATTAATTGGCACTTAAGTTATTATTACTTTTGTATGGCGAATATCATTGGCGTTAATTTTGAATATCGTTACATATGTATTTGTTTGGTTTTAGGACTTCCGTCCAGTGGTCTTTGGTAAAACTAGAGGGATACTGTTGCTTGGACTTCCGATTTGCGAGTTAAATTGAGTTTCCTCCTCTTCCGAGGTGGTGGTGTCCATGTCAGAATTTTCTGTGTCCCCTCCGATGGTCATGACGAAGAGGCTGGTCCTGGGCGATGGTGATCTGGATGGGCTTGGCGTTGGAGGGCGATCGTGTCCAAGCCACAACGGCAGTCGAGGAATCATATGTCCTTCGATAGACTTGTACTCTGTGAAGCAACTGTTTATACCTACAACAGTGGCGACGAATACGAACATCCCTGCTATCAAATATCCCACGAAGGTTTGAAGGGTAAAAAAAATCACGGCGAAAACCCAAAGGAGTGCAAATAGCACCCAGCGACAAAAGATCGGGCATGGGTAGGAGCCAAATCTGTCACGGCATCTTTCACGGAATCCGTCAATATGGTTTTTGATTCTATACCACAAGCCCATGGTTGATTCTCTCTGTAATAAAGTCAATATTTTTAGTACATGATGGGATTGATTGAAAAATGCCAAAAAGTTTTGCTAAAACCCTTACCTTAAATAAAAATCTTATGAATAGGGAGTAAAATTTCAGTGTTCAAACAGTACTTAATTTATGATTAAACTAGCTACACAAATCAAAATAAAATTGTAGTGCTCCCTGTTGTGCTTATCAACTTCACAACAATGAGAATCGTTCTCCTACTGGAAATTGAACAACGAAACAAAAAACATAATTACATACGTCTACATATATGTATGTACATATGGTCCACTGGCTTGAATTGGGAACCTTCAGAAATATTTGCATACATTTTTTCCGAATAAATGTAAATTTCATTTGCATTTCTGTAAAAGCCATGATTTGCACGCTGTATGTACAAACTCATCATCATTTGCATTGGATGCATTTTAAGGTTAAAGCTATGGACATGTACATACATATGTACATTCGTACATACACACATAGTATCACAACAAGTCAATGTACGGTGTTATGCATATCTCGTATAAAATTGAATGCGCCGTGTCATGTCATAAGTACCTCCATGTTAGAGGGATTTTCTTAGAGCTTAAGGTTGCAAATTGAGTCCAAACCAGTAAAAATAAATGTCAAATGCCAACACAACTATAAAACAAACACAGTTTGAGAAAAGCTGGACAAATTCCTCCAATGCAAATCAAATCAACAAAATAGGCAACACTTGGTAAACTCAACACAAATACTAACTTTTAACAGTCGTCATCCTCCTGACGTGATTTGGCCAACTCTCTAAATTGCATTCCCTTTATTACAATTGTAGTGGGCAAATGAGAATTTGCAAAGACTATGAACAGCATCATGTCGTGCCGGAGTAAATCCAGCGTAAAACCACGAGTATCGTTATTTTTGCGTAGGGAGCGTGCAAATGTTGTACCAATTGTTTGAATAGTATTATAAAATAAATGACACTTGTGAAGCGACTATTTATTTATAAAATACGGTTTTCAATCCATCCAAAAACAAGTTTCCAAACCGTGTGTAGTTGTGCATGCCATGGACAGGCTCCCTTGGATTTCTTTGATAGTGCAAGAATAATAATCCCATTTAGTTTGGTTCTGAAGCCCATTTCATCTCCATTCGCGAAATCTGACCTGCCTAAATGAGCCTGAGTTTGCTCTTTCTGCCTTTTTCTCTTATTGCCAAACACTACTGGGTGTATTACTTTGTGTTTCTTTTGTCTCTATTTCCATAAGATTTGATGCGAGTGTGAGATACAAATGAATTTAAGGGAAATCTTTTCTTTAACTCTGCCCAGCTTTCTTTTCTCGGACCAAATAATAAGAACGGACAACTGCTATCCAACTTCTTCTGAGCGAACGAATATACTTTTTTGGCCGGACTGAAAGCAGGTCTCGCAATTGACTTGCGAGTGTAGAGAATTTTGGAGAAATTTTCAGAGTCGTCCAATGACCATGTTCTTTAGGTACCTCGGTCAACCTGCATCTTGTTATCCAGTAGGTGTGACATGAATTTAAATGCTTCGCATATCTCTCACCAACATTGCATTGCGTATTGGAGCAATTAATAACACTGGGAAAGCACTATATGAATTGTCTCCAGGTTTGCAGACTCTACTCACGTAGTTCATCTTACATTCAAACATTACCATGTATTACTGTTACCAAAAGAATGCACCAAGAACAACAGTCCATTATTTGCACTCGTCCAGAGTATTCAACATTCGCGTTTCTTCTGCAAAGTCATATTTGAAATTTTGAGGATATATTTTAGGTACTAATAACACTTGAACGTTGTATGTCTATAAATGAGACCAAAAGAAGCATGGACTACATATGCATGACTCTAGGTTACATCTCAGAGGAAGAATATTGTCAATTTTTCATAGACGAGGAAAGCGTAGCCATCTGAAAAAGTATTTTTTGTCTCCGTTCAAACCCAGATGACCTCAACAATTTTATTATAATTGTCATTACCTAATTAAATCAGGAGGATCTAAATAATTTGTAGGATATACGAATGCAAATGTACGAATATACAGCTTAAATTGTATATAATTGAAAAAACACTACTCACATTGTACTACATATTTTCAAGTTGAATTAGTGAATTGTCAATGGCACATGTTGATGTACAAGATTGTAGTGGTTTTGCTGGGTTGATTACTTTCCCCATGAGTAAAACCGTCAAAACCTGAGAATCTTCTCTTCCTGACTGAGATTGACCCACTGCTCGACTCTCGTCAAGCAGCAAGCTGGACTAGGACGAGATGTAAAGGAAAAGAAGATTGAAGAGTGTAGTTTAACCCTGGCGTGAAAAAAGCGGAGAAAGTTTCGCAGAATCCCGGATTTCCTCAAAATATCTCACCCACCAACCGAAACCAAAGTCAAAACTCAAAACTGGCCCACTTTCCACGAGCAATCTCCACAATACCAACCCAGAGAGCGTGAAATGTGAAATTCCCCTTTCTCCACTTTTTGAGATATAGATAGGACTCTGTGTATCGCCACATCAAAACAAGTTGGACAACCTCAGTGAACCAAATAACCGAGTCAATAAAAACTCGCTTTGCTTGCGCCATGTTCCAACCATGCTGCAAACTTCGACATGAGGTAACTGGCTGGAAATGTTTTCTAATTAAACGCCGACAAATTATCAGTGATTGTGAAAGCAGGATTCACAAACTTTAATACAAGATCACTCGTAATCAGTCAGCGACTATCTACACTTTTCACGACTTTCTGTAGTCGCATTATTATATTTATAGTTTACAAGTCCGGAAATGAAAAATGCATTATATAAATTATTTGTTTTCTCATACATGAAAAATGGGTGAGAATAGATTTTTTTGCATTCAACATTTTTCAGCCCAGCAGACTCGCACGATACACACATGCAACAAAAGAAAGTTTAAACGTTGGAGTTCAACCGGCGGTATGCACATTACTCTTTTCTGACGGGCCTCCCCTTTTTGGCGATCGTCTCGGACGATTGAAATAGTGTTGCCCTGTTGTACATATAAGCAGGCACACATATTTCAAACCCATGCACGGAAAATAAATGTACTCGGTTGATTCGTGTCATCTCAACTTATGTGAAACTTGAATAAAAATATTTTCTACAAAAAATCGTCACGGCATTGTTGTTGTTCCTCATTTCCTAATTCACATGACTCCAAACGAACATAATATAGCAGGGCAAGAATTGAAAAAAATCCGTTCCGTTGGAACGAATTGTTCCATCTCTTTCCTGCCTTCACGTTCAAAACTCTTGCCAAAAATTTGACTGGGCCACCACCAGCGCAGACATTTGACAGTTTCATTGTGATAACCAGCAACTTTTCTCTCGTTTCTACGAACCATAACCTTACCAACTTTTGATGCACACAGTTTGAATAGAGACCCAACTCCAACTTATGGATTCTTTACGTAACACGATGCAAACAACTTGTTTGGCAAGTGAGACCTGGGTTGGATTGGTTTGGGCAAAACATCGTTAGAGCACTGTGTGTGAAGATTTCACGGCCTAAGGCCAGCAGTGTCGATGGGAGAAAGTGATGGCAGATTCGCACACAGAGTGAGAAGTAGGTTAGACGGAATTGGTGTGGAATAAAAGTGATCCAGCGGATAATGGGGCATCACTGAATGATATCTATGATCGAATAGCAAACAACACACTCATGCATGCACAAATTGAAGTAGGTTCACAAAATTGAGCTGAACTCTTGAACTATACGGAGCACGAGTGAGTGGGTGAGAGAGCAAGTCTGGTATATAAGCACCCCAATAAACCCATTCGCCCCATCAATAACATATTTCCGGCCTTTCTGCATATGAAGTAAAGCATATCATCGCCATTTGGGAATCACCTCGCTGCCCTTTCTCCCGTGAAAGAGGAACGCGGGGTGTCATAAATCGCAAACCGTTTCCTTTTCGAAAATAATACAGACACAATGTGAGTCGATAATGATCCAAGTGTTCACTTCAAAATAATCCAAACTGAAGGGTCTCTAATTTATGTTATTATTCTTAACGTAGTCCAACTATTCTCGGTTTTAAGTTTTGATAGAGTTTATAAGTTGGGATCGGATTGTGCGGGTCTTGTACCCGCGTGGATAGTCGACCACAAATAAAATAAAAGAGATTGTTCAACTCATTGTTCCATGCGGGTAGTAGCAGAAGAGAGCTAGAGGAGAACTAGAGGAGAGAGAGAAACTTGCCAAACTTACTTTCACTTTCACCACCATTTTTTCCTCTTGTTTGGTTTGCACACAAAACCTAAATTCCACTGATCTAGATCCCACCATGCCAAAGGACAAGGCTTGATACCGTTAGCAGTTAAAGTTAGCAGTATGGCCAATACGGGCGGCTTGTTCCTTCTCTGTTCAGTGGTGTCCTGCTGGATGACCTGGTCGACTATGTGGCGGTAGAGTTTGGAGAGAATGAAGAAGAGAGATAATAGAACATTTTGAAGAAATATAGGATTTTCTGGGTGTGAAGAAAGATTATCTGATACAAGAGCCAAAGAAACATCTCTTTCTATCTTTTTCCCTTCGCGGTGGTTCAAGCGACCATTCTTCGATCTACGAAGCGTTGTTGGATGTGCGGATTTAGCTTTGGATTCGGATGGAGGAGTCTTTCTCAAACGCCAGTTAGACCCGAAATGGTCGCGTAATGGATAAACCATAATAAAATATCGATTTACTATCTTCTTCCTTGGTCCAAAATAAGTTCTTAAACGCTCAGTGAAAGCATTCCTAAGCGTATTCACTAACTTATTCAATGGACAGTGTGAATGTTTTATACGTATACAGTTAGCATCCGAGCAGGTAGATTGATAATAAATATGGTATCAACAGACATGGCTTTGTAAGCTGAGTCGTGGACAAAATCGAACGGTCGTTGTGTGTATTTCATTCATCAGATTCAGTTCTTCCGTTGTCCATGTTTCAATAAAATCTGTCTTCCTCTTCAAGTACATACTTGAATTTCATACACCTGAATTTTCTAGATTCTGTGCACTAACATATGTACTATGTATCTGCTGCTGTTGTTGTTGCAACGTATATGGTGAAGACTGATGCCAACTGTCCAACAGACATTGTCCTCACCCTGGTGTTGTCCATTCCTGGAATTGCATTCAGTCACAAATCCAAACTAAACCACGTCTTGGAAACCCACTTTCTTTATCGAAAGTGGAAATCCGTGATAGAAACAACACACTGAATCGATTTGGGACACTTCCATCGAATTCAATGGCATATTATGGCATGTGCCTCGATTTCCTGTTTTCCTCTCAGAACAGAACCACTTTCACTTTTGTCAATGTTCCAGAAGGCGAAAAAAAGGAGATCAGAAGACCTCGTCAATCCGACGCTAACACGATGATAGAGACGAAACCCTCCACCAGATCAGCGTGAAGCTCCATGGCATTTTCAACTCATCCCAAGCGAAATCACGGTTCGATTTTGTAATTAATGTACGTTAATTATAAACCACGTTGGTTTAACTTTGATACAATTTATCTTGGGAGCTTGTAGGTATGTATGTGCATAAAAACAGAAATGACATTCCATTCTAAATATTCGATAAATAAGGGCACTTTGTCCGAATAACTGACTACGTATAATAATAAACATAATAAGGGTGTATTTAATCCAATTGGTTGATGCATGCTGACAGTCACATCAGGGGTATCTGGAATATAAGGCCAAATAAACACAAGGTCCTGAGTGAGTGAAGGATATGGAACGACGGTTTGGGAAAAGTCTTTTGTTTGTCTGTCATCCCGGTGACCAGCTTTAGGACATGTTTTAGAGGAAAAGCACAGAAATGGACGAGTCTCATGTCATCATGCACAGATACACAGATACTGTAATCAGGTCAAACTTTCATTACGTACAGTGTAGACAATGCAGCCCTCTTACTTGTGACCTTAGACTGAGTGACATGATTATATACAATGTAACTAATATTTAGTAAAAAAGGTGCAAGGTTGGGCTCTGACATTCATGAAAGGAAGATGCTACGTGCATCGATTTACTCCAATGTAATGCTGCGGTTGGTCTGTTTCTTTAGGACAGGAGAAAGTTGGGTTCAGTCCCAGATTCCCCCAGTCTCCATCCCGACCCTTTCCTTGCTGCTTCCCAACGTTAGTTGATTTTCTCCAACTCTACCATAAATACTATTTAAAGCTAAACACGCTGTAATAACAAATTAGTATTGAAGATGTGCGTTTAATATAATAATGCAAGCATGTTTGAATTGTACTAATGAGTCAGATGCAGAGCTCTGATGATTGATTGAGAATTATGCACTAAAGTATATGTAGAGAACAGGAACATTTTCATCATAGCCATAATAATAGCGGTTTTATTACACTTTCTATAATGATTACATATTACGTCACAATAAAACTGGTATCTTAACAAGATTATCTAAACAAGGTAAAAAATCCTCTCGCGTCTCTTGTGTACTCTGTCTCCACGACTTGTCTGCTACATACTTATTAGTATTTAGGTGAATCGAAGTCAACCGGATGGATTTGATTTGAAGTTGGGCCCGCATGAAGTGTTAATCAAGTGGGCACGTGATTTTGGCGCGTATAAATTCTGTCCGGTTGACTTTGATGCACCACAATAAAAACTACATTTTGTATACCGTTACAATTAGACGATTGCAATAACACTCTGGCTTCAGTAATTATATTAGATCACGAGGGTACACGAGTGGACTAGACATCGCAACGGGCAAATAACAAGTGATGACAGACTGTATAGTACGCGGTGGTATAGTATTTCGAATTTTGTTAAGTTTGATTTGATTTTAGTTGGGTTTGGTTGCTGGACAGACAGAACACAAGAGGTTTGGCACGCTACACGCAAAAATAAATAAATTACATCTCTGTCCTCCTTCATTACTGTACAGATGACAATTCACAAGCATTTTTTACTGGTAAAATATACGAGCAAACATAATGTGATGCAAGTATGTAGTATTTTTATAGATATTTATTTATATATGGTGGTTTTTGTAGGTATTTCTCGCGTCTAGCTTTCTTTTACACAAATTACTCCCACTCCTTGGAACTACAAGTAAAATACATGTTTCCTATGTTTATGTTTTGTAACGTGTGTGTGTGTGTGTGTGTGCAGACATGTCTTAAACATTTTAGTCTTGGTAAAGTATGACAGAACAGTCAATGATTACATAATAATATTCGTTTTACATAATAAGCGAAATATGTACATACATCTTTATATATATTTATTCTATATAGATCGGACTAAATCGTGTGATGATTTGTTTGGTGTCGCTGCAAGAAACTTACTTTGTTCGTGATAATAGTTCAAGTCAAGTTCATAAAATGTAAAGTGAATTCGACGGATCAAGTATATAGATTTGTTGAAAAAGCTAGAAACAGTCACATTAAAACATATGTACATACTTATGCATAGAGCATTTCTCGTTTACACGAAGTTGAGCATAAATTTAATGGTGTGTGCCTTCATATCTAATAATAAAGACAAAGATATAGATAGCAATATAAACCCACCGAGTATCTGTAAGTACGTAGGTGTGGTAATATAATATATTACGCTTAGAACTTATTTTTGTTAGGATCGATCCGGCAGTAGCCAAGACCGAAAATCCAGCAGTGAGAATTTTAGAAATACGTGAATCAAGAAGAGAAAAACATTGAAATGCTAGAAACTTATATAAGCATATATGCATTATATATACGTAGTAGTAGAGCATGCTGTACATAGTGGCAACATTGATAGAGGTGCAAGTGCAGTTGTATATATACAATATCCAATTCTACATTACTAGTGACTTGTGAGTGGCTTACATTATAAATAAATAAATAAAATATATTTAAACCATTGTAATATTCCTTCTCGCCTTGCTATTTACAGAGGTAAGGGATCCCTGAATGTTGGGATTATACTGCATGTGACTACTCGAATTAGACGAGTTGACTGCTGGGACCGCTGGATGAGATGCCGCCGAGCCCCTTGGAATGTTGTAGTTGTGGTGAGGGATCCCATTCACGAGTCGATACGGAGGAATCCCTGAGTAACTATCTATGGTCCGATAGTTCTCTTGGTCGCTTTCAATCGGAGTTTCATAATCCGTGGGACCACCCCCTTTGGCACTCCGAATAGTGGGATCTGATGAGCAGCTCTCATAGTCCACACTCGTCTTCCGTGCGTTATCACTAATTGATCTGAATGACCTCGTGGATGATCCTGGGCTCCCGTTGAAGTGACCAATTCCACCACCGACATGGTGATGGTGGACATTCTGACCATAGCTGCCTTGCTGAGACGCTGGAACGCCACCACTATGAGAACTTGGAGCGTATGTCATGCTTTGTCGTTTCTCATGTTCACTAAGTAATTGACTCGCAGACCTGAAATTAATTGTTAGCAAAATTGTATTGTGCTTTTTAACTGTCGTGTTTAAAGGCCTAGCCGTTTATGTTTAAATTCAATACCTACATAAGTACGCATCTACAAATGTATTGGTACTTTACTAATCTATGTAACTTACCAGTGAATGGGAGCTTTCGACGTGTCTGATATTGTGGATATATGGGTGTCCGTTGATCCCATGCCTTTGGAATTGCGTCGTCTACAGTAGACACAGACCACGATGATCACAGCAAGAAGAATGAAGAAAGCGATGACGCCCACAATTATCAAAGCAATGTCAGTCGAAGTTAGTTTTCCTTCAGAATTCTTCTTCGCCTCAATGTCAATCTGCGACTCTGAGCTACCGGTATTTGTCTCTGGTGGTGGAGGTTCCGCTTTCACCTGCACGGTGTTCGAGGACTTCCCTTTGACTTTGTACGGGTCAATCGCCACAATCGAGAGATAAAATATGCCATGGGATGGGAGACGGATTGTCATGTTGACTTAAAAAAGTAAAAAAAAAAATCATAAATGATTAGTTATGACCAACATCTTCCATTTAATTACATTACAAAGTACACGAAATAGTTCTGCGTCTACTTCTATTCGTTTTTACAATAAAATCAGTATAACAAAATTAGTAAATGTTACGACTTTAATTATCACCCGGCGTAGTGATTAACTTAAATCTTTATACAAATTGTCAATCTCATTGTCAGAAACATATTTATCGTGGGAAAACCTCCATTTCTATGTATTTTTGAAAATAGTGCACATAGAAGTGGCTTTCTCCAGGTATGTATGTATGTGTACAGATCTTTTTGAGGCTGTATCATGACTATAGAAAAATCTGTTCGTATGTCCACGTATCAACTTCCCACGTAACCACATTGCAAAAATTTACTGTTTTTGTAGATGGGCAAAATGCAATAATTCAATTTACTTGAATGGAAATAGACGCCAAAAATGCGACATAAATTTTGTAATACAGCAAAATGTTTGCTTAATACTTACCTTCAGAGCCGGCTGGGATATCTTGCGACAAGACTTGCTCCTTCAGTACGGCTGAAATTATAGATTATGCATATGTATAAACGGACAAACTAGCAATTATAATTAGACTATGCTTAAGATTAGTATTGGTGAGAGACCAAAAGTGTATTTTTGGTTTGTTTTGAATTTGGAACATACCTACAGAGTCGAAGGAACGTCTATAGAAAACTTGATACATGTCTACCGTCTTATGGTCATAGTCATCTCCGGGGGCTGTGAAGCTCAATGTGACTGTGGTGTCGTAAGAGTCAACCAAACGGAGATCTGGAATAATTTTTAATTTAGATTTAAAATTTTACAGTAAGACTTCAATAGAAATTAAACATATTGACATCCAAGTACGTTAACTAACCTCCAATTCTGCTTGGTGGATAGATTTCAGAATTTCGAGCATTTGAAACCTACACAATAGAGAAAAATTGCAAGTGACTCTTTATAGGCTGGCGAGTATGTATGGTATGAAGAACAGAATTAGTGAGCAAAAAGAGCACATTTTCGTTGGTTTATATTTTTTATGAATCATGACATTTGAAAACTAACCTTGACAGAGTAAAATGAGACTCGCTCGGTGTAAGCCATGGTTTTGAGTGCCGGTGAGTCCGACGAGATGAGTCGACTACCACAACAAGTTTCAACGGTTTGCTGTTTACGGCGGTAGGAAGTGTGACCTCCAATGGAATTGTCAGTACCAATGTATTTGGTTTTATATGGAGAACTTAATACTTTGACTGTTATTTCCAGAACCGAAGACTGCACGGAGGGAGGAGGAATAATATAACGTGAGTAAATTCCGTCATCCTTGGTAAGGTCTGGATCTAAACAGAACAATTCAAAGACATTCGTACATTGCTAGTTTGAACAAGAGTATAAGAAATATATTGCAATGCGTATTCATAAATGCGCAGTCTTCTTTTGTTTATCTATCCACAAAGAAGAAGACAGATGGACAAAGTTTTATGTAATTAGTTGGGAGGTAAGAAAAATTAGCATGCAAACAAGTTCATTATGGTTGGTCCAAGGAAAGAGGATTCTTCTCGCAAAATCTGGAGCATATTCATAAGGAAAATTGCAAATAAACCAGAGGCGAGAAGGACAGAACACGCAAAACCTCAACAAAATACGATGGAATTGCAAATTGCATGCGACATGGCGACATTCATTCCCAGTGGGGTGTGTGCAATAGGGAAAAATGAGGACATACACAAAGGCAAGCAAGTGAACAAGAAGGAGATAGGAGAAAGTCATGCAGAAAAGTAGTTCCTTTCTCTCCTCTCGAAGAGAAAGTTTCAATTGAAAAGAAGGACTTACCTCCATTCCCATTGTCCCAAAGTTTGATACTCCATTTATGGGTCCCAGCAACAATCAGGCATTCCACCTCTGCATCAATAACTGGAGAAAGACCCCGTTTTACTGAGGCATACAGAATCAAGGGCATCTGGCTTAAATTCGCTCCTCGGGCTTCATCATCCACATTTGAAAACACTCGAACAGTCACTTCTTCATGTGCCATGTTTGTAGCCAATGTGTTTGTCACCACTTGCTGCAAAATATAGGACATACTTTTATGATTGATTGGGGCGAAATAAATAAAGTATAAATTTAATTGTAATGTCTTTAACTTCAATTATCTAAAAACATATAATAGTAAATAATTTACCACAAAGTGAGACTGGTGGCTGTCACCCAATCGTTCTATCCGGTATCGCCAAATTCCTGTATCATATTTTTAAAAAATACTATTAAAATATGTAACTAAAGATTAATTCCAAAATGTCAACTCCCAATTCCCTTTGTTGTTTTTACATGAAATGCGATTTATTTAAATTGTTTGCAAAATGAGTTAATTTGCAGATTGCTTACAAAATTTTACCAGATTATTAATCGCCTTACTAATGTGGTAAAATGTGTTGGTGACAAAACGCACAAAAAACAATTTAGCAAACCCAATGAACGCTTAACCCTGATCTACTGCTACTACTGAAACAATTTCATTTTGTTATCAATAGTGGTTCTCGTTCCCGAAGGGACAAGCTGGTGTAGGCTACACACACAGATAGATAATGGGAGCATTAATGTTTTATTAGTTGGCAGTTCCATTCTATACAAGTCTACTGATTCTATGTGTGTGTATTTATGTGCGTAGAGCTTGCTTTCACCAACCAACAACCAATTCCGAGTTCCACGCTCGGTGCGAGCTGTACATTAGATTAGATTAGGTCGAGAGATGAAGTCAGGAAATAAAAGAATTAGAGCGACTCGTGAATTACCAGGTTGATCGATAAGAACTCCCATCTTCATCACATTTATATCGTGTAAAGTTGATGTGTGATCCGAAAATTTCGTTCCTGCGGGACTAGTCAGCTCCACTCTATTGACTGAAAAAATTCCAATATAATAAATGAATTAACCTATGAACAACTACACAATGAGATATACAGCGATATATTGCCCTCCAAACAATGATGCCAGGTTTGTACATACATTATGTATACATACGTGTGTAATAAATTTATTAGGTATAAAGTAGATTTTCTGTCATGTATGTACCTTTTGGGTCTATAGAACTTGGAATGTAGACGTGGAATTCGGCAGGTACTTGCGCAGCGTCGAAATTAAATTGTGATTCCACGACGGATGGAGCATCACCTGTGGCAATTGTTATATTTTACTTACAATAAAATTCTTCATTACTTTATTATTATTGTGCTAAAAATTACTTACCTTTGAATTCTGCTTGGTGAATCTGAAATGAAAGAAATTAAATTATTTAGGTAGAAATTAAACATGAATTTTGGCTCAGGTAAAAACCTAAGTATACGACAGCTACAAATTCTATACTTTTCTGACATCAAACAAGTTTATGCTAATTCCAGCTGAGCCAATTTTAGTTCAGGCAATTCACAAGGATAAGTGGGAACACTCATCAAAGAGTTTGCAGGTAGGATTTCATGGCGTGAATATTTTTGGAGCAAAAATGGCATGTCGGAAGAGCCAATCTGTAACTGGGGGTAGAGTCCAACCACTGAAACCTTTCGGCATTATCTGGATTGCTTTGGCATCATGGAACACCTTCCATCTCGTTGATTATCATCAGTATTAAAGTCATCCCTCCATCTCCTCGTCCCTACTTTGAGACTTTGTTTACTTTGCCACTTATTATTAAATCCCAACTAAAACTTCTTCAAAACAGTCATGCATTACCATCACGTCGAGGAGAAAGTCAGAGAAAGTTGACGGAAAGCAGCGAATTAACTTTTGGACTTTGTAGTGCATTGATGAAGGATGGACGAGGTATGGCTGCTCTCTCTTTCTCTGCCTGCTCTTACCTTATCCATTAATTGATCCATATTCGCAAATGGAATCAAGGAGGGAAGGAAGGAAATGATTTCAGAGAACTTTTGGTGTGTCCAAAAGTAAAACCAGCCAACCACCATCGTGCCGTTACCGTTAGTTAAGAGCAAATCCAAATTGTCACGCTACTAATGAGGTCAAACTTGCCCCAAAGTTAAGCTTGCGAGTCTGAACTAATTTCATTTAATCTACCGAAATCTCTAATGAGCTTTTGAAGTTGGGACGAACCTCTTGGGCGATGGGCGAAATGTATATGCGCAATTCACAATTCAATTCACACTTTATAACAAATTATTCCTCTCTCTCTGGTCCTGGCCTGGCTGAAGCTTATCGTGTTCCACTCGTGTTCTTTGTATTTCACACAATTCTCCGTTGTGTGGTCGCATTATTATGAAAAGTGGATGCTCATTATCATTTGGTGGATGAAGTTGGAGGATGGCATGGCCAAGTCACACTTGACTAACTAAAGCTTTCTTGTTATATGTTCCATTGTAAAGTAACAAGGAACCACTAATCTATTTTGCCTTACATGATGATGTCATGTTTTGGTATCGTGATAAAAGTTGGGCAAAGTGAAAGTACGCCACAACGTAATGTAAACCTCAAAACTCTTGCTGCTGCTTTCGCCCTGGGCAGAGTTATCGAGTAGAGAAGGACAAGGTAGGCAGTACATAGGACCACACTCTCGGTGATTACTGCATAACAGAGGACAATGGTTGGTTGCTGCTGCTGCGGACTGGCTTGAGGATTTTGATAATACAAAAGTCCAATGCGAAATAGAAGAAGCTCTTCGGCCATAGTTATAATCTCCCTTGAGATTATTCGATGCACTACAATGTGCCTCAGTTCATGGTTGTTGCCAGTTAAAAATTCCATGCGAAGGGATTCACTAATGGGAAGTTTGAGACTGGAGCAAAATCGGACGTTAACCTAAAACCAAGTACAGCCAGCCTAGTTTTGCTAGCAGCATGGGAGGCTTGGTTGGATAGCACAAGAAAGAAAGACATAACATTGGATTGGAGTTGCAAGTTACGAAGCCAGTAAAACACCAGGAAACGACCCGAAATGTAATCTAGAAGCCAGTATAAAAGTGGAAAGTATCAGGACAAAGTACCAATGTGAAATGGAGCCGCCGACTATCCAACAATAAGTATTAGCACAGGAGGACCAAGTATCTACTCCAAGTTGCTTGTTCAAAAATGGCAAATTTTTATAGTTGAAATTCAAGTCAAACTCAAACAAATACATTTTGTTTAAAAAATACGATGTAGTTCATATTTAAATCTGCAAGTCCTCAGTACAGGTGCTACATATTTATGTACACGCATAAGGTGCAAGTAAAAGTATGTAATAAGTATGTACGTCACTTCGTCACTCCCTAGACAAGGGATATGTAATATTTACAATGCCAAGAATTTGAAAGGGCTGAAAATCTAGGTAGCCATGTACAATTTCGTACATTTCCTTATCCCACTCTCTGTCTCTGTTCCAGGAGATCTAAATAGTTGGGTTGCAGATTTTGCCAACTGCTGTAACTATTTCTTCAATTTATAACTTGGAAAAAACTTGAAAACTTGTAGAGATACTCGCAACCAGCCGACGATCCTCGTCCAAGTAGAGCTCATGGCCGTTGATACATACCTCCACTGTCCCTGCTCGGCATCAAAACGCTCTGCCACCCACAACGACTCGAGAACCAAACATGAGATGAAACTTTTGAATCCATATTTCAACAACAGCCAGCATTCACCATCTCTTAATGTCCCACAGGACTAATGCTCAAAGTTAAAAAGTCGTCAGCATCAGCAAAATGTTCCAAACTCGGGATAAAATTTTTAGAATTAAATAGAATGTGAATCCTCCATCGTCATCGTCTGTATGGACGCAGTTAGAGCACATCATGTCCACCAACTCCATTTCACTCAATGATCATTCATTCTCATAGTCAGACGCATAGCACCACCCATTATCTTGTTGTTACAGATAGTTTGACTCGGAGATTTAGAAGATGCAGTGCTGATTTTATGTATGTCCCAGGCACTTCCACAAGTAAGTTTGCAACTTAAAAAAACATCTCTCAAGTGCAGAGTAATAAATGAGAACCTGAAAAGATGCTCCAAATACAATGAGCGTATATAAGGTGTAACGTATATATATATATATGTAAGGTGGTTTCGCATTATAGCGAAATTACGGGTTGCGAAACCACCTACCTACTTACTATATGCAAATTTGTAGACTGTGCTGACAGAGTATAATAAATATGTTACACAGTGTAAGAATTTGATGCAATTTATGAGCTCATAAATTCCAGAATGATGAGAAAGTATCGACATTAAAATTAGTAGACTTTTGTGCTTGGTAAACCTGGAGGCTATGAGAACCATATTGGTGTCAGATATTTACATTATAAGCGCTATAATCCTAGTAAAAATAAATGCTTAAAAGATGAGTTATAACAAGCTTACCAAAACTCTCTTTTTTACTAAATTCCCACAATACAGATTTTGAATGGACATCAAAGAATTAACCAGTTGGATGTAGGTCGACCTGAAAAATAACCCGAAAAATATTTGTATGGTATTTACTTCCATTTAGTGTCGTATTTCCCATTTTAGAGAATGCGAGCATCACTTACATATGGCTAACCGTGCCCACGCCCGTCTCCCGTATTGCAAAGTGGGGGCTATTAGTAGCTTGAGACAAAGCTGAAATCTTGCCGTCCCCAATTGAAGGGTATTCTGGAAAATGCAAATATATAATTTATGAATGATTGGTGTTTTGAAAACTGATCAATTTTGGATTTATATATTACTACGAGTATAGAAAATATATTTAGAAGTCACACATATTGGTGTCAAACAGATAACTATGGAATGTACAGGAATAAGAGTACATATGGTTGTGGTGTTATTTGGACGGCAAATTTCGCAAAGACGTCAACACCTCGTGTTCGATGATTTCCCACCACTTTGGTCGACAAATCGCAAATATACTCATAGTATTTTTAATTTTCAATTGTAAGAATTTGAAAACAATTCGTGCACAAGCAAGAGCGATGTTGTTATCGTTATCGAGGAACAAGTGGAAGAAAGTGCAAAAGGGTAACTAACCAATTGTGGCAAGGGCAACGTCTTCCATTTTTAGAAGATGTACCGACGCTTCCAAGTCCAATGGGGAAATAGTGCCTTGACTGATGAGTATTATCACTGACCCTCCAACCCTCCCTCCATTCCATTTCAGCATCTGAAATAAAATTAGTACAAATTATTCCACAGTGTGCATTTTCGTCCTTGTTGCGGCTATGCAGTTATAAGGTTGTCTGAAACGAAAAGATTTTTTGGGGGTGAAAGCGAATGAGTGACGACGGTGCCAGTGTAATGTGGGCAACTCTAATTCCTGCGTAGTCAAACAGAGTAGTCCAGCTATAGGGCACTTTTATTAACCCCTGGTGGTCCTCCCATTAAATTTCCTCCAATTTGCTTTCTGGCACTACCACTGTAATACGTGCGTAGCTATGCCTTCTACTCTTGTCGACTAATTTCATATAGGCCGGATCTGAAACTATCACCCTATTTATGATTAAATCTGACTAACCGAGTCTGACTCATGTCACATTTCTGCACTAAATATACACAACTAATCAGATTGAACCGCATCCATGTACATGTGTAAGTACTAGGCAGCAAGCAACGGCACCAAATCTCGCAGGATTTGATAGTTAGCCCAATGTTACCTCATCTCTTTGTATATTAGAAGTACAAGAAGAGCCGTGCCATTGTACTTACATGCATGCATTTAGGTGATTATGGAATCGAATGACGACAACTCATGAGCAAATATATGTATGTCAGCCAAAATGTGTCCGAACCAATCAATTTCTTGCAATTCTGGCTCAAGTCCATACTAAATTTATTAACTAAACTAACCAACTCCCTTGCTCGTAGGACTAATTTGGTTTATTTATGTCATTGTCACGCTGGAACTACATTGATACCCTTGTGGGGAGGATAATGTGAGCTGACTTCTTCTCGGGACAAGCAAGCATGACGACATGATTAAAGGACGCCTTGGAGAATGTGGAGAGAAATATATACGATGTGAACAGATAGTCGCAAAGTCAGAACGCGACGACGTCGAGTAACAAAGCACGAAACATAACACGATTATTGCATTACTTACATTGATGCTCTGACTGATTCCTTTCCTAAGAGAAAGTGTTCCACTTCCACTCTCGATGTTGGGATAGTTGGGCAACTTCTCTGCGAGGATCTACAAATTTTCAAGTTTTTATTTATTTAATAACAACATCAAGTTATGTAAGAGTTGAATTAGATACACAATATCTGTTGCTACTGCTAAAAATGATTATGATTTTATATTTATCAACTGTGCCTCAGACTTACCGCTCTCACGTTATCATCAAGAACTGTCATGTTTGCAAGAATCCGAATATCTGAGCTGACCGTCATTAATCCAATTTGCGTCCCGGTCGGCAAATCATATTTGATTAACTTTCTCACGGCGAGTTTAAGAAAACGCCAAACGTCCTAAAATGTACAAATACAAATAATTATAAACACCATTTTCAATCATCAACATCATTCCACACATCCTGGTAAGAAAAAAAGCAAAACTCGTTTAGCACTGCGTCATTGGTTCGTCCGTGATGATGAGACACATATCAATAACTTTTATTTGTATACATAGATATACGTATACCGCTCGTATTCCTAAGTTAGCCACCGGTCCAAAAACCTCCAGTTTTTGCCTCTTAGATACATATCTGTATGTACGTGTGTGTCCCTTTGTCTCATCGACTCATCTTTTTTTTATTATTATTATTATGAAATACACACGGTCGACAAACAGAGTTGAGTCAAGTGACTGGTTCATTTGTTTCCACCACAAGTTTGAGTAGTTCTGCAGCAGAGTTCTTGTGTATATGTACAAAAGTAAAGTTTGCCAGGATGATCGAGTGAACCCGACCCAATGACAACAAATGAGAAACAAAAACTTTCTCCTCCGTGAGAGACTCACAAGTTTCCGTCTTCACTTTACTCTGTCAACGTTCTCTCAGTGTTCTCCTGCGCTGGAAAACTTTTTATCAGAAATCCTCAAGAACTCGTACATATGTAGGTGCGCGAAATAAACCATATAATGCTAAAAAATATTTCTCTTAAACAACTTTGGGAGAGAAAGCGACTACGCTTTTTGTGCCAAATACTATAGATTCACAGAAAGGTGTCATCGGTCATCATTATTTATGATTTGACGAAACGACTACTTGCACCAAAGGGGATAGGAATTGAGTGGACAGTAAATAATATGAAACCTATGATTCGTACAAAATTGGCAGGTTGATGTTGTAGTTTGGACAAATACATTTCCACCCCACCGAACAAAACTGGAGAATGTAGCTACGTGAATATCATAATAGGAAGGCAAATGGTGACACATGGTATAAATAAGTATTTTTTGTTCTTGGACGTGACCAACTTCACATTAAAATAAATCATCGAGTAATCAAATAACTTCAACATCAAGATGTAAATATTTATACATACTCAACATAATTCGCACTAACTAAAATAACAACATTGCATGACTTGTTTTCTAAATACTCTTTTGTATGGGCAAATATTTGCGAATACATAAAATACCAAACTTCACTCACCCTCAAATTCATGTTTCCAGTTTCCTCCACCATGAGCACGAACCGAGGTTGGGTGAGCTGCTTGATGACAAATTCCGGCGTGGCTCGGCCGCTCCTGTGGTGAATGCATTAGATTAAATTAAAGGGAGTTGACCATCAATTTAATTTTTATCATTAACATGACATGACACATTAGCATATATTCAAACTAACGACGTTATAGATTTCCATTCAATCTATTTTCATCAACCCGGGGGTACAATCAATAAATGTACACTGGTTGACTGAGGCCGCTTGGCAGAGGACAACAGCATGATGACCGATGAGCAAGTGACGGTAAACATAAGCATTTGTGCATTTGATATCGGTATAATCGAATATAATAAATGTTCTCTGCGGGAGGTGGTGCATGGCGAAATAAAAGTTTGCACATTCCTGAGAGAGAGTGAAAATCGTAGATGATGGAGGACGAGGTAGGCACTGGGTAGCTGGACAGTGCCCCTATAACTGTATAGCTAAACGGCAAATTGTTATAGTATCCCTCATTTGCGCTACCCTATAAAATCTATTCCGAATTAGATATTATCATCACGAACAAAACGAATTAAGAGTGAACAGTCCAGTCAGGAAGTAGTGAAAACGAAGCAAATCGAAAAACTCATTAGGTGAGCTCATTTATCAGATTTCTGACAAAATGCTCTCATTTAGGAAATGTTTACACAAGCAACGGCATCAGGGGATATGTGGGAACTAGCATATATATATGTATATGTATAGCCATACATATATAACTATGTATGTATATGTATGGGCGAGTGTGGAGCAAGAATTTCCGAATCTCAACCGGATTTGAAATAATTGAGGAGTGCACATGGTGTATAATATTTCATTACATGAAGCCATCGACAATGTGCGCATTTTCTACCCTATGCAGTTTACGTAGTGCAAGATGGGAACTAATTACTCTCATTAACTAATTTTTAAGTTAGAAACACACAGCAAACAAATCGCCTCTTCAACACTCTCCAAGTAACAAGTCATGATTTGGGGAGGAGGAAAACAAGAGAAATTCCAGATGAGGTAAAAATATAATGACTGGTGGAGCGTGAACATGCCATAACTCTAAAAATGACGGATTACACTTGATCGCCAATCCAATTAGCCCAAAGCTGTAAAATTAAAAGAATTCCAAAAACTCAGTTTTTTAAGATTATGCTACATACATAGTACGTGATAAGTACGTGACTTTGAATCTCCTCGAAAGGCTGAACAATTTTGCACTTTTTGTAAAAGTCCGTAAACTTGTGGATGCTATCCTCTTAATCATTTTAATATGGCAATTTTAAAGTGGCGTAAAAGATGTTTTGTATGCGAAACTCATCTTATTGCATCATAACATTTTTCTGCATCTGGCAAAACAAAACAATGAAATATTACCTGTTTCCTACCTACCCGACTCGAAAGCGGAAGTGCGCGTTTATTGCTTTGCTTAAATCGTTGCTGAAAATTATTCTATTTAGCACACAATTTATCTACATAAATTACGGTACTTTTGGGCTCTCGAGAAAGTACAAGTAATTTCACGTTTATGAAAATGACAGCGGAATGGTCCTGGCAAGCATTTCGATATACAAAGAAGTGCGAGTAAAAAAAGACGTAAAGTATCCGAGAAGAAGCAGGACAGGCAGAATGAATAAGCAGCCGAGCCAAGTAGTGGCGAGTGGATAAATTTGACGATATTTATCTCGGACAATAATCAAGAGGCTAGCTGTCAAAGAAGTTGCAAAATTTATGAGGCAAAGGATCCCTGAACGTGAGTGTGGTTTCAAGTAAATGCGTAAACAGGTCTTCTCGGTCATTTGTAAAAAGTAATTTCACAGGATGTGGACGAGCATTGTCCCTCCGTCCGTGTCTCCAATAGGAAGTGAGAGTAGTGCCCACAGAAAGAAGGTGCATGGTGGGGAGGAAGATCTTTGAGATTGGCTGAGTAGATGGCTCAAAGACTTAAGTGGACAAGGAGAAGGGCTGGTCTGGATCCTGTGGCGTTTCGTAAACATGTTTTGTCACTTCACTACTGACAAGAACAACAAAGGTAATACACACACACGGAGTTCTTCTACTACTACAAATACTTAAGCACTTGCTCCTCTCAAGCAACAAGGAGACCAGGAATGCGCTAATCTGCACATAAGGACAATGCCGTTCATGGAAGCATATTCTTTGAGTAATTCACGAAAGCACAGAAAAAATAGAAATTCATAATGCAACTTTTGCACTGTAAAAATAAATCTACCTAATAATAATTAGCATAATTTTTAATTATTTTTTTTTAAATAATTGAAATTCTTAGCAATCAAATTCGTATCATATGCTGTTTTTTCCTCATCACGGTCATCCTCTGTCCAAGCACCATTATACATTGTACGCATTTACTTACATAGAAGCCAGTTTTGTGTGTTTCTGCTTACCTGGGGAGGGAGATGTTATGAAAATCAGGATGAGAGTTGATAATTTCTGAGATGGACTTGTGGTCACAGAGGAAGTTTTGCTTCGTGGGGGCTTGACGATTATGATTTGTGGAGTCACAGAAGGTGGTCACGTGGGGCAGATGAGGGTTGGACATGATCGAAGAAGTAATGTTGTCGTTGCCGTTGAGGAATGGGACGAACGCGCAATTGGCCCCGGAAGGATTACAAGTTCCCGACCTGTAATAAGTCAACGACACAATCATCATAATCAGCAGTGACTGCAAGTCCACCGGACAAAGTAGCATACACATGAGTTATGTTATTTCATGTTGTGAGCCAACACACACGTCCACAAAATAATAAAATTATTCCTCTACAGCCATTCCGGGTTTATTGCCACTTTTAATTACATCTCTTTGCTTGCATTGGTGGTCCAAATGGAATAATAAAATTTGGGATGCGGTAGATGGGAAACTTTATTAAACCGCTGAGAAAAGAGAGGGGTCACATACTGCTCAGTAAAGCAATAAAATTAATTTAATCTTGGTAATACCTCAATAAAATCTTGAGCACGCATTGTACATGTACCTATTTATTACTAGTAGCATATACTCGCATGAGCTTGTGTGCATATAAATTTTTGCTCGACAGATTTCATACCAGCAATTCAGAAGCTCGCTGTCGTGGAGCTTGTCCAAAATTTAAAATGAATGTTAATGTGCCTTATTATGTTTATTACTTCTCGTTTGGACGGAAAGAGGTCACTGGGGAACGAGACGAGTTTTGACCTATTGATGATTGCGGCACATCATCGCCGTACATGAAATACGAATTATTAACTTAACCCTATGACCCAGTTCTGCATAAATAAATGTATACTCATTCTGAGCATAATATTATAAGTATTCCAGTATTTCAGTTCCGGTATGTTGCATGTGTGGTAGAGGAATGTTACGTATGTACAACGGTTGCCTAATTCAAACTCACGCTTCATTCATTACTTTTACTATTATTGTCCATCATCAGAACCACATTGCAAAGTTAAACTTGCTGCAATATGCTACTGCTAACTGTCATGTCATGGGCCTAATTTGCATCTCATTTCAGACACACGGAATATACCCCTATCATTCATTAAATTACTGCAAATTTGATGTAAATCCAAACATTGTACGTCGTATGCGTTTAAATAATTTTTCTTGTATACCCTTTTCCCCATCCTCAGGTAATATGGTCCTGTGATGGGTCTCGTCAAAATATATTGACATTTTTTATTAATCGTGTTCATTAGATCACGCGGCTGATGTACATAACCTTGTAATATTTGGACTATTTTGAATGGCAGCTTGCAAGTACTAAGTACGACAATGACCCTTTGGGTTAATGTTAAATTCACATAAACATGTGTGTGCTATAGTTATTTCAGCGAGAAATAAAGAACTTGAAGATTGTAAGAAATGTGTGTACCAGTTTCCAGTCAATGGGCGATTTGTGCAGGAAGTTGGCTTTCTCTCGTCCTTGCTTCCAGTTCCATGATAATAAGCAGTGGGGTAGATCTGGAAAACGATTGAGATTTTTACTTTATATCATAGTTGAGTAATCGGGGTACATTTTCAGGTTTTAAAGCTATGGACAAGTCCAAAGATTTGTATTCTACCCAAATCATTGTACCCCTCAATTAAATATAAGAAGTAAATATATAAATGAAAGAAAAATCGGAACCAAGTTTCTTACCGGGTCGTTTTCAAATCCGGTTTCTTCAAATACTCCGTAACGAAACTTCACAAATTCCTTGACAAAGGTACGCTCTAGAATTATAGAAATTATATTTAGTCACCTTATGCGCTTATTTTGTCACATTAGCGAGTGACATGGAATTTGCATGGAAAACCCGTGTCATAGTGAGATTTATGTAAACGAGATGATCCGCAACATTAATTTTAGAATATCTTTAGTCATCAATTGTCAGTTCGAAGACGGATATGTATTTTAAACATCAGGTCGAGCTTGGACTTGGTTGTACGGGATTTGGGAGTAGCAATTAAAAACTAATATGAAACTAGATATTTTGAAAGAATGAAATATGTGACGAAACTAGGCTCATACACATACATCAATGCTCATAAATGCTCATTCCCTAATTCTGCAAAGCAAAGAAAATAATACAAAATCCACCCAATAGTTCTAGGCGACAAATTTACTGCAAGAGTAAACGTTATCTTTTCGCCAAATCGGTTTAGTTAATGTGAGTTTCCTTACAAGGTGAAGAATATCACTGTCAAATGTGCCAAAAATGTAAAAAAAACTAAACTCGACATATCCAGATTCTCATCAGAGTTAGAACTTTAAAAACACTATGCACGTGCACAAATGAGAGTCGTCTCACAATGAGTGCTATGAAATATTCAAAAATTACCTCGGCTAGATTAAAGCAAATGCACTTTAGGAACACGAGCAGTTTATGTTAGTTTAGTGTAGTTTAGTATAGTTTAGTGAAGCATATGCAACGTGTTTCACGATAATGAAGACACTGAATTTCTAAACGAGGGAGGAATTTTGTTCCATATCGCATCCTTACTCATCCAGGTGAATGAAGTAAAAGGAAGGCGGAGAATTCCATTTACATTCTAATTTTCTTTTAAAGCTTCAACTAACAAGAAAGAAATGAGTGTTTCGCACGAAACACAAAACCAACAACTTAGAAATGTTGATTGCCATTGCCACAAGGACTCCCTGACCAAACAAATTTTACACAGCCAAATGTAATGGCACAGAAGTTCTCAAAACAATACCGAATTTGAAACAACTTTGGCCATTCAGTTCACCTCGCTTCCAATTTCGAGCTTCGTTTCATTCATTATAAACTTATCGTTTCCGCTTTCATGAAATGTCTATAAGCAAGGTGCTTGGTGTGCGGCTCGTCTCGCCAAGTAAAACTAACTGGTAATATAAGTACTAATTAAATACACAATTGTAATGGAATCTGGTCTTATAATCTGGAGTAATTCCACCTGCAGGTCTTGCGGGCTATCTTATAAAACAAGCGTCATATAAATAGTTTCCAGGTTTTCTACATATAAATTACTATATATAAACATATATAATATACATAGTTGATATTATCAGCTATTGCATAATGTTGATTATTACATGTTATGGATATTATTGTTTGCATAGGAGCTAAGTCCAAGTTTTGAAAACTAGTTACATAATCTTTATAATGAAAATTTGATAATTCTATTTATTTGCAGCAATTATTTTTTTTACTTCTATCAACGTTCCTCGGAATAATTTCAGTTGATTAGAGTTTTATTAATAGCCAGGGTCACAAGGACGGACCAAATTCAAAACGCAATATTTGCTACCGTCACTGATTTTTTTTACCATGTGAAAGGTAAAATTATTCCATGTCAATAATGCAATTATCTAATTTTCAATTTCATTTCATCCCTCCTGTGAAAAGGAAATCCTGTCAAAGTGAGTGGGATTATGACAGCTTGTGTGTGATTGTTGAAAGGGGTTTGATTAATAACAACATTTATATAATGTTTGTCGACGTTGATAAGTCATAGATATTAATTAGTAAGAGAATTCACACGACTTTGATCATCAGCATAGCAATATTTTGTGAATTTATGCTTATATGCACATATGTATAGTATCAAGCGACGGATTTATACCTGGAGTCGAATGTCCAGCCTCAGTGTCGTTGTACTGAAGAACGTACTGGAAACCAGCGGAAATCATGTCGCCCTGTTGCCCACATCCCTTGCTCTGCTGAGTCCAAGGGTTATGCCTGTTCAAAACAAGGTTTCGTTGCAAAAAGGCGATGATAATAGTGATGATAACTTCATATCACGTGAATTGCCTTATAATTTATTTATACTTACCCGAACACCGGATGTTCTCCTCCGATTCGGAATTGAGAGTCTCTGATACTGCTCGCACTCGTGTATGAATTGGGCAACATCTTGCCACAAGCTCCTATCAAACACAAACATTTTCTCTCAATGCATCACATTTGAGTTGTCTTTAACACATTATTCAGGCCATGTCAAATGTCATTCAGATGTGTATTCAGACACAAGTTGTTTGTATATATATAACTTACGGTAGTCCCAGGCAGCGGGGAGAATTATGTGCACTCGGTGGAAATAAGCCCGGCCTTTCGTAGCTGTGTTCAGGTACTCACTGGCAGATGTGAATATCAACTGGAAGAAAATACACAAAGGAAGAACTATTAGTTTGATTAATTTCAGGGCTTTACCTTCATCACATTCTTCACTCTTTACTTTCACTCAAACTTTCTCACACCGAAAATAGCAAAGTCCGTGGAGCATAGTGTGGGCAAGAAGTAGGTGTGTGCATATATACTTACGATATACATATATGACAGGAAAATGATAAGACGCACACGCACCAAAGCCCACAAATAAATAGATAAGAAGAAAGCATTTTAAAGCAAAGTGTGTGGTTTCATTTTATTCTAATAAAGCGTTTATCTTGTTAGAATGCGTATGACACACGCAACTTTCTTTTTATCTCTTCGCCATGAAATGTCTCTTATGATCAAATAGTAAAATCCATTTTATTTTGAAATCGTTTTCGCTGGCGTGAAGAAAGAGAATTGTTTGATTCAATTCGAGAGACAACTCTTTCTCAGTAACAAATGGTACGCTATAAGTAGATACGTAACGTGTGTATGTACGGTGGGTGGTGGTTTAGTTCAATTTTGTTGCAATGTTTGGGCTTGGATGGATAAGGTTGGTAAGTTGACTGATATTTGCGAGATGTGGCGATTTTGTGGTGCGTCCGTGATTCTCGTTCGTAAGATCTTTGGAATCGGCAAGATCACGGCAGACATAAATCAATTTCAGCATCCGAACCCATCAGTGCCAAACTGTTCCGAATAGAAATGTTACCCCATACGGATACCACCAATTTATGTCGATGGTAGCAGGAGCAGTGGTGGCGGAAAGACGGGAAATACGGAGAAAGAAGATGGCCTGGCCTATCTTGCTAGAGCCCGATCCAAATCCAGAAACCCAGGGTGGGAAAGAATATAGAAGGAACGGGAGCAGATGCAATTTGGTTTTGGATGCATTTGGTTGAGCTCTCAGCCCACTGATTCGCATCCATTCTTCAAGATTTAACACCTTTAACTGTCGAGAATGTCATAACCCCTGGAGAAATCTCTCAGCACATTTTTCCTCCTCGGAGATATTTCTCAACCCCAGAATTCCTCATCAAATTCTGTCATTTTTAATGAATCTTGTAAAACTGACAAGAAATTCACGAACGATGGCAGACTTGATGTTAGTAAACGTGTATGATGATGGATATCATGATTATATAACAAAGGTTCAGTTTTCAACGAGACCTATGGGTTTGCATAAATTCTCCTTATAACGTTTCAATTCGAGGATGAATGACATGATCATTTGTACAATGTCCCATCCATTCAGCATCCGCATAAAATTGTTTTCTTGGGTTGGGGAAAGGAAATTGGAATATGTCATTATTTTTGGTTAATTGGTGGAAATCTCATTGCCCACATTTGCAGAGAACGAATCAATTTTGTTTGTGCAATAATGAATCCAATTTGAAAGTTTGTGCTCCTAGCTCCATTATTTTAATCATTAATCATCAACATCTCCAATCAGAAAGTGTGCGAGGAGGAGGACAAATAAGTAATTTCAATTTAATCGCATTAATGATGTAATGATCTTTATGTGAAATTAGGCAAAGACTTGGATCCATTATTCGTCCTATTATTTAGATTGCTAGAAACTTTATAACTAGATCAAGATGTGCACATGCGATGATGGAACCGTGACCGTAATATAAACCTCTTAATCCATTTCCCTCTATAAGTGAAACAATGAACAGGAAGGTGAGTAAGTACTTATACGCAATGTACGTATGTGTTGGGGCCACCGCGAGTGACATTTTTGGGACCATGATTGAACAAAAAATGTGCGTGCAAAATCACAGTAGTGTTGAGTGAAAAGAAGCCTGTCTTGCATTGCACTTTTTAGTTCTCTTCACATCAAGTCAGTGGAAGAGAGAGAGCTGTCAATTCAAATCTTTTCGTTCCAATCGGAATCATCATTACTCATCCGGTCAGATGGCCTGTGGTGGCTTCCGAATTTATTCTGTCAAGGAAAATGGTTTACGAGTAATGCATACATGGCTATGACATACGTGATCTCAACCAGGATGAGTTTGATACCCATCAATGTGAACGAAAGCTCTGAATCTCGCATCTTTTCTGTGACATGCGACATATAGAGACATCTCACCTTCTTACGTATTGTGTGGAGAACAGTAATTGAATTTCTTGCTATCTGTTCAGTTCATTCATCTTTGTTGATTGGAGTTGTGGTTGATTTTATAAGATTAACATATGCACGTAGCGGCCCAGCCAGATTCGTTGTTAATTCACCTTGAAACCTCACTTGTTGTCAGTTGTCACCCACAAATAAAATTATTTATTTGGCTCGGTTAAGAATTTGTTCTTTGATTTGATTGGAATTGCATATCGGCATTTCTTGTCGTGCGGGCGAGAAATTTGACATGAAAACGTGGTCTGATCACAATTGCTGAAAACGCTATGTGATTGCTACGTGATTCAACGATTGCGCACTTTAAAAGACACAATACTTGTAATTTCTCATGATTTTCAAATATAACTCATTGGAAATATTGATTTTTTATGTATTATTTCAAGACTCCCTCCGGTCATTATTTCCACTCTCATTATAGAAATAAAGAACGGCAAGACAAAGGGAAGAAGAAAGCACGTTCAGCGATTCCATTCCATTTATTTCTAAAGACAGAAAATGTTGCGACAACCCCTACAAGGCCACGGAAATAAAAGAATAGAGCAACTGGAAGAAACCCTTTAATTATAAAATGGAACTCAAAGTTAATGCATCGACACAATTATCCCACACCACAAGAACCGATGACTAATGAGTTGGTTGATGGCGCATGTGGGCTGGGTTGCAGACCGTTTCAATAGAAAAAGAATTGCTAGAATTGAATTCAAAATCGAACACATTTAGATTAGTTCGAACAGTTTGAGTCCTCCCTCGTATCTTATCAATCTCGAATCTCGAAAATGACGGCATCAACTTGAAGACGACGAGGACACATGTTCCAAGCCTCGGGTACAAATTGCCGTAAGAAATGTATACAAAAAATGTAATGGATTGGTGGATGCATAAATGCACCTTCTGCTGGAGACTGGTCCAGAAAAACTGGGAAAGATTTTCAGAGTGATGGAGGCAATTAGTTAGGAATCTGTAACCCTTTTGACACATGCCTTTTATAATCCAACCAAGTAAAAGTTGTGGTGGTTGAATTATTTGAGAATGGTGCTATTTACACGATTGAATTTTATTTAAAACAAGAGACAAAAGTACTCCGAGTGACCAAAGAAGTCGACTCAAGACTCACATACATAAAAAGAAAGATGCATTGTAAATGTATTCTTTTTCTTTTCTTCTGCCACCAGAGACGTGAACTTCACTTCTGCTCTTGAGCTTAAGAAGAAGAAGAAAAAATGAAAATTCAAGTCCACGACGACGTTCCTTGAATGAAAGTGTAGCTGAGTGCTCTTGAGAAAGACTTTTCAAGAGGTAGTATCACTCACATTGCATAATAATAATACTCTAAAGATCCCAAGACTGCTCCAACTCGAGAAGGCAGCTCGTCGACCACTCCAGTCAACTGGATCGAGTTGTTGGTTGAGGAAAGAAATGCATCGCGATACGTACCTTCACCCACTCCATTCTCATTTTATGGGTACACAGACGGAGATGAGACAGTGGAGTGAGAAATGATGAGGGGAGACATCAAAACGGAATTTTGGGTGCCAGAAAAATTATTTGTGTATGCAGAATGCGACTTTCACCTAACAGTGTACCGACTCGAAAATAAAAGTTCTGTCGGTTTCCCTCGTATATGAAATTGAGATCAACGTTAAATTAACGTCAAATCAGTTTCGCTGAAGGGATGATTCCACTTTTAGCTCCTGCTCCTGTAAGGAAGACCGATTTGTTACTCGCTAAAGTTTTTTTTGGGAAAGATGAGTCTGGAGCAAGGCCTAACGTTAAACAGCGTACAAGTGTGTACATGTGTTTATTAGATGGAAGATCCTCAGCTTTGACTTGGTCTTAATAAGTTACGGTCACAGTTGTAATTTAATTCATTGCTGTGAGCAGATAATCCATCCCATATTTCATGGGTTTACGAGATCTCACTTTTTAAATCCATTTCCTCTCCTGCAACCAATGGCACACACGAACGAGCAGAGTTGCAAGTCGTGGAATTGAAGAAGGAAGAAAAAGTTGGTGCAAAGTCAGCCAGGTAGAGAACATTGAATTATCTATGTAGAGAGGGCCGAGAGCGAGGTGTGATCATAATAAGACTTCTTTCTTGTTCAAATCGCATTTCTCCAATACTTGGTCCATCCTCAATATGCTCATTACTGTAAATGCAATAGTTTTAGTTCACTCTGGTCGGATGACTTACGAGATGAAATATGTCTTGAAATTTTGGAATCGTTATATCCTCATTAGTTTTAGTTTGCTTCGTTGTGCAGTGTAAAGGAAGAAATAATGCGAGTAATCCAGTACACGAGATAATAATATAAAGCTTGCATACAGCTATCTACGCTGTACGCACTATACTGTTCGAAAAGCGACTGCTAGCAATAAAGGATGCAACAATGTCAGCTATACATCGTTGAATACATCATCCACGTTGTGATCTCTACGTGTACAGCAGCGGTTTAGGTACATACAACTCGAGATAAAATTATTATTTACAAGACCACAATTCCAAATCGTAAATCTATAATTTGTTCTCTCTCGGAAGACATAACAAGTCTTCCTCCTTGAACGCCGGATAATGAATGTAAAGGTTTGGTGCTGTCCATATGAAGAAAACTAAAACCACCAATCAAATAATTTTTTGAAGAAGGTTGTAAAACTCTTTCGAGTTTGAAGGGAGAGTACGAATTAAGTAAATTACATTAGTTTTCCCTCTTCTGCTCTGCTGATGCCGGAATAACGAATAGGACCTTCAGCATACATACATTTAGTATACATACTTTTTTGTTGGTCTACGAACTATTTTTTGTGGTAGTCTAACAAAACCTAATCCAGATATTTAAATATTTTTAAAATGCATCATTGCACTTGCT